AGTGTAAAGGACCACTTGAGACTGGCTGCGAAAGCAAAAATAAATATGTTTACAGCTGGATTTAAAACATGGTGTTGGTCTGAATAGCTTATTACTCTATCCAAACACACTGTACAGGGGCTGACTTTTTCAGGGGCAGGCAGGCATGCCGTAGTGGTCAGGGAGGAGGCTAAAGGCCTGGCTCAACAACAACTCTTTAACTCATGTTGACTGAAAGTTAAGTAGAGCCAATATTTCACAGATAAATCCATAAAAAACAGATGGCAAAACTACATCCAGTTTTTATACAGTCAAAACACATACTGATCAAACAAGTTAATTTTGATGATGAACCTGCATCCCTGTGCACCAGTACACAAATACATAACCATAATCCAAGTGAACAAACACAGAAATTTGAGTTGATTGCACTTTAGTTGGGTATTTTCATTTAAAACTGCTAACTTTACTGTCCCTCTTTGTCAATATAACCAAGAGGTAGAAGTTTGGCGTTTTTAGTCCTCTACAATTGTTTGATTTTGCCAGAGAGTGGTGTGTAAAATCAAGGATCTTTTTTAGACTTATCTGCAAAAAATGGAAAACAAACCCTTGAAATTTTTTCTTTTTTTAATCTATGGATTATTCCCTCCACATATGTTCAGGGTAAGAGATTTAATCCAAAGGGTCTTTATTTCTATAAAGTTTCTTTATTGTAAGTTACTGATGAGAAATACATTTTTGAGGATATCTTCTTTCATGAATGAACCCCCTGTAAGGTAGCCTATGTACTGATGAGAAAGTAAAAGTGAAGTTGGCAAGTCCCTTCTTGAAGTACTCTTGCAGAGGAGCCTGTCCACAATTTCTAATTGTATTCTATGTGTATTTTACATCTTTCTTTAAAATTATGTCTTTTTTAGTTTTACTTATTCTGCGTAGAAAAACAGATTTTATGGCCTGTTTTTTTTTGTTTGTTTGTTTGTTTGTTTGTTTTAATTGTACACTATCACTGTTTAGGGTGCTATTGCAGGGAAGGGTCCTTGTTTGTAGCAGGAGTTAATCAGTTTTAATGCAACAAACACTAACCCTTTTAATATAAATATATTTGTTACATTTTAAGGACATTTTGATTTTTTTGGCTTTCAGTAGTAAGTGAAATAAACATTTCAGCTCCAAAAAAAGGGAATTTTCTGGCCATAATTTGTGGTTTCAGGCATTAAAGGGTTAAACAAAACCAGATTAAAACAGAAAATGATTTTCAGCAATCTCAGAACCAAAAACATGTTACCAAACACACCTTGCTACATCCAGGTTTAGTGAACCAAGCAAGGTAGGAAAAACGTGTACAGCAACCACAAATAAAGTCAAACTACAGCCGCCTCAAAAAGCAGTTGTGGACTTACATAATATCTCTGCCTTAGGTGAAACTGGTTTAAAGGACAATACATTGAGAAGGAAGCTTCAGACACAACAACATGCTACCTAACAACTTCGGTGGAGCAGTAGCTAACGCGGGCATGAGGCAAACAGCACGTGACAGAAACAGATACATAACTCGTCAGGTAAACTTACACAAGTTGTAGCTTGTTCGGTCCTGCCTCTTGAAATCCTGCTTATTTTCACGAAGCTCTATGTTCGGCATCTCGGTAAAGTCCACCGCGTTGGCATCCTAATCCCTGGAGATAGAAGTCAGAGAAGCGACACCTGTAGTTACTGCCGCACACACCCACGACAGTTTGACCGTTATTCACCAAGATTCAAACCGACCAATCAAATCGTGCAAGCAATAAGATCATCGATTGCGTCATTAAACTATTTTTAATCATTTGTTTATTTATTTTTATCTAGTAAGGTGATTTTTTGTTTCAAGACACATTTCTCAAGACTGTTTTTCAAATTTGAAATATGAGTATTAGTTGGGGAGGACTCAAAAGGTTTGAAATAAATTCACTTTTATGCGAAGGCTGGCTGACTCAATGCTAAATAATTGACTTTTTTAATAACCACAAATAATAAACTAGTGACTTACAATAAGAGTATAATTGTCACATTGATTGTTTCTTGAAGACTTTTTAATGATGAGCAACAGAAATTCTTATTGGAGCATGGTAATTGTGCGTTTAATGGATGTAGGCCTAATGACATTTCGGGAATTTGGTGTGAATGTATTTTTTTATATTTATCCAGCTATCTTTGAGTTTAACTCAGGTCATTAGGCTTTTGTATTCTTGATAATGGTGGACTGTGGTTGACATCTGTGTTGCAGTCCTCAGAGGATCAGACCAGAAAACTCTCAAACAGAATAACAGACCAAAACATCACTCAGTAGAATCCTTTGTCAGGGACAAAGGTGATTTTACAATACAGTGACAAGAAATGAAGTGCAGCATTTTTGATTGGTTGACCTTATCATAATTTTAATTCTGGTTTCCAAACATAGAATAAAACTTAATGATGACTGCTGGTGCAACATTCCTCAGGGATGATTTTTGCCTCATTTTGTATCACTGCAGTTCAATAGTCAAAGGCCAGCCTCATGATGACAGCTGAAAAGAACCTCTGCTGATATGTTTTAGACTCTTCTTATTATAAAAACAAGGTTTGTTTTTGTTCCCATCTTTTCTGGTTTGTCAAGAGAGATGGTCTGACATGATTTTTAACTTTTTATCGTTTTTATTTGAAATTGTCTGACATTCCTGCACTTATGTAAAGCCTTGTGCACCTTGAACATAATAAATTTCTAATTTTGCAGCATCTAATTTTCTTCAAGTAGTCACTATATTCTTGAAATTCCCGTTGGTTGCAAGTCTTTTTTGCAGGGTAAAAGCAAATATTCCTGCAATTTAGTTTAACTTCATTCTACATTAAGGACTTCACGGTCGATGATTACTGTAATTGGCAATATACAACCTTTGCACATTTGCTCTCAAAGTTTAATTGGAAATCTCAGGATAAATTGACATAGATACAGATACTGCTGAACAAAGTTATCCTGGATCATAGATGCTAGGTTCAGAGAAGTAAACCTGAAAGGGTCACATTATTAAACTTGCCCTGTAACAGGCTTTGAAATTGTTTTTGTGACAAAAATTAGGCTACATTTACACTCATTGCTGCCCCACCAAGACACCTGTGAGTAATAAATCAAAAGTTATTACCGTATTTCTTCTCTACAGTATATTAAATCCTGCTTTTTTTGTCACACCCAGCTGTCAGTTCTCCTGTGCTTGTTGGCATAAAGCTGCAGCTAACCTTGGTTTCACCACCTGCATCTTGGTGATATAGCGCTTAATGCCTCTTGAGCATCACTTCCTTGTCTACATCCAGGAAACAAACTGAAAACCACGAAGCAGAAAGCCATAATGAGAAGGATGCTTGAGGTTAGCACTTTGAAGTTTTCCCCACTGTGTAATGCTTTACTCTGTTCTTGTGTCATTTAAATTGATCAGTTTAGGGTTGAGATAATGCTTTCCATCCTCAAAGGTGCCATTTCACATTACAAAGCTTCTTCTTGTCCCTTCTCTCTCAGTATTTGCTATCACTAAACAGCTTTGATTTGTAGACATTGTAAATGCTGAGTTTTAAGATAATTCAACTTCAATTTTCTTTTATTATCCGAGTGTGGCTAAAACAACATCAAATTCAGATTCCCCTTCCTCTCCACATATAATGATAGGGAAGAGTGTGCAAGTTATTGTGTTTTCCAAAAAACTGAGAAGTGTAAGCAGAAGAGTGAAAACTGCAGTTGTGGTTGGTTAAAAACATCCTTCACAAATTTGACCACTTAAATAATCAGGAATGGATGGTTAAGAATAAACAGCTCAGTGCTGATTGTGACTCGATCAGTACTTGTCGACCTTGAAAATGATTAAATTAAAAACAAAATGTAAAAACAGAAACACAGATGGGAAGAGACATTGAAGTTAAGACAAGTTAAAAATTCATCTGCTTTGCTCACATCTTCTGAATGCTGTAAAAATGAAAAACAGAACGGTCATAATTCTGTAGATAGATGTAGTCTGATGGACAAAATACATTTCAAGAGAGATTTACAGCTTCTGTGTCAGAGGAAACTGCTTTGTTAAATCACAAAGGAAACTTGGGTATCCATCTTCCACCGGTGTTACATCGTGGGATGTAAAAAAGCACCCTAAGAGGAGGGACCTTGAAGGAATGTGAACGTGTCAGATCGCAGCCCCTTAAATCAGTCACTCCTCACTAACTCCCTGAACCAAGAATGAAAAACTCCTGCGTTTTACCAAAATAGGAATATATTTCAGGGGGGAAACGACCAGTTACATTGGAGAGGGCTTCTGTGAGATTTTGTTTTCTCTTTTTTGAACATAATTTGTCATCTTTTAGCTCTTTCTGTCTGACCATCCTTAATATTTCTCAGGACCACACATTAATGGAAGCTGATCTAGTGCACTCCCAGACTCAGCTGCTGTGTTTGTTTTGTGTTTTCTTGTGCCATCTAAGCGTCGTAGGCTTTTCATAGACTCCGAAGTCATAGCTGACAAATGAGTGAAAGTAAAATTCGCACCAAAGTGTTTCACTTTCATGCACCCTCCCACAGAGAAGAAAAACAAACACAACCAAGGAGACCTTCTCTCCCCAAAACGCGCAATTCTCTCCTCCATTCACATTATGCGTAAAATGAAGCAAATTAATGTCATGTCGCGGAGTCACGGCTCTTCATGTAATGTTGTGTCATGCGCGTTTCACATACGGTGTGTAGGTATGTTTGGTCAGTGCATGGCAGAGTGTGTGGTGCAGAGGATTGCTGCCCTCCCTCACTTCTCCGCTGAGCCCTCAGGAGAGCGGAGGGAGAAGGACTGCATGGGGACTGCACTGAGCAGTTCACTCTGATAAAAAGCCTCAGCGCTGATTTGGACACGAAATCTGGAACACGTCGTTAACCATGTAGACTTGGACCACTCAGATTGTATATTTATGTTGAGTAAACATCTTTTTGTGAGTTCCAAGAGATCTGAAGCCTGCTATGGAGGACCTCTCGAGCCAAAATGAGTGTGAGCACTAACAATGTCACAAACTTGTGGAAAAATGGTTCCTCGGAACTGGACGGGACTCCGGGCACGTTCTCACCGGTCAACTTTACCAACAACAGCACCAGCGGGGGAAACCTCACACAGCCCGGCGAGGTTGATCTCACCCGGGCTATCCCGCTCGGCTTGGTGCTTGGAGCTTTTATCTCGTTCGCGATTGTGGGTAACATCCTCGTTATCCTCTCGGTGGTATGCAACAGGCACCTGCGCACCCCGACCAACTACTTCATTATCAACCTTGCCATCGCAGACCTGCTGCTGGGTACCACAGTGCTGCCGGTGTCTGCCACCCTTGAGATCCTAGACTACTGGGTGTTCGGGAGGATTTTTTGTGACATCTGGGCGGCTGTGGATGTGCTGTGCTGCACCGCGTCCATCATGAGCCTGTGCGTAATATCCATCGACCGCTACATTGGAGTGAGCCACCCGCTGCAGTACCCAAGCATCGTGACGGAGAAGCGGGCTCTGCTGGCCATGCTTGGGGTGTGGGTGCTATCGGTGGTCATCTCCATCGGGCCTCTGTTCGGGTGGAAGCAGCCACCGTCACCGGACGACACGCAGTGTCCCATCACCGAGGAACCCTTTTACGCACTCTTCTCCTCCCTCGGCTCTTTCTACATCCCTCTCGTTGTTATCCTGGCCATGTACTGCCGGGTGTACATAGTCGCAAAACGGACCACGAAGAACCTGGAGGCAGGTGTGATGCGTGAGAGGATGAACTCCGGGGAGCTGACCCTCAGGATCCACAAGGGATCTCAGGTGCAAGAGGAGTCCGGCAGCTCAGGCTCTGCAGCCGGCAAGGGCCGCGCGCACCAAGCCAGGAGTTCCCTTACCGTGAAACTTCTGAAATTCTCCCGGGAGAAGAAAGCGGCTAAAACTTTGGGAGTTGTGGTTGGCATGTTTACGCTATGTTGGCTGCCCTTCTTCCTCGCCTTACCCATAGGTAGGTCCAAGAGGTCGTACTTTACTTTTCTTAATGAAACTCATGCAGAGCCATTAACGAGAAATACTACCCTCACGTGTTTTCTTCTCCTCCTAATCCATTTTAAAGACTTCATGACATTCTATTAGCTAATGAAAGAATATTCACTCACTTTAATTTCAGTATATGAAGATAAACATGATGCAGTTGAAGGGCTGCTACAGGCCTTAAATCATATCTATAGCTGGGACTGGGAAAGTCTCCAGGGTACCATTTGCTGCACCAATCTGTCACTAAACCTGTGGGTGGGCTTTGATATACTGAAGGGGTCATTTCACACTGCAAGGATACAAATAACATCACCACTTTATTATTGCAGCTTTCAATATATGGTGCAACCAGCTGGGATGAATCTTTATTATTTGTCTCACTCCAAATCCTTAGTCTCATTCTTTGAGGCATTTATAACACAACTTTAAACAAGCTACACAATTACACACTACCCACTTCTTTTGCTTCTCACTGCAATATCAAATCAGGATAGAAGCTGCTGCATCTGCTGCAACAATGAGACAAATCTGTGATGAGGTGAAATTTTCCTCAAACTTTTCCAAGATATGATTTGTGTTATCTTAGCCTCCTTTCTTGAGTCAAATTTAATCCGCCAGGTTCAACAAATCCACTCCAGGAGTGTGCCAAATGAGGAGTAGCCAGCTTCCTTCTCCTCCTGCCTGTGTGTCCTGCTGGGGCTTTCTGATGCCACTGAGCATTCAACACCCCACTGTCAGGGCTAGTTAAGAAACTGCAAAGGAAATTAAACATTATATGCTGCGGCGAAATGCTAATGCCACCAGCTGAGCTTTGTGGAGGAGGTTAAACATTCATCCATGTTGAAGTTTGGATAAACAGAGCCAGGCCTGTGTCCTTTATATCACTGTTAGCTTAATTTTATGTGTGTTTGTGTATGAGGACACTTCTGTGTGCATACATTACCATGTTCATATGGGAGTATGTTTATGCCTCTGGCTCAACCTGCAGCTCATCACATCTTCACATGGACACTCACACACACATCACTGACCAGGGCAGGATCACTATGCAGTGTCACACAGCGGGACTTGCTCTGCCTGGAGGCGTCACCCAAAGCTAATAACAAATGTCATTTTCCAAAGTTGTGATTCTCAGATGTGAGAGGCTTCAGAGGGCCACATCTGAGGTTCAGGATGGGCCTGTTTATGTAGCTCTAATCAACAAAACTGCCAAGAAACCACCCCCTAAGGCTGCATTTCTCTGGTGTAGCATACTGATAACTCATGACAAAGCACCTGCGGCTTCAGAGGTGCATGATGGGACAGCATATAAAACAAGTCTGGTAGTTTTGTGTAGGTGGACAATGCATAATGCATCCACTATGTGTAAGAGGGGGACACTGAGCAGCTCTCTCTCTGAGTATCCAATTTCTTTAAAGGACTCCGGTGTTCAGATCTCTTGTGTGACTCCAGTCTGAACTTAAACACTCAGATCGTGATCGGGCAGCATTTTTCTCCCTGAGTGTTCATTAGCCTCCACCCACAGAGAGGGATTTCCTGTCTCACACTTGTTATTACCCTGCTCTTTCCTCGGCGCACTGTCACTGAATAAAATGTATGCTGCGGCTTACTTATTGGCGGTGTGTGCGCTGCGGTGTCATTGGAGGCGGGCCAGAGTGTTTTGTTTGTGGGGGGCGGGGCTGAAAAACGTATGTACATGTATGGAAGCATGGTAACTTGTGTTTTGAGTGATTGTGTCAGTGTGTTTGCAGCTGCTTCTCTGTCCTCTATCAACACTGATGTTTGGAGAATTAAAGCGCCTGCAGAGATAAAGCTGCGGCTGTGCTCAAGGGCCGCTGTGACCTTTGACCCCTGTAGTATCAACTCATGCAAGCTTGAAGAAATATGTGAACCCTCACCTCCATAGCTGATCCTACCTGATCTAATTTAAATTCCGCAGATACCTTGTTTTTGTTTTTGAGTGTAAAAACACAGACTTGGAGTCAGTCTTTTTCAGTGTCTCCTTTTAACTCACAGCAAAGGCAGATACATAACCTTCAGCATTTTAAACATCACATCAAAGGTTTGACATGAGTGTTTCTCCAGGCAAAGCCAAAAATTTTTCAAAAATGGTCTGAGTGCTGTACGGCTGTGTTTGCTTGTCACTGACGATGACTTATCTCCATTAAGTCTTTTGGTGATTGTCTAAATGGACACTTCAGTGCTTACTGTTTCCTGTTGTAATCAAAAATCAAAAACACTGATAACCACGAATGCCTGTCATAATTTCATCTTTCAGTAAAACAGTATATCCAGTGGCACTGTCACATGTTAATCTACACCCACGCTTCTGTTACTTCAGCATGTTGAGCACACTAACAATATTCAGACACTGAACAGGTCATTGTCATTTCTAGTACAGGTGGGAAAGTGACCAATCCTGAAATGTCTTTCATGCTAACTGCATGCTGTGTATTTTCTCAAAGAGCAGTCCTCAAAAATTTAGCTCACTAAAGTGCTTTCTCCTTGATAATATTTCTAGACTTACCACTTTTAGAGAAGAAAAGGATTAGATAAAAGTCCGAATGATGAATAGCATCTACAAAAGCATGGCCTTTCTTTGAAGAAACAGCAGGAAAAGTAGATCAGACTAACCTTGAAACACAAAAAGCAAACAGACTGCTGTCATCAGCATTTATGCCCACACACAGCTGAAAATGAAATACAGGAACAAAAATGTATGGAAAAGTGCATGTAAACATAAAGCTAGGGCTGCAACTAATTTCTTTTAATCATTGATATGTATATTTATTGATTTCCTAAAGATCGATTGTCAGAATAAGTTATGAAATGCTCAAGGTGCTGCTTCTTGCTGTCTTTTTTACATTTATTGAACAGTTAGAAACTCAGAAAAAAATCATTTGAACCAATCAATAATTAAAACTATTGGTTAATTCTTCTTTTTATGGACTTCTGATTAATTTTTTAACCTTTTTAGTCCTACATAAAAGGAAACAGACACAACAAAGTATGTTTTGCTTACCCTGATGAGATACTTAATTGCACAACCATCCTCTGACTCTACAGTATCCCCTCTATAATGAATGGCACACATGAAAATATAAACATTACAGCACTGACTGAAAGTGTGGGAATTTTTTTTAGCACTCAGAGCTGGAGAGTCTTCGTTTGGGTCTTTTCAATGAGATTTTTCTCTTGTTCTCCACTCCAGACTCTGAGGAAGAGAAATCACCGGTCCCTGGGGGATGCTTGTTTTTTCACTGCCCACATTGTCCCCTGTCTCTTTAACACCCAGTGCAGGCATTCATGTCCTGTGAAGGCCTCACATTTAGAAACTGGTGCAAGTACTGAGCCCATGTGTGAGAGAAACCAACACTTTGAGGTGTTAACCGTTTTTTTTCCCGTTGTTTGTAAAAGTGTTCTAGGAGGAGAAACTGTGTCTTGTGTGCGCAGATCACACATGTGAGATTTAATTTGTTTTTAGTAGCATGAGCTGTCCGGCTCCTGTGCTCAGGGAATAATTAAGATGTTGTTTCTTTTGAAAGGGAAACGTAATGACAGTGCTAAGTGTTTGAGCGATGACGGCTAAAGGAGGTGGCAGTGCTGGACAGGAGGGGCCACAGGGCAGAGGGGGTGAAAGTGGGGGGGCCCTGAGATGTCAACCCTATTTTTCCAAAAAGAGCTTCATGATTTAGTTGTATTGAAAGCAATCTGCGGGAGCAATAACACCTCTGTCCTCTCAGATCAGGATAAATTAATCATATTTATGGGTGTGTTATGAAACAGGATGTGTGAGGTTTCAGGGAACAGACCGTGTGTGTGTGTGTGTGTGTGTGTGTGTGTGTGTGTGTGTGTGTGTGTGTGTGTGTGTGTGTGTGTGTGTGTGTGTGTGTGTGTGCGTCTGTGCGTGTGTGTGTGTGCATGCGCGACATGGCACTGAGTAGCCATCACCTCTTACAATTAGTGAGAATAACAGGATGCCTTGTTTTGTCAAGACGTTCCTGTGTTTCATGGTGAGATGTGTGTGCGTTTATGTGTGTATTTGTGTATGTATGTTGGTGTGTGTCTGTCCGGAGGAAGGAGGTGCCACACTTTTTTTTTTTAAAAGATGGACCGACAACACTTGTAGTCCTGTCATGGTTATCTTTATACTATTGTCTAACAATTAAGCCCCAGCATCCCCTGCTGTTTGGACTGCACCCTTTCAACATAAACACTCTTCAAGGTACATAAATGAACCATGTCCGCACCAGAGCTAAACACTCAGACATGTGCCGTTTCTGGCTGCTAGGTCTATTGTTAACCATGTTTCTTTCTGTTTCCTGCACTATTATCCTCAGTTTGTGTAGAAAGGACGTACAATAACAAGGTGGCAGCCCCCCACCCTTTGGTCCTAATTGCAGCCTGCATACTGGCTCTTCTTGGGAGCCAACCAGACCCAAACAGCTGTGTCTGCCTCAAATAGACTGGTAATAAAATAAAAGGCAAATAAATATCAAGCAATATCAAACTTCCAATTATTGATTTGACCAAGCAAGAGACTATAATGCTGTCTCATCCATTCTTTAAGACAAACAAAAAGTGCATCATATGATATTATTTCATGTAGCACCACATCACATAACATCATATCATACTGTAGGGCATTGCATCACCTCTTGTTATATCATATCTTGTTGTATCCTATAACACATTGCATCATATTGGATCATCTTGCATTTGATTGTAGCATATCACATATCGCTTTTCAGTTTATGATATGTTATTTGATGTTTAGCATCATGTCAAATATTATTGTGTCCATAGACTGTATATAGAATGGACACTGTCTGCCTCCTCACTGGGTGAAGCCACTTCCAAAACAGCACCCTCTGTTGACGGGCTGCAGTATAGGTCATAAATCTCGCCTCCGCCAGCAAAGCTTATGGAGCTGGGGACAAACTTTAGAAATTTATTACACAGAATATAATTTTTTTTCCCCCCTGGTTGTGATGTTGACATGTAGTTATTGTAAGACTAGTTTGTGCTCAAGTCCTCTTTTTTCTGTACAACTCCGTTTTTAAAAGTTAATAGGGGGTTCATGTTTTCTATGATTGACACTTAACAGCCTCTGGGCTTATGAAAATTGCGTAGCTCACCTGGGGGATACGCTGTTTGAGCCGGGTGTCATCACAGCGACTCTCCCGCCGAATGCGTACAGCGTTACTGTGCAATGTTGGTTTAAGGAAGTGGAGAAAAAAAAAGCAGAATTACCAAGAGCTTTTTGGCTTTAAATCCGTATACAGGCAGAAGGCGAAACCAAGTTGTCCATAGTATATACAGTCTATGGTTGCGTCATATCATTCATTGTATCTCATCCTATTGCATCATATTGTATGGCATAGCATTGCATTATTTTAAGTGGCAGAACTAGGAGGTGGCCGGGCGTGACACCCTGAAATCCTAAGCCATGATTGGCTGGAGTTTAAATGAAATATTTAGGTTGTTTTGGGTTGTTGTAGTTTCTTTTTATTTTATTGTAGAGCATTTGCTTTTAAGTACTTTGAATAGGAGCTTTGGACAAACATTTTCGTAAGTCCTTAAAGAATTAAGTCACATAAATGAAAGAGCTGTCTCTGTTGAGTTAGCTTTTATTTTTTTTAAATTTTTTTAAAGGAATTTAACATTTTTAAACTTCTTTTATAGTAAAAGTCTGATAAATATGGATTATCCTCCTAGGTTTGGGGTAAGCCCCAGATGTTTACAACCCCTGGCCACCCTTACAGAAATCAGTGGCTTGGTTCGGCTAAACCCAGCACAAAATGTCTGGCTTAGTCCACTGTATTATTCCACATCACATCATTTTATATGATATTGCATTTCATGTTGTATTGCATTGCATGGCATGACGAGAAATCTCATCACATTGTACAGAACAACATCACATCGGTTTTTTAACAGTTGATTCGTTGACCATTATTGAGACAAACATATCTCTCAATCAGCCATTAGAGAAAAAAGAGAGGACAAAAGAGGCTCAGATTTGTGCAGAATTTTCATTGCATGACTCTAAACTCGAGAAAAATGTGTATAATCAAAATTGGCTTTTACAGAAATACGTAGAACATTCCCTCTGGGAAAATTCGAAAGGGCCACATAGGCTCCTGCGGAGATGTGTACATAATGATGAGATTCTTCAGAGATGTTGAATGTACTAATGTACTAATACTAAAACCATTGTGATATTATATACAAGGAACACACCTACAACACACATCCCCTTTTCAAGTATTTATTTATTAAAATGAAAAACTGAAACCAGGATCAGTAGAGGTTTGAAAAACTCCAATAATAGCCTTTTTTATAGCTTGTCCTGTTGACTTCAGTGCAAAAGTTTTCAGCAGTTTTTTGCAACTTATGTCACAAAAAAATTCATTTACAATAGAGAAAAGTATTAGCACACATATCCTGATCATACAGCATGTTTTGATAAATTATTTGTTCTACAAATCTTTAGACTGTATGACTAGTGACAAATCAAAATTTGTCAATAAGAGGAAGAAGAAAAAACCCACAGTATAACAATAGACTATACTTTGGCTTAGGGGCCAGTGCCTCGGTGGCAATAATTAAAATAATGTTTAAAAAGTAACTTCGTACATGCAATTATTAAGCCTGCTATGGAAATTTTAAGTGGTAAATAGTGAATTGCTGATGCCTTCTATGAATTTTTGTCTGTCACCAGGTTGTACTCTCACTGCATGTTGCGTATTGTTTCATTTTGTTTAATCTGCTTGTCCCTTTTTATCATATGCTTGACCACAAACACTGAGAAAATCAGACTTCTGATGCTGTGTAGTTGACAGATTAGGCAACCAAAGAGAAACAGGAAGAGAAATGACAGATTGACCAATTTTAATTCTTCTCCACCACAAACTGTATCCCAATCACAGACATAGCTTTCTGCGTTATGTAATCTCATTTAAGAGGCTGTCAAGGCACAAAAAATAGCATGTGAAAATACCAGCCAGTAAGACCAGATCCATTCATCTGGGGTACAGAAGGCCAAGACACAGACTTTATCTCTTCTTCTCACAGCACACACACACACGCACGCACGCACGCACGCACGCACGCACGCACGCACGCACACAAACACAGCGTCTGTTGCTGCTATTTAGGAGACATCCAGTTAAATGAAAGTTGGAAGTGACATTTCAGTTTGCACAACCACGATCAGTCCGGTTAGTAACCTGTCTGGAGCACTCTGTGTGGGTGGTTGTCTGTGTGTGTGTGTGTGTGTGTGTGTGTGTGTGTGTGTGTGTGTGTGTGTGTGTGTGTGTGTGTGTGTGTGTGTGTGTGTGTGTGTGTGTGTGTGTGTGTGTTGTTGATATGCACAGGTGTCTCTAGCAGAAAACCAAAGCATTTTGAGTTGTTTTGTGACTATTTTCAGCTCATTAATTGGACACAACTCCCCCTGGGCTGTAATCATTGTTTTGAGCCAATGATACATTTCCCCCCGTGGCTGAAAACATGTAATGTGCCTTGTACAGCTTAAAATAATTGTTAAAACTGTTGATCCGATATTCATGAAGAAGCAGACTGAGGTGTCTGTCTATCTGCCTCTAATATCTTAGCAGAGGTAATTTCACACTTGACAGCCTGAGATTATGGAGCATCCTTGGTCTCTCCAGGAATGTGATATTAATTTAAGACTGTGGGTTGGGTGTAAAGAAACAGCTTTGCTCACATCTGCCCACACACACATTTACACAAAGTCTGTCTTTTCTTCCACACTAATCTCACACTTGCCGTGCTTATTAATTCCCTGTTTTTATCTCCAGGCTTCCCCCTCTCACCTCATTAGCTTGCAAGATATTCTTCCTCTATTAAAGCAGGAGGAGAAAAGGTAGCCCCAGGGTAAATTAAAGCAGTTTAACACGGGCCAAAGTCACACATTAGCATACTTAACGAACCTCCTTAGGAAGCCTTTGTAAAGTTGCTGTTCCCATCATTAGGACCGGGGTCTGACAAGTGATAACTTACCTCCATGAATGCTCACATACGGTATGTACCCGCAACTTCAGCCTGGGAGTAGTACTTTGTTTGGACGACTCTCTTAGACACAAATGCAGGTATATATATTTTTTTAAAAGGGAAAGATTGTTGAGGATGTCTAACCTCTGTAACCTCATGGAGAAAAGGTGCCATTTCATTTCACCTTATATATCTACCAGTTCGTAGAAGCGTGCCTCTCTTGCACAGCTTATTTCTATGAAATGGAGTTCAGGGTCAACCCACATGATCTGTGTTTTCATAGTCCTTCAGAGATAAACTGGGGCAGAGCGGCTGCATGGGCTTTTAAAAGCAAACACAGATCTATATTTATTGATATATAACGTGCAGAATTGGCTGCCCTCTCTGGTCTGTGTCTCTCTCGCTTCAAACCTTGTCTGCAGACAGGTTCATTGAAAAGCTCTGTTTTCTTATCAAAGCTGCCACCTGCTGGTTAAAATTTTACCTGCAACTAAGAAAAACATTTAATGTAACTGCTCTACTCACAATAAAACGTATCTTTGGCCTGCTGCACAGGCAGATTGTACATAGGCATCATGTGACAACACACGCTATTAATACTGCTTCCTCATTATTGGATCCTTTTTTTGTTGTTTTTGTTGCTGCTCAGTTGAGCCACAGCCTTAGACTTATTTCACCACACAGGGGGATTTTATTTTTTGGGGGATTCTGACTGCAGGAGATTTAAGGGAAACTTAAGTATAACCCTTGTAATATATCGGGTGTTTTTATACTCAAACAAGCCTTTATCCATGTTTTTTCATGGTTTCTCCATCCATTAAACTAAAATATATCATGCTTGTGTTTGATACGTTATACTCCTCAAAATTCTGCACAACATCTTTGGTATTTTGGTAACTTTATCCTGATAAGGAGCTGTAATACTTGAGTGTGTGTTCCCATTAAGAAAGATTAACTTGAAGAATTGACATTTGGTATGTAAAGCAATCATGTTTGTTATGTGCAGTGGGGCCCTTTACCTTAGCCTGGTATTCACTTCGTTCACAGGGGCTATTTTTATCGTGGATGTTGCTGGTGCTAAAACTAAATCTGACAAATTGTTAATATTTCACTGCTTCCAATTGACAACAAACAAGCTATTATTAGACAGCAAGTAATATTGGTGTCTGCCATGCCCCCTGGCTAAACCTCCTGCCCTGGCTGTGAGGACAACAGCTGAGGATGAATTTAAAATATTGAACAGACTGAATGCACGGTTAAGCCTTGCTCACTTCTGTTACAGCACATAACTCCCTTGAAATTAACAGTCTTTTTTATGTTTCTGCTTCTTTCTACTTCTGTGTGAAAAAAATGAGATCCAACCTCTTGGCTGGAGGTGCTGGTAGAAGAGATGCAACAAGTGCCAAATCTTAATATCAGTAAATGAATCAGTCTTCTGTCTTCTCTACAAATGATTTGTTTTTGGATTATAAATTGCTGTATATAAAAGGAACATATGAATCAAGCTGAAGTCAGTGTCTTGTCTTATATACCACTGACAAATTATCAGCTTGTCGTTATAGTGGATTAAAGAAACCAGCAAGTATTCACACTTTGAAAGACTATAATAGGAAAGCTTTGCGCCTCTTTAGTAGGTGCATAACTGTAGCCTGTCACAGCTCTAGTATTTTACATTTCTGTACTTTGGTGAAGGCCATATTTGCTATATGCCCATGCTAATTCTTGAAGCTTATGCAGCTAATCACGTTAGTTTGGCTATAACCCATAGACATTACAGAGGAAATGATCTTCTCGTCTAACTACAGACAAAATAAATAAACAAATAAAAACATCTCCCAAAAGTAATAGTTTTTTTTTAAAGCTCAATGAGAATGGCTAATTATGAACAGTGTGCATGGATTATACCAAGGTACTGTTTGGGCATTTGATGGGTTGACCTAAGGTTCTGGTGCTAAGTTATGGCCCACATATAATTGATTTGACAATGTCTCTCTGTCTCTTCTCCGTTGTTTCCAGGGTCTTTTAATGTGAATTTGCGCCTACCTGATATCCTCTTCAAAGTGATCTTCTGGCTGGGCTACTTCAACAGCTGCTTGAACCCCATCATCTACCCCTGCTACAACCGTGAGTTCAAGCTGGCCTTCATTCGCATCCTAAGATGCCAGTGTCATCAGCGTAAACGGAGAGCCTACAACTACCGCTCCTCTAACTTCAGCTCCTCTGGAAACTCCCGCAAAGGCTCAGCGGATCACAATTCCAGCTGCTTGAACGGAAGCCAGCGTACTCTGCCTTCATCAGCTAGTCCTAGCCCCAGCTACCTGAGCCACGGTCTCCCACCTTGTCCTGAAGGGGAAACATTATATATCTGGGGGGGTACCACCCCAACTCCTTCCACTCCTAGCCTGTTGCCTGGCAGCCCTGGAGAGTGCCCACATGGGTCTCTGAGAGGGGAGTCAAGAGGAGGGACACCAACTGAGGGAACTGGGAGGGTAACAATAACAGAGACAAAGCAGGGATCAGCAAAGACAGCAATGTGCCTGTCGACAAGGTGTGACATGTTCACTTCTTAAAAGGATTCAAGACATGAACACACACTGTACATGGTCCCATAATCACTCATCGGTCAGTGGACTGCTGTTGTCATTAGTGGTCTATGTGAGGTGATTAACTTTGCTGCTGTATCAGAGGTATTTTGTCCTATGTTGCTGTACCTATGGTTGAAATACAGGGAGATTTTTCTAGAGGACAGTAATGGCTTTGAGTCGGTTGATAAAAACCACTGTTCACCAGAAAGTCACCAGTGCATGCATTTATTTTACCGCAAAAAAAAAAAGAAAAAAAATCAGAGAAGTCACTTTCTTTTTGATCCATGTCTGCCCTGTAAAAAGACTGAACATGACGAACTCTCCAGCTCTCATGTAAAGTGCGTGATAAGACAATTGATCACCTTTCTGTTGCAGTCACTTGATATTTTAATGGTATGTTGTGGAAAATAAGTATAGCCTGGTTTATTTGCTGTGCGCACAATCATCAGATATCATTACTTTGTGTGTTTGATGTTCAAAAGCTCTGAATATCAATATCAGAAATGTGATACATAAAAATAAAAGTAGATCAATGCTCAAACAGTGCCTTCAGGAGACCTCTCTCTCTTTTAAATGCTTCTCTCTGGATGTGTAAAGAACTTGTAACACTACACCTCACTATGAAGGTAACATCAACATGATGATAAAAGAGCAGCACCGTTCAAAGTGTCAATGGTAAAGAGCAAACACCATGCTGTTAGTCAGTGGGGTATCTTGACTGGGAGGATATAAAAGTGAGAGTTTATTGCTGATATATAGACAGGAAGCTTCGATTAGAGGTGAGCTTTGACACAGCTCGCTCTCAATACACCCGCCTGTTCACTTTATTCATGGCCCACTGACTCCTGGTACATGCTGGTCAATCTTTAACTTCTGAGGGGCTTTGTTGTGGCGATGGATCAATGCTGGACATACTCAAACTGACAGAGTCTGGTAGACAACATGTATGCTGGGCGTGATGAGGGAACAAAGGTTTAGACCTGATAGCTCTTGGTGGACTACATGGATTCATATTAAGCGTCTGATGGCAAGTCTCTTACAGCATCATGATTTCCACATCAAGAACGAACACCTCAGATAACCACAGCCTGACTGATGACGGCATTGATTCTGCTTTATTTCACAGCACCGTCGGTAGAGTTTGTGTCCTGTGCCTGCTGGTACCGATCCCCATCTTCGCCATCATTGGGAATCTCTTCATTATAGCAGCATTTGCGCGTTTCCAAAGCCTCCGAACACCCACAAATTATTTCATTGTTTCTCTAGCTGTAGCAGACTTACTGGTTGCTGTGCTTGTGATGCCTTTCAGTTTGGTGCGCTCTGTTGACAGGTGGCACTTTGGGCAGTGTTTCTGCCGAGCACACCTCTTTCTGGATGTCACGTTTTGTACAACGTCAATTTTTAATCTCACCTGTGTGGCGCTGGACAGGTACATAGCAGTGTGTGACCCTCTACACTACCCCACCCGGATGTCTCCCAGGCGTGTGGCCGTGATGCTGCTGCTTTGCTGGATTCTGCCCCTGGTCTTCTCCTCTTTGTGTGTGTCCTTTGGCATGTACACTCAGTCTCCTCATGCTGCGATACGAAACAGCACATTACCAGAAAATCAGACCTGTCTGGCCACCTTTAAGGTCCCCTATGCCTTTGCAACCTCTGCCATCTCTTTCTTCATCCCTGTCGGCATCATGCTGTTTGCATATGGAAAAATCTTCAAGGCTGCACAGAGACAAGCAAGGTGGATCCATGCAATTGATCACCATACGGGGCAGCTTCAGACTAACCACACCTCCATGAGGACTGACTCTAGCGGACAAGTCCACGCTCATGTGGACAGATGCTCGCTGAAAAAGAAAGAGTGGAAGGCTGTGAAGGCGCTGGGTCTGATCATGGGGGTGATCCTGTTCTGCTGGCTTCCTTTCTTCAGCGTGAACATTATCCACCCTCTGAAGGGCTACGGCCTCAGCCCGCTACTCCTGGAGGCCTCCATGTGGCTCGGATATGCCAACTCCTCTCTGAATCCTTTCCTTTACGGCTTATTCAACAAGAACTATAGCCATGTCTTTGGAGCCATGCTGGATTGGGGGATCTTGGGGCGACAGATACGAGCAGGTTTGAATTCCTCACCCTTTGGGAGACTAGCACATACTGTGGTTACCCTGGAAACCATTTCAAGATGAACACTGGGTATGGCCTATTAATGTTAGTCATTTTGTTGTGTGGAAGGCTAATCCAAGTCTACAGTCAGGGTTAAATGCCTCCAACTACTTACTACATTGTAGTTTTATTAGTATTATGCTAGTTTTATCTGTGAACATGCTGTCAAGTTGATTCCATGTGCTGTTATTGCCTGATATAGCTAACAATGCTAACAACACTGCCGATGCTGATTTTTAAACTGGGATGCCTGTCATCTCAGGCGTCTAACAGAAATGGACTGCACCAGCACCTCACCTGGATCATTCAGACAAGAGATGGAGTGATTTGGTTTTTATTATTGTTATTATAACTGTATTTATTTGAAGTTAAGACTGATCATAGTCTAAACATCATCAAGACCAAATCAATCAAAAGAAGCACATTCCCATCTTTGTAGGACGGTACTTTGACCATCTCTAAAGGTGGACATCATAGAAAGTTAGATAATCGTTTCTGTTTTTTCTTATATCAAAGCTACAGTGAGAAGTTTTTAGTTGGTCACTCAACACACTGAAATTTACCATGAAGCTTTTTTATGAGCTGATCAAGCAAACACACAATAAGCAAATAAAGGTGGATAAGATTTTTTTTAAGAAAACAATATATAGAGTACAAGGCAAAATTAGCATAGAAATAAAAGCTGATGCTTTGTTCACAGGGGGCTCAGAAATTGACATGAAAGTCTGTCCCAGGATCTGTCAATGTTAGTCTCTATGGAGCTTTTAAAGGTTCTCTCTCATTCAAAGATCCTGTAAGGAACTTCTAGATTGGCGATAATGTGGTTCCTCTTATCTGTCTGCTGATCTTATCCTAAATATGTGTGAGTACATATTTTTCATCCCATCATGCTTTACTTGAAAAGTCAAAAGTATGACAGAGAGAAACTCTTTACCAGAGAGAATATAAAAAAAGGAGTGTGCAGTTTATCATTACTTCTGATAGTTTCAGACATAAAATAAACATAATTGTAAGTCAACCTTTACGCTGATGGTCTTGTTTGCTTTTGTAACTCATAAAGAGGCATCAGAGTGAACTTCAGTCATTTTTATAACCAGCGGAAATCTCCTCACAGGAGCTTTAAAAATGTTAACATTTGTCCTTTAAATTGAGTTAGCTGAGTTGTGGAGTGAAATCCATGTTACATATTATCTGTATGTGCTTTGTTATGTCCAAATCAACCTTAACCCTATTAAATGTTCATTCACTCTGAAGCATTGACCTTTGATGACACAATACAGTGACAAATTAAATATAAAAACACCAATGAGTTTAATAAACTGTGTAAAAAATATTTATTTATGATCTTAATATATATTTACATTTTTTTTAAAAATCATTTCTGTCTGAGTTGGTCGTAAATAGATCATCAGTGACCGAACTTCATCTAATGGGTTTATCAACCCCCCTCAAAATAAAAGCGTGTCATTTATTCACATAGAATCGAACTGTCTAGACATAGTTTTGACCTTATGTTTTACTTTTGTGTCAAACATATATTTATATGCTAAGCCTGCCGAGGCATACATGACAGTTAAAATGTTAATATTATTAACATATACATCAGTTATGGCTGACATGTTAGCAAACAGTTTCTTATTTACACATCAAGCAGATGAAGAGCAATGTTTTTGTTGATATGGTAATCTTTTTGAAGTAATACACTTTAATAGAAAAAAGTAATAAAGCAACTTTCAGTAGGTGCTTAGAGTTTTTCTAGCAATAAAATGAATCACATGTGACACCTATTATTGTAATTGCATAATTATTTAGGAGTATCTGTTTTTGTTCCATCAATGTTTCCTTTAAACTCCCACTCCGATTTTTTTATTGTATTTATTTATTTATTTTACTATTTAAAGTGTTCTCAGTGGTCTTTAAATTGTGATTATGAAGTTTTTACAAAAAATCAGGTTACCTGTGTCATTTTCAAGGGTTTTTCTTCTGCAGAGCTCCGGTAGATCATTAGCGATTCACCTCTGAGTCGTGGGCGGAGACAGCGCTACTCTGTCCACTCATCTTCACATAAGCTTGTAGCCTAACATTGCGGTGCAGAAAAAGTGGCAGGTAACATTGGAGCTATTCAGCTCTCGGACACTAATGTCTTTGTGGACACGATGAAAGCTAATATCATAATTAGCATTTTCATGAGCATTGCAATCCACTAACGCACAAGCTTGTTCCACAATCGTCCTCCGTATTTCTCCTCTATATGCAGAGTGTGGCCTGCATAGCGGGGCTCCAGGGGCGGAGCTTGGATTGGTTACGTATGAAATCTCACTGTTTCTGAACCTGCTGTTTGGGTCTGCCAGAGATTTACAGTGGTTTGAATGAAGAAATACTCAGAAAAACAATTTTGCATTTAGGTTTCTCATGATATGTCCTGTAGCATCAGAAAAATACCATATAAACATGTAAAAAATCTGAAAAACAAGATTTTCATCGGAGTGGGTCTTTAAGGCGATCTTGACTCATGTGGGTTGGTAAGCTCTGCTGAGAGATGTTATCTGGTCAAACAGGTGAGCCAGTGGGCAGCCCCAGCTCAGTGAAGACTGTGGGGTCTCTGTGCTCAAGGTGATCGATCATTTTCCTGCTGGCCTTCTGTCCTTTGTTCCTCACAGTGTCGATGAGGCAGCGGGCTCTGTCTGCTCTGGTGTTATTCTTCTGAAATATTGAGTCTTTCTCCTCATCATTTAGGACACCGTCTGCGAAAAGGTCGTCCAGCAGCTGATGGATGACCTCCTCGGACAACTTCTGGACAAGTTTACGCCTCAGTCTGGCAAGCTCCTTGTCTAGAGTGGAAAAAAATGTGATATACAGTATAACAGCAAAGCAAAATCTCAAAATGTGTGTTGTTGAACCACAACTTCTATTTGTGGAAAACCTGTTCTACTGCGTTTCTTTGCCATGTATGTCTTAAAAGCCAAATAGAGACATTTTAATTAACAATTTCTAGACAGTTTCCTACCATACATGGCGTCGACATAACCAGTGCTTTGATAGTCATCTACAAAAAAAAAGCAGAATAATATAAGTAACAAGATCCTAGCAAGATAGTAAACAGAATATATTAAATAACATGTTGTTGAATGTTAAAAACACCCACTTTGTCTGATTGCGCAGGTCCAAACTTCTGTTGATTCATGTTTGAGTGTGAGCAGGAGATCCTGGTCTGGATTCGCAATAAACACTTCAAAGAAGTTTGGATCAGTGCTTTCATACAACAGCCTTAATTTCTGCAAAGGACAAAGAAAAAGGAGCAAAACTAGGGAAGGTGAATTAGAAAGTATAAAAAATTGAGCAGTAGGAGCAGCAGAAAAACACTCATTGTTGAAAAGGTGATTGCCATACTAGTGGGAAGAGGGGCATCGGTGATTAAAGAGGGCATGATGGGTACTGGTCAGTAAAAGTGAGGATGTTGTTGATCAGCATTACAGTCCCCCACAAGCTGATCAACATTAAGTTTTAGAGAAATTATCACCACACTAACTTACAGGGGGAACTAAGAGGACTCTGCAGCTTGTGTGTGCTTAATGGAAATAAACATTAACGTAGCATTGAAAATTAACACCTTTTTTCTGTCTCTTGTAGGATATTTTAAAGAGACATATGCATTACAAAAAGTAAAGTGAAAAGACAGCTTCATAAAACTGAATACTGGTGTAGTTTAGAGATTTCCTGATTTTCCTCTCACTGCGGCAGGACGTGCAAATCTCCCACCACCATGTGATCGCGTTAATGATGGACTTAATTTGATTTAACATTTTCAATTAAATTTCCTGGATCAAAGGAATAAGGTTTTGATTTTAGTGCTGTAAATGTTAGATAATAACATTTATGGCTACAGGACAGTTTCATCAGGCTGGGTTTCTTTGAATATTACAGGTGGCTGGTGGAAAAACATAAGGTCCACCCTAAACTCTGCAACAAAGTCAGTAAAACTACAATCATGCTTTTATAAGAGTTTCTTATAAACAAGGGCATTAAAGGATTCGGGGGTCTGCATGGAGGGGAGGCAATCATACTTCTGCAGAGTACAACTTGGCCTAGTGTGAGAGCACAGAGTGCGCCCTGATTTAAGACCTGTGGGGTTTTCTACTAGAGTAACTGATACATCTATATAGAGCACAAAAATCATATATCATAGCACAACTATTGGAGATGAGCAGACCCTTACTACTAACTATGATAATAACAGCAGAACAAAGTTCAAACCATACCTCAGGGAAAACTTTTGCAGTGTCCTTATCCACTGCAAGGGTGAAATTATCACACATTTTCAGAGATTTTTCTGGGTATGGCTTCTGGATCATTTTGGATCCACTGGACAGTTCATTTTTTTTTATTAACTGCAGGAATGAAAATGAAAAAATCTCAGTACAGAGAAGCTTCAGCCTCACAGGAGCCAAAACTGTTGTCTGTACATTACAGCATGAATCAGTTCAGTAAGAAAGTTATTGTTTACCTGTGCTAGTGCAGGATCACGAGGAATAAGATACGCATGCAGTGTAAGGAATGCTTTGCTGGTCTTGAATATTAACATTTTACACCTATATTTCACGGGAAGGCCCACTCTCATCAGGACCCCTTTAGGAGAGAAATCTGTGTGGGACAGCTTGACATGGGATGGTGTAACCGCAAAGACTTTCTCCACAAAATCTCCACAGGTATCCACATGAAGGACTGCAAACTCATCCAGAACTGGAGGGTCATCATCTACCCAAAAGAAAAGAGAAGTTTTTGCATCCATTACCAGTCAGTCATTACATTTCTTCCTTTTTTCTGCTCAATAATCTCTGCTTACCCACACAGATCCAGTGTGGCAGGTACACTTCCTCAAACTGTCCTGCAATTACAGAGATGTCCAGCAGGGGTCCTGCAGGGAGGAAATGTAGCATTTCCAGTTTCTCCATGTGTTCCTCCCAGGAGCCAAACTTCAATTTGAAGCTTATGTTTTTCTTGCAAACCCATCGTAAGCCAGAGGCGCAGCATTCAAATTTACCCCCTTCTGACTGCAGGCTGTTAAAACAAGTTGTGAGTTCAGGTTGATTTTCACTCATGGATAACTCTCATCTCTCCAAGATTACAAAAATTAAGTAAGATATCCTGAAAAATATCAACTTTTTGAGTAAGTTTTATTTCTGTTTTGCTGAACTCGTGTTTTTACCAGAAAGTTTCAGGTTCCTCTGGGTCCACTTCAGGCTCCACTTTATGCCAGTCTTCGCTCAAAGGCATTTGACTTTCTGTGCACGCTGTGTTTGCCATCTTTGTAAAACCATAGATGAAATATAAAAAAAGTTACTTAAGGTAAAATCAACATGTCATAGATCAGTTCATTAGGAGTTAAAGTAACAAAACAAAGAGGTGTTAAATTCAGTTTGTGTTTAAATTCTCAAAGTAAGATTGGGAGAATGTAGAACCTGAAATAATCCAGATTGAACTGGGGCTGGATTCAGGCTGGATAACTGATATGAAAGTGATTAAACATTTAAAATGGTCAAATAATGTTGTACTTTGACAACAACAGTGATAATTTAGTTGTTTTTCTGTACTGTATGGAGGAGAGTGGGGTAAGATGAGCCATTTTTCATATTTCGGATCACAACATCAAGGCAATCATAGTTTTGTCTCTAACTATTATGACTTTATTAGTCCTCTAAGCTAAAATGGTGGACTTTTATGTTAGGTTTTTGACTTCATGTTGAAGCTCATAGATATCACAATTGATGTATAAAACAAATTTAAAATGATCTTTTTTGGTCTGAACACAATTCTAATAAAACATATGACAGACTAAATTCACTTTCAAGAGTGAAAAAATGTTTTTTTGTAAATAAAAGTGTATTACTAGATCAGGTTGATCTATTCACTTGTACTCAGAAAACCTGGATCAAAAGTGAATGTCTTAGACAAAGATGATCTGCTCACTGTCATAGCGTCACATGCTGAAGCCCCCTGGCTGCTACATGAGGCAGCGCTCTGCTGTTTTTGAGATCTGAAACAGTCAAAGACAAATGGTATTCAGTACTCATTCTCCTTTCAATATGAAAAGAAAGCTTGTGTGTTAATGCTTTTACTCTGAGTCCTTATGAAACTGTGGCTCCAGCTCTGCAAGGATGTTGTTAAAGGTGTCTATGCCTCCATCCTCAGCACTCATATGATCATAAATCATCCTCATCTTGTCCTCAGGGGTTGGAAGAGTGCCGATTTGATCATAGGTCTCTTCTTGAATAATCTCGTTCATGAGGAGCTTGTCCAAAATTGGTTTAATTATGTTCACACCCTGGGACAATGCATATTTGTAGATCTCCACAAGGTGCTCCACTGAGGGAAATAAATAAATCATGATGTACCTTTAATGTTGCGTTTCACATTCATTTCAGAAAAACAGACTAACACTCATGATCCACTGAAGTTTGCGCAAGGAATTTTTCAGCTTTATCCACCTCTGTTAAAATAAGAGAAGGCAATTTGACATTAAAGTTCAATTTGATGCAGTTTTATAAAAGTTAACAAGTGACAGACAAACAAAGGTCGGCACCAAGTTTTTTTGACAGAACTTTGGTCAATTTTAGCTTAAAAGACAAATTTTTCAGCAACAAACAAGACACAAAGGTTTTGGTGCAAATGAATGTGTTGTGATAGTGTTTTCACTAAAAAAGACTACTTTACATAACAGTGAGAAACATGTTTTGTGATTAGAAATCAAGAAAATTTGGGGCAAAGTTTCTTCCCTCAAGGTTAGGAGGACTCTAAGTCAACCTTTACTTTCTCTATGAACAGCCCACAAAATGAGGAGCTTGTCTGATATTGACATACAAATTTAGAGTCAGTGGAATTTTATCTGAGGTGACAAGTTACAGACAAAAGCTTCACATATATTTGAAAGAGCCTGTTTTCTACCACTAAATCAAAGAAAAAAAGGTTAATATTTTCCCCTTTAGGTCATTGTTGCTTACACTTTGGATTAACAAGACTTTTGGTTTTCATAGAGAGCTTCTCTAAAGAAAGAAAAAAAGGTAATTTTGTAAATTCAATGTTATATCACTATCATTTACTTCTTTAATCTACATTAACCACATTAAGACTTGCTGCAGAACTGTAAGGGGAAAACACACCAACCCACCTTATTGATAACAGCGATAACATTGAGGAAAACAAGATCAATCAGTAGATTTTTAGTTTTCTGTAACCAAATGACAAATTTATGAGAAAAACCTTAATGTCCAATGATCAGTGCCACGAACTTTAAAATAAAGCAGTGTCAGTACAAACTCATAATGACTCACCATTTCTGCTGAGGTTGAACAATGATCCAAGTCTACGCACAACTGAAAAAAAAAAAAGAAAAACAAAAAAAAGAAAACACATTACCTCACTTAAGTTTAAGTATGATAGATTTTTCTAAAATGCTTAAAAATGAGCATCAAAGGGGTTTGGTTACCATATGAGTTCCTCTGAGAGACGTTAGAGTGTAGTTTAGTTATTTAAATGTTTGGTCTATTTAATTCAAGCACTTTACCAGTTGAACAGAGCCATGAATGGCCTGTTGCACTATTTTACAGGGATACAATATACCACCATGCCACATATGCAGTAGTGATCAGAGTAAAAAAATCCTGATCAAACTCTGGACTTTATTCTGGAAAACACATCTTGGAGGATAAAGACTTGATGTCACACAAAATCAGTGCAAGAAACTTGGCTACAGAAGTGTTGGTTAGACAACAGTGGACTCACTTTGTCCTGGATGGTACCATTGTGAAGAAAATCGGCTTTCATCTATGACAGCAAAAACAGATGATACAATTTGATAATACATTTGAAAAAAATGATAAATTTCACCTGAGAAAACCAATCAGAGACAACTAAGATTTACACTGTAGTTTTTTTAAAGTTTTTTTGATCAGTTCATGTGCTTTAAATACAAGTTTACTTGTAAGAAAAAAAAAAACCCGGCAGACATCAATTACATAAATTTAACCAGTTCTAGTGCATAAATGGAGAAAAGACCACTTTACATTGGTTAGAAATCATGCTCTATAAAAAGAGCACTGATACGTTAATTTTATATTTTGATTACTACATTACAGAGGAGTTTGTCAACGACTGGTTCAATGCTCCTCACACAGCAGAGCAGCATCACTTGACTATTTACCTTGTCAGGAAGAAGACATGTTCAGAATAACTGTAGGGCCAGTGCTGCAATACTGAGGCATTAATAAATGTTATTAATTGATGTGCGGTCTCACAGATTTCATGCCACTGCAGCAGTGTTGTTGCCCAGGTTGGGCCATCCTTCTTTTGGCTTAAATAAAGATTTAAACAAATAAATACTTCTGCGTGTTATATTCCACTTTAATAAAAAAGCTGCTAAATGTTACACAATAGAAACTATAACATTTAAAACTAATTTGAAATCTCTAACGTCAATACATAGAAGTTGAAATGTTTTTTTTTTTTACTGTAACTCTTTGCTAACTAAAGGTTGTGTTTTTAAAATGGTGTACAGGGGTCACATTATTTTTTTTAACTCATAATAAGACGAGAATAAAGACTTTATGATACATTCAACACAGTTTTAGGCCATATTATCATTATTATTATTATTGGGTTTTTTTTATTATTATTATTATTGTTATAGAAAAAATGTTTTTTTTACACATTTAAATTTCTTGTTGGGATAAAATGACTGGGTGATTGTAAACTTGCTCCATAGTTTATGGTTTTATTTTAGCAGTGCATTTCTTGATTTAGAAGTTAATTTGTATTACTTAATTAATGTAACTGATGCTAATAACCCTAAATATGGATAGTGCTTTTTTTATCCCAGTCTGGTTTTACCTAACAACATGGTCCTTTCCATTTTTAAAGCAGAAACATTACTCAACTTGTGGGTAAAACTCATAACTGAACCCTGCTGAGTTAAATCGTTGCTGGGTCCTTTTTTGACCTTCAATGGGCTAGTTTTAACCTTGCAGTTTTTAGCGTTAGATTTTACTTTCATTTTCATTAGCTGCTGTTTGTTCTCCATGTTACCTTCATCAATACGGTCTCCACATTCCTGTAACAACTGCGACAATATCTTCATCCGGGCTCTTTCCTCTGATGGAAGTGAAATCTCGAGTCCAGTGGTCTTTGCTGGATTCAGGCTGGATAACTGATATGAAAGTGATCAAACATTTAAAATGATCAAATAATGTTGAACTTTGACAACAATGGTGATGATTTAGTTGTTTTTTTATACTGTATGGAGGAGAGTGGGGTAAGATGAGCCATTTTTCATATTTCGGATCACTACATCAAGGTAATCATAGTTTTGTCTCTAACTAGTGTATCTGCATATATTTCAAGATGTTGTTCATCCCTGCAAACCAACAGAATGAGTGTAAACATAACTGTCTTGATAATATAGCATGCCGAAAAAAAGTGGTCTTCTATGGTCAACTTACCCCGTGTATGGGGTAAGTCGACCAAAGGAGCGGGGTAAGTTAAGCTGTTTCCCTACTACCACCCAACTTTACACCCCAGCCCTCCCTCACCTTCTCTCTCCCTAAATAACAGTCACTTCCTCACATTCATGTGTATTTTTATCTATTATACACTATTCAACTGGTACAATAATTCTTTTATTATTATTATTGTTGCATATAACTGCTAAAAAGCTGTTTTGTAAAAAGTCATTTTAACATGAGAATGTTTTAAAGTGATTCAGAACATTCACAGCTGTATTCTTGAAAAGACAAAGTAAAACATTTCAACAATCTGAACTGAAACCCTGATCCTCTCATCAGACTCTTGTACTTTATTAGTTGAGCCACTGGCTCAACTTACCCCTGAACTACTATGATGACTTTATTAGTCCTCTAAGCTAAAATGGTGGACTTTTATGTTAGGTTTTTGACTTCATGTTGAAGCTCATAGATGCCACAATTAATGTATAAAACAAATTAAAATGATCTTTTTTGGTCTGAACACAATTCTAATAAAACTTATGACAGACTAAATTCGCTTTCAAGAGTGAAAAAGTGTTTTTTTGTAAATAAAAGTGTATTACTAGATCAGGTTGATCTATTCACTTGTACTTTGAATAGCTGGGTCAAAAGTGAATGTCTTAGACAAAGATGATCTGCTCACTGTCATAGCGTCACATGCTGAAGCCCCCTGGCTGCTACATGAGGCAGCGCTCTGCTGTTTTTGAGATCTAAAACAGTCAAAGACAAATGGTATTCAGTACTCATTCTCCTTTCAATGTGAAAAGAAAGCTTGTGTGTTAATGCTTTTACTCTGAGTCCTTATGAAACTGTTGCTCCAGCTCTGCAAGGATGTTGTTAAAGATGTCTATGCCTCCATCCTCAGCACTCAGACGATCATAAATCATCCTCATCTTGTCCTCAGGGGCTGGAAGAGTGCTGATTTGATCATAGGTCTCTTCTTGAATAATCTCGTTCACGAGGAGCTTGTCCAAAATTGGTTTAATTATGTTCACACCCTGGGACAATGCGTATTTGTAGATCTCCACAAGGTGCTCCGCTGAGGGAAAGGAAAATAAATCATGATGTACCTTTAATGTTGCATTTCACATTCATTAAAAAAATAATAATAATGAGACTAACACTCACGATCTGCTAAATCATTTAGCCGGAGGGATTTTTCAGCTTTATCCGCCCCTGTCAAAATAAGAGAAAATAATATGACATTAAAGTTCAATTTGATGCAGTTTTATTAGAGTTAACAAGTGACAGACAAACAAAGGTCGGCACCAAGTTTTTTTTGACAGATCTTTGGTCAATTTTAGCTTAAAAGACACATTTTTCATCAACAAACAAGACACAAAGGTTTTGGTGCAAATGAATGTGTTGTGATAGTGTTTTCATGAAAAAAGACCACTTTACATAACAGTGAGAAACATGTTTTGTGATTAGAAATCAAGAAAATTTGGGGCAAAGTTTCTTCCCTCGAGGTTAGGAGGACTGTCCTTCTGTAATGTAAATGTTTTGTGTATCACAGTCATTTCTACACAGAGTTCATCTGAAGAAAAAAATTTCAAAATTCAATTCTGCCTAGTTCATTTAACTTTAGAAGTGTTAAAAAAACAGAAGACTCATCAAACCCTGGATGATGATTTCTTTTTGTTTTTAAGGGGGAGGAGGAGTAAATTCAATGTTATATCACTATCATGCACTTTTTTAATCTACATTAACCACATGAAGACTTGCTGCAGAATTGTATGGGGAAAACACACCAACCCGCCTTATTTCATAACAGCGATAACATTGAGGAAAACAAGATCGGTCAGTAGATTTTTATTTTTTTGGAACCAAATGACAAATTTATGAGGAAAACCTTAATGTCCAATGATCAGTGCCACGAACTTTAAAATAAAGCAGTGTCAGTACATACTCATAATGACTCACCCTTCACACAGGACCTGCGATAGGATTCAGCCATAAATCTGAACAACACTGGAAAAAAAAAGAAAACAAATTACAGAACTTAAGTTTAAGTATGATAGATTTTACTAAAATGCTTAAAAATGAGCATCAAAGGGGTTTGGTTACCATATGAGTCCCTCTGAGAGACGTTAGAGTGTAGTTTAGTTATTTAAATGTTTGGTCTATTTAATTCAAGCACTCTACCAGTTGAACAGAGTCATGAATGACCTGTTGCACTATTTTACACGGATACAGGAAAAGTGATTAGAGTAAAAAAATCCTGATCAAACTCTGGACTTTATTCTGGAAAACACACCTTGGAGGATAAAGACTTGATGTCACACAGACTCGGAGCAAGAAACTTGGCTACAGAAGTGTTGGTTAGACAACAGTGGACTCACTTTGTTTTCGAAGGGAACCAGGTGAAAGTGGTCGGTTTTCATCTATGACAGCAAAAACAGAAGACACAATATGATAATACATTTGAAAAAAATGATCAATTTCACCTGAGGAAACCAATCAGAGACAACGAAGATTTACACTGTAGTTTTTTAAAGATTTTTTGATCAGTTCAGGCGCTTTAAAAAACAATTAACTTATTAAAAAAAGCAGACAGAAAGTCCATAAATTTAACCAGTTCTAGAGCATAAATGGAGAAAAGGCCACTTTACATCGGTCAGAAATCATGTTTTTAAAAAAATCCTGATCAAACTCTGGACTTTATTCTTCAAAACACATCTTGGCGGATAAAGACTTGATGTCACACAGACTCGGAGCAAGAAACTTGGCTACAGAAGTGTTGGTTAGACAACAGTGGACTCACTTTGTCCTGGATGGAACCAGCGTGGAGATAATCGGCTTTCATCTATGACAGCAAAAACAGAAGACACAATATGATAATACATTTGAAAAAAATGATAAATTTCACCTGAGAAAACCAATCAGAGACACCAAATATTTACACTGTAGTTTTTTTAAAGATTTTTTGATCAGTTCAGGTGCAATACAGAGGCATTAATAAATGTTATTTATTGATGTGCGGTCTCACAGATTTCATGCCACTGCAGCAGTGTTGTTGCCCAGGTTGGGCCATCCTTCTTTTTTCTTAAATAAAGATTTAAACAAATAAATACTTCTGCGTGTTATATTCCATTGTAATAAAAAAGCTGCTAAATTTTACACAATAGAAACTATAACATTTAAAACTTATTTGAAATCTCTAGCATCAATACCGTCAATACATAAAAGTTAAAAAGTTTATGTTTTTTTTTTTTACTTAAACTCTTTGTTAACTAAAGAGTGTGTTTTTAAAATGGTGTACAGGGGTCACATTATTTTTTTTAACTCATAATAAGACAAGAATAAAGACTTTATGATACATTCAACACAGTTTTAGGACATATTATCATTATTATTATTATTGTTATTATTTTGCGGGTTAAAAATAAATTTGAGTCATTGTATATGAGAATACAGTTGTAGTATAAATATTTCCTTGCAGAAATCAAGTGGTAGGAAAATTACTTTCTTAAAAGAATAAAATCATATGATTTTCTTACGAACATGAATTTGCAGCAAAATCATGAGAAAATTTTGTACAGGCCTGTGGTAAGATGTAGGTGTGATTTCAGGATTTACATGTATATGTTGGGTAACCCACCATATAAATGATTTAAGTCCTCATGATGTGAGGTAAGCAGATTTTTTAAATTTTTAGACAGTTTTTTTAATTTGATGGTGAAAATCTGGAGACCTAAAGTGTGAAAAAATGTTTTTTTTACACATACGTTTGTAATTTAAATTTCTTGTTGGGATAAAATGACTGGGTCATTGTAAACTTGCTCCATAGTTTTATAGTTTTATTTTAGCAGTGTATTTCTTGATTTAGAAGTTAATTTGTAATACTTAATTAATGTAACTGATACTGATAACCCAGAATATGGATAGTGCTTTTTTTATCTCAGAGTCTGGTTTTACCTAATAACATGGTCCTTTCCTAACCATGTTTAAAGCAGAAACACGACTCAGCTTGATGGGTAAAACTCACAACCGAACCCTGCTGAGTTAAATCGTTGCTGGGTCCCTTTTTGGCCTACATTGGGTTTGATTTCACCTCGCAGTTTTTAGCGTTAGGTTTTACTTTCGTTTTCATTAGCTGCTGTTTCGGGTTACCTCCTTCGACCCACTGGTTGATTTGGTCTCCGTATTCGCGTAACCACTGCTGCAGTTTCTCTTCGTTATTTGTAAGGTCTATATCCTCTGATGGACGTGAAATCTCGAGTCCAGTGTTTTTGTCTGAGTCGCTCTTCCCACCAGTCGTTTCAGACATTTCCTCCACTCTTCAGAAACTGTCCACCTGCAAGGTCTTTTCAGAGTTTTTGCCAAAAAAACTTTTTGGAAATAATTTCAGGAACAGCTTACAACTTCTGTTACCAAGATAGTCATCCCTGTCGGGTTGAGCCCGTAGCCTACAGCACAGTTTGTACCTGAGTGGCTTTCCGCCTGTTTTAAACAGGAAACCAATGGCATACGGGAACGGTGGCTGCATGCAGGGGCGCACTAAGCCTATTTGGTGGGCAGGGGTGAAAAAAATAAAAAGGGCACCTCTGGTAAACTATGAGGCTTGTACAAGCAGAAAGTGGTGAGTAAGCAAAGGTCTGCCTTCCTTAAGCAGTATTTGAAGACCATTTGTTGTTGTTTTTTACTTCACTGTCTCTGCTCAGTACCCTGTGATCTTAGGAGTAATTTGACAGCCCCTGTTCTAGCCTGTCAAAAATAACTGTGGGCTGGTGAAATATATTTTTGTTACAGCTGAGGACAGTGGGTGGTCTGACACCAGGAGCACAGTTCAAAAAACAGTATAAAGGCACAAATTTTGAGCATGTATCACTTTATTTCCTGCACTATGGCACGTATTTATGCAATATTAAGCGGAAATTTTAAGAAAACACAAAATCATTAATGTAGAATTAACAAAAATGTAATGATATTTCCTGAAGCTCACATACGTTCAAACTGTATTTTTTTTACACAGTAATATATCAGTGTTCAGTAATTTCAGCCACATAAACACATAAAAAAATGATGACTTGACGTCCAGGTTTAATATCTCCAAATATAACTTCATTTAATTCTGTTTTTCACTGTAATGACAGAGAAAAATTTTTTATTGTACATGTTTTTCTTAAAACAAGCATATGACAGGCTCCTCTAATGTACTGTATTATATCTGGTGTCTTCAGATGTATATATTATTGTTGTTTACAGTGGCTCTGTCTTACTATGAGCTTATAGATTACATGTAAAGTGCCCTGGACTGTAAATAAAATACTCCAGTGTTGCAGATAAATCTGTAAGAATTGGTTCTTTAGTTGACTGCTCAAGAACAACCAGAGAAATCTTCAGGTCTCTGATAAACCTTTTATTATGGTCACAGGTAGAGTAATACAGTGCTGGACTTGCAATGGCAGATTACATAGGATCCCCATCACAACAAGTGCCCATTTCCAGGTGTAACTCACATTTATCTTCTTGGGCAGGGGTTGCCCTGGACAGAGGTTGGCATTAAAGGGATATTCCGGCGTAAAATTAATTTAGGGTCAAACACTCAGTAACACCAAATTAGACACCCCTATATGTTCTGTTGATGAAGTTAGGTGCTGTTCTGAGCATTATTTGTGGCTATAGAGTGGCGTTTTGGTTGAGGTTTGTTTATGGCTCCTCAGACTGCTGTGTATTGCTATGGTGCGGTCATAACCAAAGCTGGTATAACAAGAGAAGCAAGCGGTCGGCAACATTCATCTCTCGAGGGGGTGTCTAGCTCGGTGTTATGGTGTGTTCAACCCTAAATTAATTTTACACCGGAATATCCCTTTAATACGCAACCGAGTATCATTGGCCGGTTATCTCCAACATGAACAAATCTTCATTTATTTCAATTATGACAGGCAAACTGTTATGTTTCATCTGTAGCATCATTAACATCAACAATACAGCAGAAATAATGTTTGGTCTTTTTTGTGGTTGAAATAACTGCAGTAATTTGTGTCATGTAAATGTAAGGATACGAGTACTGCTTAAATGATAAGTGAGTTTATAAAATTCAGGTTGAAATCAAAGAAGGAAAATGGAAGATCTCACAGGTGAATGTTCAACATGTTGGCCCCTTTCCACTCTCTTTTCTCCATCACTTTTCATCATGTACAGTCATATATTTTCCTCTCACCTCTTGTCAAGGATAGCTCAGAGTATCCTTTGTAAAGAGGTGATAAGGGAATAAAAGAAGCAATGAAGCTCCTCTCCTTATTATTTGAAGAATTCAACAGGCTCCAGTCATAATTGAGTCATTCCTCTCGTCAGGATCCTTTCCAAGCAAGAAGACTACAGTATATAAACAGGAGCGGCCGGAACAAGAACCAACAGCGGCTGACAGATAGTTTAACAAATAATTGAGACAATAATTTTCTCAGTGGTGAAGTACTGGTTAAGAGAGACCCCATAAAGCTGAAAATACATTCATGACCTGAGTTTAAAGCCCTTGTGAGGAACTTTCAGTTTGTCTCCGTACAGATGTTCAGTGTTATAGCACATGTGCCCACAAGGTGGCATCTGGGAGTTAGGTTAAAGTCGGATTAAAAGTCGAAAAAGAGAGTGTGCGTATGACGTGTCAGTGATGAAAATGTGACAATTAACCTTAGGTCTCCAGAGTCTCTTTATTGGGAGCATAAGACCTTCTACAGTTTCAATCTTGAACAGTAGTTATTGCTTATCTTGTCCTCAACTAGCTTGAGTTCTGACTTTTGACAAAAGCTCTCATCCAGCGGATTTTTGTCTGTCAAATCCATCTCCAGGCACAGATTTCGGTCTATTTCATAAACATTAAAAAGAAAACCTCATTGGAGCTTTTATTGGTGATGTTGAAATAAACTGCAGCATACACCTCACAAGCTCAAACTTGTCAAGTGCAAGAAAAAACACTGACACCTACAGGAGCAGGGAAATGTTTGGGAGTGAAAAGAATTGCTCTGGAAAAATACCTGACAGCAATTCCCACACACATGTGGAGTTGTGTGAGGTATATGTGTGAGGGGAGGGAGAAAAAGAGAGAGTATCTGTGAAAGGACACTCCTCTTCTTTATGTGTCGAGTAAACTCCTTTCCCACTTTGTCTCTTCTTGTCCACCATCATGGCTTTTGGTGGGAAATATGAGCTGGAGAGTCAAGAAAACTATGAGGAGTTTCTGGAAGTCATTGGTATTCAACATTTTTATTGAGTCATGAGCTACAGATAGATCAATTTAACTTTTCATACATTAACAGTTATTTCTCTGGTTGGAATTTGTACCTTTACAGGGCTGCTCAGTGCCAAGACGGACCACAAGGTGATCACAGAAGTAGTTCAGAATGGGAACGACTTCACCTGGACACAAAGCATTCCCAACTGGAACTGGAGCAATAAGTTCAGCGCCGGACAGGAATGTGAGCTGACGACGATGGCAGGGTCCACATTCAAGGTGAGTAAAAGACACGCACAGAAAAATAAGATCCGGAAAAAAATCAAGCATATTTTTACAAGTTATCGTAGTGCATTTATGTGATCAGACTCAGTTTATGACCTGTGTCCTTAAAGGCACTTGTGACTCTGGACAACGGAAAGATTTCGGTGCCGTTTCCTAAGTACAACTTTACAGCAGAGATCATTGATGACAAATTAGTGATGGTAAGACGCAAACAAATCACACTTTAAAAACTATTATTTTATTATTATTTTAAAACTGTATGGTGTCTTTAATATTTTAATTCTTTCCATATTTCTGTTCTTTTTCCTCTTTGTGTTCAACAAACCATTTCCACTAGAACTGCACAACTCCAGGAGAGAAGGGCGTGACTCTTAAAAGAGTAAGCAAGAGAATCTGACACTGCAGGACTTGACATGCTTCAATAGAAGAGAGGGAACAGGAGCTAAAAACACTCCCGGAAATGTAGATTACTCAAGCACAAGGAAACAGTAACCGCCTGTAGAGAGAAGGAGGGTGGATCCTTATTCTGCGTTCTGGGACTGATGATTTCACAGAAGTGATCAAACTGTGTACTGTCTCTCTACAAGGATGACTCAGTTTGTCTGTCATAATGTTCATGTTTGATCCAATAAAAATCACTGACATATGACCAGCTTTTTTATGTCATTACATAACACCATTACTACAAATGCCTGCTTTGGTAAAGATTTGGTTGTGGGTGCTGTGACTTTTGAGGTTTTGATGCCATGAACAAACTAATGCAAACGAATATAAAAAACTTAAGACTGTATTAGTTAGTGATTCGTGTTAATTAGATATTTTGATTACTAAGTTAAGCTATTAATGTTACACTCAGTTACAAACTTTAACATTTTTTATCTTGTGTAAATCATATCTGCACTGTTTGGTACATAATGGAACTTTTCATTCAAGGCTCTGCAGTAATCCAACCTGGAGTAGACGACTGCACAGACGAGTTTCTTTATGTCCAGGAGAGTAAGGGATGGGCAGATTGTTTCAAAGTTTCTGAGGTGGTACAAAAGTGATTAAAAGTGAAATGTTCTAGCTAGAGAAATACATAATGGTTATGGGGGATGAGTGGACTGGGACAGTTGAAATAGCTTCTGTTTTAGAGCTGCAACATTGCAGGAAACTGTGATTCATCCACACCTTTATCTCCTCCAGGCAGATAGTGAGTGGATGAAGATGGCGTGGTTGCAGAGGCAGTAGAGACAGCTTTTAGGTAGAGTTGCATCTCATCTGCAGAATGTAATTCCATGCCCACTGATGAGGGAGCATACACTGTGTAGCTACTATAACATTAAAGGTGCAGTGTGAATTGCTTAGCAACATTCAGCAGAATAGACTCTGCAGGAGTAGGATTTAATATTGTTTGAATGAATGAAGTGTTTGATATTACGATATTGAGGAGATCGGGGCTTGTTGTCACATGGGTAAGTTGTCACATTGCAATTATCTTTGCCACCAGAGGGCGCAACTAAAAAGTGAAATACTAGTTTTATTCCTTAATATGGTCAGGGGTCATGTCCTGTCTGAGAAGAGAAGAGCACATTGTGAGCTGAGATGAGCGCCAATTAACCATTTCACACAACCCAAATTAAAAAAAATTAACTTTATATATTTTAAGATAAGCTTCTTCCAGATAAAAATCCTAGCAGTGATACATGTGGACTTGTTAGAGGAGGGTTTAAGGCATCCTCTTATACCTCAGTCGTTGTTCTGATTTAAGCTAACTTTCAGCAAATTAGTTAATTAGCAAACATGGTAGTTTGGGGCAACATGTCTCAGTCATTTTGGGGTTAGTTATCACATGTTTAAAAGGGATTAAGATTAACGTTCACCCCAGCCAAAACACAGAGTCAGACAACATCCAAACTCCAGCGCGTGTTGCATAATATTTTATGTTAACATTTGTTTAATGGCTATGCTCAAAAACTTTTTCTAGCTCAATGATAAACGTTTTCTGTGCCTGACTTTGATGTTCACTTTCAGGTAAAAAAAAAACAATGATGAGAACAACAATAATTTTGTCCTTGTTTTATCAGCTGCAAAATACACTGTGACATCTTACCCCATGTAGTGAGACAACTTGCCGGATGGTGGGGCAACATGTCACATGTTCACACTCTCTATTTGATTGCTTATAACTCTGCACTGACACAATATGAAAATGACATGAATATGAAATATATACCTGAGACTTTGGTCTTTCGTCTAGTACACATTTTCTTTATATATAATGTATTGATTCCAAGATATATAGGAGTGTAAAAAGTGTGACGACAAGCCCCGATCTCCCCTACATCAAAAATGGTAGCATGGTTGTAAGAGAACAGAGAGACAATGTAGAAAAAATGAACCATCCAGTTGCTTTTAAACCTGACCTGTGAACTGCAGTTTCGCTGTATAAAGAAATACATAAGGAGAAAAAATGATGGATAAACATAAAAAGTCTGGGAACTCTTCTAACCTCTGTAATAATACAACACTGGGGAGGTGAAGTTATGAATTCACTACACTACTTCATTAACTACACTCCCACGCATAAATAAGGTTTGTGCAACAAAAAAAGCCAAAATGCAGAGTCCACATGAAAATATAAAACCTTCAGTTTGAGAAGATTTAACTTGAATTACATCCTTAAAAAAGTTCCTCACAGCTCGATATAGAAGTAGGATACATTGAAGTGGTTGATTTGAAGATGTATGTCATTCAGCTGTAAAAGAAGTTTTGAGATATTTCTGTTTATTTTTCACACTAACGTCAGAGGGAATGAGTGAAACAAACTGCACTTTACTGTCCTCACCACTGAGGGGCGCCCTCACTCTTGGATAAAATAGTTGAGAAGGACATGCCCTGCTTGTTTAAAAGTATTAGTTTCTTTCTTTTTGTTATTTTCTCTAAACAGGACTTTTTTTTAAAAGTTACTAAAAATATTCGTATGACAAAATGAGCTTAGCTGTCAAATACCTCCTGGGACATGCTTTAATATTCCCTCTGAAAACTGTCCTAGTGTTGTCATTTCATCACAAAAAGAAAAAAACTGTTTCATCTGCTACAGGTTAATTTGAGAGGGCTTCAATCCTTAAGTTATATTGTATTGCAAAGATATTGTACTCTTAAGTTATAGTACTGGGAAAAGGTAACTCACAAGTTTTCATTGCGTTAATTATGAAGGACACAATCTGTAGTTGCCTCCTTGCTCTTGCTCTGATTAGGTCTTTCTTATTTTTGACTCACTCTTGATTAAAGAGTCATTCTCCCTAAAATTCTGCTGATAAACTGTAAGTTTAAAGTTAGTGTAGCAGGAGGTTAGCAGCCCTCCCTGCACCCAAAACTACATTTTTTTCTGTCAGATTCTTCCCTGAGGCCAGATAAAAGGAAGCGGTGGCCTCCCTGTTAGGCCTGACATACAAAAACTTACAGGATACTGTGACAATGATCCATTATCTCAGTGACGGCTCACTCCCCAGCCTACCCCCTCTCCTTAATTTACACGTGAGGAATTCAACAAGGAGATCTGGATAAAAGCTTTTATTTTCTGAACTGAATTTTTGAGACCACTTTTTTTGATGTAGGAGAGCACTGACTAACATTCAAAGCTCTATATCTGTGTGCCCAGCTGATTCTTTTAACTTCACACTTGCTGAAGATCTGCGAGATGTGATGAGGAATTCGCAGGTTTCTAAATCAAAGGGGGAAATTCTGTGGAGTCTGAGAAAACAGAGCAAAACTCAAACTCTGCAGTTTGACTCACAAGTGGGGACTTATTTGCAGCTATTATATAGAGAATAATGTCTCCAGTATGAGAGAGATCCAAACTACTGAATAGATTTCTATACATCGGGATGCCACAAACACAGAAAGCTTTAGTTGAGTTGTGCAGGCGGGTTGAAGAAGCAGAAGAGGCTGTATTTGTTGGTCGAACTCAGAATGAAAACTTTGTGTGGATTCAGAAATCTAGCATTTCTATTCCACCCATGGTTGGTGTGTGGAAGACTTAGTTATTAGATTGGACAATCCAACACAAGACATGCTTTCTTGTTCAATGAGGGGGAAGTACTTTATTTTCTTCTTGGTTAAAAATATTCAGAATTTAAAGAAGGTTTGATTATTTTAAAAAAGAACTAAGTGTGTCCCTTATAGTGTTCATGTTTAGATTTGCATTAGTGTTATTAGTTTCAAAGCAGACTATTTGTTGCTGCTGATGCTTGGTTTCTTCTACTGTTTATGGATCAAGTCCTTAAAAATATCATGTTATTTTTAAATTAAAATCTGTTAACTATAGACTACAGAAGTCTGGGAGAATTCAACAAACAGTAAACTTAAGAAAGGTGAAGGTAAAGGATGGTCAAAATAGAAATGTTTAAGTTTTAGCACGAAAAATTCAACAAAACTTCTGTTTGGTTCAGCATTTGAGTAAATATCTTCAGTCACAGTCCCACACCAGCTGGAGTTTGGTTGAGAGCTTCCTTGTTTTCATGAATTAGGAGCTGCAAAGACAGCATGTGGTCACAGCTGGAGGACTGTGTGTAAAACCTGCAGGGCTTATCACCAGAGCGGCTGTATTGTCTTCCCTCTAAGTAGCTGGAGCATTGCAGTGGAAACCTTCATTTCCTAAGAGCTGCAGGCCAGTTCACATGAAACACACCCCTCACATGCTCAGTTCACTTGTGTGTTTATTTTTGTCATGGCACACTGTGACAAAAGAAATCCTTCTATCATTCAGTGTCACATAATCCAAGACTACAAGTGGGTACAAAATTATGTAAAAATATAAAGTGGAAGTTTGTGGTGTCATTTCATCACTATCACATTCGATAAGTGACGTCTGGAGTGAGTGACATTAGGAGGGGAGACACACGGGAAATCTCTAAATAACTAAAAATGTTTCAAATAAAAGCATTCAGAAATATCTATCACTCAAAGGAGGCGGCTGCAATATGCAACATATTCATTGTGTTCAGAGTTCACTGCCCTCCAGAGGAGACCAAGTCAAATCACACAATTCTCAAAAAATAAGTTACAAAAGATGAACCAGTGGTGAACACGAGACAGTGATGGCTGTGGTCAGTTTAAGCAGAGAAAAACAACTTATTGCACCATTGACACCTCAGTGAGAAGTTGATCATGAGTTAGGAGGAAATGAACACGACAAGCATCTTCAAAAAATGTGTAAATCAACAATATCCAGAAAGAGACCGACTAAAACCTCAAACCAAACTAGACATAGAGGGAATGAAAAGATGTAACAAAACTGTATATGAAGAGTTCAAACAAAGGCATAGTATGAGATCACTGCGCTGTGGTGAGAAAACAAACCGGTTTGATGATTTGTGACTGTAATGATTTCAGCGTTGCAGCTTCAGAAGGCGTCACGTAGTGTTTTCTGAGAAAAGCACATCTGATGATGCATTTATGGTTTGAACGAGAGGCAACATCAACAGCAGCTTTGTGTTCGTTCAGAACTTACAAACTTCAGTCAAGCTCACAGTTTCCTCAGCGCTGAGCAGCTTTTAACATTGATTCAGACATCATTAGCCCATAGAAGAAAATTACAACTGGAGTTATCCAACCGACATGCATGTAACCATTTTCATAAACTTTCAAGCTAAAATGACCACGCTTCTCTAATTTCAGTCTAAAGGTGAATTGGCAGCTTGTGGTCTTAAGATTCAGTGAAAGAAGGCGTCTGAATAGATCATCTTGAGCTGCGGGACATTTAACTGGCATTTCACTGTTTTTCTTTCTTTTTCTCTTAGAAAAACTAATTAGTGTGGAAAATAATCCCTAGCTGCAGTCCTAATTCAGTGGAAAACATCCCAGATCATTTAAGGTATCGCCATGGTAACCGGAGCGCAACCCAATCTGCATGTGTTTATACTTGAACAGGAAGAGGGAAGATTGGGGATTGCAGCCTTAGAAATCTGGGAAGCAATTACTGCGGACTGACTGCAGATGTCTGTCTGAAACCAGTGACCATGAGTTTGTTCCTCTATGAAGCAGACAGACTGTTTTCATGCTTCCAGTTATCGACTTGTAAGCAGAATACGGTCCAGTGATGAAGGAGGGGAGTATTCCAGCCCCTGCAGATGCTGCACTTGCATCCACTTTAAAGCATAATAGCACAGAGTAATGAGAAGGCTGCTAGCTTCAGCCTTGAAACCTGAGTCTGAATACACAGTTTCTATGAACAGGTACAAAATAAAACTATGATTAATTAATCGTGTTTCTAAGCTGGTATAAAAAGCTACACTAGATCAAACAAATACATAGAAAAAAGAAAAAAAAACACATCATAAATAAAAGCTATGGCATGTTTCAATGGCATCATATTCAAGTAATCTTGAAGTCCCTGATACTTAGTGGTTCATGTAAACATTGGAGTCATTAACACAGACACAGAACCAACAGTTCATAAGAAGGCAGCAGCATTCGTATGTACAATATTCAAATAATGTCCACGTCTCCTTCACCATGCTGGTCCAGTCACATCAGTGTGTGTTCAATTCTTTGAGCGGTGGAAGACAGTGAAATTAAAACTCAAATTTGGCAAAGCCTGTAGAGACGCACTACTCCAGGGGTGCGTGACAGCTCTGCCACAAGGCCTGACTTTGGAGATGGGAGAGATGAAGTGAGATGAGATGAGGACAGATAGGAGGAAAGATTAAAAAAAAAGAAAACACTGCAGCACACTGCCGCAAAGGTGTATCCTTCACCTGGTGTGCTTAAAAACATGAAGTCCTCGTTCCCTCTGACAGCTTATGTGGTGAGAAATTCAGAGGGCCCTTCAGCTCTGACAGAGGAGGACAAAGTTGAATTTAAAATTTCTTTTATACGTCTTATAAATGTTGGATTGAGAAACACTACCAATTTCTCCTCTCCGATATGTTTTGAACTTCAGGGTTGACAAAGTTATCTATGTAAGCAGCAAATATATCTTTATCACAGATCCTTTGTGTTCTGCGCAATTCTAAAATTGGCTCAGCTATAACACCACTGAGAAGAGGCACTGAATGAGGTGGGTGTTCAATCACACTGCTGCTTTCATCTCATTCACAGTGAGGACAGTCTCATAATATGTGGATCTAGAAAAGAACAGTTCAGGGCACGGCAGTAATGTTTCAGTCAGTGTTTCAGTCAGTGGAGCCTTTGTCATGTCAGTGTAATGACTTCCACTGGGTCAGTCTTGCCTTTGGACCTCTGCTTGCGTTTGAGGCGTCTCTGTGAGGGGGGCAGGATGGCTGGACGAGCTGTGGGCGTGACGGAGCTGACGGAGAGAGAGAGGAGGTCAGAGAACGGGTATTTTGGGGTGGGGACTTTGGACGGCAGTATAGCAGTGCACTCCCGCAGGGGTTTGTGTTCCCTCTCCGTCTCCTGGCGTCACCTGTCGAAGCAGCCGGCTGCAAACGTGTGATGAGACCCCAAGTAGCCCCCGCTGTAGGCCATGCTCAGACAGTGGCGTGGCTCTCCAGCGAGGGCCATCTGCACTGAAATAGGCCCCTGGAGCGGCAGCCCCCGTGCACCTGGCTGGAGACCAGGGGTCAGGCTTGGGTAGGAGGGGAATCCACCTGCAGAAGTCATGGAAGGAGCTGCAGAGAGCAGCCCCATCCTGTGGCCCTGAAGAAAGTCCTGAGACACATTCATCACGCTCCCCAGAGCCTGAGAGTCAGCTAGAGCCTGCAGCTGGGAGAGGGATGGGGAATGCTGGGATAGGTGAGGGAAGGCTTCTGGTTGAAAGAGCAGCTGTGGTGTGGAGGAGGTGGAAGAGGAGGAAGAGGAAGAGGAGGCTGGTCTCTGGATGGCTGATACTGGAGAGAGGTGAGAGGTCTGAGGCTGTGACTGAAGAGATGAGGGTCTGTGTGGAGGAGTGGATTTGGTCTTGTTGGCCTCTTTAACATCGTTGTCATGAGCACTGTGAAGGGGAGAGGAAGATATCACAACAATATGAACATTTATTGACCAGCAGGCAGAATAGTAAATATTACAACTACTGAGATCTATCTGGAAAAAGATGTCTGCTAAATCTGTTAATGGGACAAAAACCAGCCTGCACCATCTTGTTCAACCCCCTCACAATCGGTGCAAACATGTGCAAGCAATACACGTGGACAGATGTACACAAATAAACGCACACAGCCGCCAACTCAACTGAAAACGTACAACTTTGTTGATAAAGTACAAAGCAGTGAGGCTAATGACAAGGATGAACAGATGGAGTGGCTTTATCTGGTGATATACACGACAGAGTAAGACCCTACATAGATGAATCTAGTGACAGTTCACATTATAAAACCATGGCAACCAAAATATAAAGAAAGATGGATCTGTCACCTCCGAAGGCTTATCATTAAACCCCTTTAAGATCTTATTGCTCTACATTACTGTGGATTTAGAGTATGTGTCTCTTACAGCAGCATGAGTTCAATGCACTGGGTGAGGTGGTCCCAGGTGTAGCCTGTTAGTAGGTGCAGTGCAGTGGTCCAGCTGGGGGATATCTGAAGGCAAATACGAGATGCTGCCACACAGGCAGCAGCAACCTGAGACGGTCTAAAACTCAGGAATGCATGATCTGAAAGAAGCCAGAGACAAAAGTTTGAGTCATTGTCACAAAATTCACATGAAAACACTCAGGGATAAAAACACAAAGTCCACTTCCTCTTAACTCACCCTGCAGTGAGACTTCCAGGAAGTAGTGAGTGTATTTGTCCATGAAGGCCTTGGTTTTTGAGAGGGAGGAGAGGGGCCAGCCATTGTACAGGTCACCCTCCTGCACTGAGGCATGGAGGTAGTAGTCAATAAAGTGGGCGGGTGTAGGCATGCACAGGTTCCAGCCAAAGGTCTCCAACAGCAGAAGCTCCATCTTGATCAGATCCTTCTTGTTGAGAACCAGGTTCAGGCTGCACATGAAGCCCAGAGAGTTGAGCTGCTCCAGTTTGGGAACCCGGTCCTCCTTCTCCTCAAATTTACCTTAAAGGGAAGAAAAAAAACACACGTGCTGAACGGTGTTTCGTGCTCTGCTGCAATGTTTGAAAGACACTGTCTGTAAGGTGGCTGTGAATACACTGAAGACACAGTGTTTGAAAACATGTCTGCAAGACAACAGGCAGGAGACCCTCAGATTCATGAATGCAAAACAATGACTTGACCCAAAGAAAAAAAAAAAATGTAAATTATTGTACGCAAATTGTTTTTTTTCTTGTATTTTTTTAAAGTCATAACATGAGCATTTGATGGAGAATCAATCATTTAGTCGGATTATGAAGCAAAAGTGGCTTACACTCCCGGTTCAGGAGTATGAAAATTTAAGCTGCTGTCTGTTAAATATCTTTGAAAAAGAAAGGATGTTGTTTGGGTTCAGTGACTAAAAGCAGGTGAATATCCCATAAATAGCAGCAACTGTGTTCAGAGTAGGCAGCTCAGGTTTGACTCTAACTCATGGCACTTTTGTCAGTCTCCCCACTCTCTTTTCTCTGTTTCCTACTCCATCCAGTGTCTTGGCTCTCTTAATCAAGTCTTAAAGTCTGATAGTATCCTAAAAGAAGGCAGAGGCTACTGTACTTTTAAGACTACACTACATTTAGATCATTTTAACAATTATTTCATAGAGTCAGAATTTAAATTATGAGTATCAGCTAGTTTGTTGGTTAGACGCTTCTCGTCAATCATAGCATCACACTCCAGAAATCACATTTTAAAACTACCAACCGAGCTTCATTCAATTATAAACAAACACATACAAATCAATGAGCCGTAAATAAGATCAAGTTACAGTTTGACAGAAAATTTCAGTCTGTGTGGAGAAAGTTAAAGCCACTTTAATATGACATGATGATCAAATACATCTGATATAATCTTTTCAAATGGGCCCATTCATTGCCTGTTCTCAGTATTATGATGAAAATTACCATCTGTAGCCACATTAAGAAGGTTCATAGTCAACCCTCAAGAGCTGTTCTTGAGTTTCCGCACAGCCTAACAAGCGCCTGCTAAGCGTTAGCAATTAAGCTGACTGTTACTGAACATCTGGCCATAAACTTAAGCTGTTACACGATGAGGGAGGCCTAAGCAAAACATCACTACAAGCTTACAGAGAGTCTGTGGATTATAAAAACCCAACACTTTCTCTGAAAACGCCAGTCAGCTCGATCCTTAATATTTCTGTTCCTCTCACTCACTTGCTTCAGACTCTCTCAGACATTACAGCAGTGCCATTATGGCCAGCCCCCCCTCCCTATCCCCAGACATCCTCCTTTCCATGGCAACAGCCCTAAGGCCTCCAGGATCCATGTGACCAATGAAGAGGGGCGATTCTGCCTTTAATCCAACGGTCCAACAGGCTTTCTCTGCTCAAACTTCAAGAGTGAGGGCTAGGGGGTGTCAGGTTACTGAGATACAGGCTTTTCTCTAAATCATGTGCCTGAACTGCTCTCAACTTTGACCAGGGAGACACGGAAACACATTGAAGACAGAGAACTTCACTACAGATCATAACTGATCACTTTAACTGAATGTTAGGTGCTGACGTCAGTTATTAAAAAAACACAAATGATCTGAGGAATGGTGGTCATTCGATTAAACATACTTACTAAGATTAAGAAACACTGGTATGGGTTTTTGCATTACCTGTAGAGTGATTTCCATAGTTTAAGAACATGATAAGAACAGGGGGTAGTTTGGACAAGTTTAAACAAATAATCAGTGAAGTGTAGTGTTTTTTTTTATTGTCTGATATCACTCCTAAAAATTAATGTATATCTAGTTTTCTCTATCTCTGACCATACACAGAAATGATCCAGATTCATCACATAATGTATGGTCAGCAGAGGTTTATTATTAATAATTAAGTTAATTATTACTTCTCAGTGGATAAAACTTGATTACTTTATAAAAAAATAAAAAAAATGCTGTGTTTTTTTTTGCTAACCAATAACGTCCACAGGCTTACATAAAGTTTTAGATCTGCTTTTTAAGACTGTGCATAGAGCTGGAAATAAAAAAAAAACCTTGTTTTAGGGACGATCTTGGCCTCTAATCCTAAACCTTGGCAGCCAAACCTTAAAAGCAAGCTTTACAGACATATTTGAGCTACAGTTACACCTACAACACGAGTATAGTCTACAAGGTCTGAGCTGCTATGATCCTTTCCCATGACCATTATTTCCCTCTTCAGGACTACATCTAAGCTAATGTGTTGGAGTGCATTCTTGGTAAGTGCGAGTTTTACCACCATTGTTGTCACTGACCTCTAACTGTTGCAGGAAAGAGAGAGAGAGGGAACGGATCAGAGAGAGAGGGAGGAAGAGAGAGGGATGTAGGGGGTCAGCAGCCAAACAGGCCATAGGGGTAATTAGCAGAGAGGCAGTAATGGCGTCTCTCCACCGCAACAGGAAGCACGGTGAAACAGGGCTGTTTACACCCACCGAGGCTCGTTCAGCAGCCCAGTCCACACTTGCCCCTTTCTCTCACCCTTATATCCTCTGGATCAGGCCTCTGTCTGCCTCCAGACTGCTATGTCCACACAGACGCAGCCATAAAAAGCCATCAATGCCTCCAATCTCCACACAACCCCGCTCTCTTTGATCTTAAAGAAAGACACCACGCAAGTCAATCTCCTTTGTGCTCAGCGATTGTGGTTGACCAGCACATGAGAGACGCTGGACAGCCAAAAGCTTTGAAAACAAAAACAAAGCAGCTTCAGAAGTGCAGTCTGATTAGAGACACAAACGGATTTGATTTACTGTGTGTGTATTACAGTCTGAATAACAAAACGTTGATCTCTGACTTAAATGAGTGGGTGCAGCAGAGGTGCAGCCTAAAAGGGTGAGGCACACAGGGTAACAACTTCTACAGATAATGACCTAATGAAATATCACATCTGCAGAGGGGACAAATGACTCTTCGTGTTTGATTCTAGCTTAAAAAAAAGATTGTTGCCTTAAAACTAAAGGGAAGAAAAAAATCAAAAACCCAGAGGGAATGTTAATTAAAATGACAAACATGCTCAGTGAATCATTCATTCAGTCAGTGATGATAAATACAGTTTCAGTCTGTCTTTGGTCTGAGGAATTTAAAACACGGTTTTCTACTGATGGTTTATGGATAGATAGATATAGAGATTGATATATAGATATATAGATATATAGATATATAGACTTAATTAATCCCAAACTGGGAAATTCCCATGTTACAGCAGCAATAAAAACACAAAATAAAATTTAAAATAAGAAGTATGTACAATACCGACTAAATATACTAAACATCCTAAGAGAGAAAAATGAGATATGAAAAAAGTGGGTTATCCACTGGTAGTACTAATATGCAATGAGATATATATATACACTACATTTAATTATATATACACCCCAGCCCTAAGTTTTGAATCTGTTACATCTCGAATTCTACCATCAAAGACAAAATGCAGGTTTTTAAACCTAACATAACCAACAGAGTACTAAAAAAAAACCTCTGACATTTAGTTTTATGTTACATCTTTAAAAAGTATCTATCTACTGCTGCTGTATTTACACATTTAATGTCTGTTTTGGTTTTAGTGGAGGTCTGGACTCTGAGTAGTCTTCTAATGTTTCCATTGAAAAAATAATAAATGAAACAGAAAAGTATTGCTGAGTTTTAACACACTGGCAGCAATCGCTATTCGTCAAAAACATGTAATATGCAGGTAGACTTAAAAAAAATCATTATTGCATTTGATCTCCTGTTTTTTTGTCATCTCCTCACTGATGCCCAATACCAACCCAACAGCCCCTGCGCAGCCCCTCGTGCTGATTTACTGTCATCAGTGTGGCCTGAAAGAGACGCCGCATTCCTCTCCTGTGAGTTCAGCCTACCTGGAATGCAGGCGTCTCAGTGATCCTATCTGCAGTCATTCAGCTAGGTAGAAGCTCTGACAAAGAAGAAAACATCTTTTTCTTCTACAAAAACTACATCTCCATACACTCCAAGGACAAGACACCTCTCCTTTCTCAGATCACCCACAGGTGATGGTGGCGATGAGAGAAGGTCGAGTAAACAACGAAAAGTTAAAGGTCAGGGGTGAGGCAGAGGTGAGACCAGGATGCAGCCCCCCCAGGTGTGTTGTTTGTGGAGGAGGTGGAGGTAGAGGTGGGGGCAGGGAGAGTTGGAGTGATGGGGCCAGCAGAGAAACCTGAGAAAGGTAAGCCTTGGCTTCTGTTCTCGTGGAACATAAAACTACTTTTTCCTAAATCCAGAAAATGGGTTGCTACAAAGATATCAAACATGATGGGTCATCTCTAATTTGACATTGATCACTGGCATATATTTGGAAATAACTAAAAACAGAAAAAGTGTCTTGAGAGGAAAACAAACAAGGAGCTCTCAATGACTTGCAAGCAACAGATATGTGGTAAAAAATACTATTTGAAAGTGCAAACAAACAGACTTTTATTGAAAAGTGAAGGGTTTCCCTATAACTTTTCAGCTGGTAATGTTAGCCAATGTTAGCAGGAGCTCAACTTCCTATCAAACTGTACGGCGACAGACAGTTGCTGAAAGAAATGTGCTCCAAAAGAAACAAGCTGATTTTAAATCCACCTCAACAAAATCTAGACGTGAAAATTTTGGAAAATTGATGATTTACAATGACTGAAGCCGGAACAGGGCTGCTTCGGTGATGGAAAAAACATGTGAATGTATTATTCAAAATGTCTTTCTGTTACCTACAACTTTCATTTAATATTTATCAAGTCTGGCCAATAAGAGGAAAAAGGAAATTTATCACAATGCTCATTTTCTACCACCTTTTCTTTTTGACCTGACAGCCACGGAGGAATTTCCTCTGCTCTTTAAACTCCTTTTATTTGCTGGTTCATCTTTCACTGGGGGTGTGAAATTGCTCACAGCTCCATCACAGAACCTTCATGTTGCCACCCCTGGCCTCTGCAGCTCTCACAATGTAGGCCCAGGCCAACCCTTGACCCCCGATGATAATGCTGGAGGGACCAAGCAGAATCCTCGAAACCTAGAGCTCTGTGTGTGGGTGTGTGTGTGTGTGTGTGTTTGGTGTGGGGTGTGCATTTGGGGGAGCTGTCGGCTGCAGGCCAGCAGCATTTTGCTGCATGGGTGATGAAGGCAAACACAGGGAGTGCGTGGGCAAACAGAGCCTCAGGTATCACACAGCACAACACAAAATACGATTACTTTCTGATCATTTGTATTTTGTTACACAAGAGCTCTCACTGCACACCAAAAGGTGAGTTTGTGTTACCATAACCAAAATCACCTCAATTGCATCTGCACATCTTTACATAATTTCTTTAATCACAAGAGCCTCACATGACAACATTTCTGTTAGAATTACTGTCAAACCTCCCGCGGGGGATAAAAGGGGGAGGTAGGTTCCCTATTAATCTACATTTCGGGGCTCCCTACCGGGTGGTTCAGTTCTAACATGTCCCATTTTGCAGGCCACCACCTCCACCTCCCTTTCTCCTCTGTTTAACATCAGCAGCCGACCTGCCTTTGAAGTACCACTCAGCTCGTTTCCCAGCCCCCCAGGGATGTCAGGCTGCTTTTACTGGCTGCCCTGTCCCAGGACTGGCTCACTCTGGCTGTCCCCAACAAGGTGAGAGAATGAAGAGGAAACAGAGCTGGCGGAAAGAGGTAAAAGAGACCATCTCAGCCCAGTTGCTCAAATAGCCGTGTGGAGAAAACCGATGCGTTTTTAGGTAAGGAGAAAAATCTCTTCTGGATACCACATAATTGTGGGTCTTAATTAGATGATCATGAGAAAAAAAGAGGCCATTGGTTTATACATAGGTTGCCACAGCAACCATCTCCTCATTTAGCAAAAACACACAAACACACACCCGCGCACACATCAACCTCCACCCCGGTCTCTGCTCCCCTCCCCCTCTCTGGGAAGGGTCTGGCTGGCTGGCTGGCTGGCTGGCTGTCCTGCTTGCATTGACGGGCTTTTGTTTGAGGCCTGACTCAGAGAGCATATGGCAGGTGCCCTGCAGCACACAGTTCCTCCCCACCCCCGGGCTCTGAGGCCTGTGTGAGCGCACTGTGCAGTCAGTATGACTGAGCTTCTTGTCCGATTCACAGGATGCTCTTTTATTGTTATTTGAATATCCTTCAGCGGTCAGACTCACTGAGCTAAATACCTCAATCAAGTTTCAGCGATAAATCACAGCTGAACCAAAACAACAAAACATATGACATCTAACCATAACACAAACATGAAAGTATGAAGCAAGGCTCGATTATTTTGTGAACAATAACAACCTTGAAAATTCTTGTACTGGCTGTCACAGAGGCATGTCCATGATGTCATTTACCCTCACAAACAGCTGCAGTGTGCAGAGCTGTGATTTCAGGGACCAGGATCTGCCAGCAAGACTGATGTGATCACTGCAGGACTTTTTAACACAATAGAAACTAACTAGTATGAGAACTCATTTTAAGTGAAAATATTCGGTGTGTTTGCAGTCGCTGCTTTTTACTTGTCATGTTTTTGGTTTCATTGACTAATTGAATTCTCTAGAATGAGTTGAGGTCTATAAATAGGTGCCCAACAGTCAATTAAACTCTCTCTGCAGATCTGAAAAACTGACCATAATCTCACTTGTGCAAATGAAGCAGAGCTCATCCATGACCAGTCACATGCGCTCCCTCAAGCACCCACGAAAACACACACACAATAGAGTAACAGGATTAAGCAGTGGCTGCTGAGAGACACAAAAGAGGTAGCGATTAATTAACTGAGCAGAAGCCAGGACGTTTTTAAAGACAGATGATGTGTGTGTGTGTCTTAAAGGCAAGCAGAGGGACCTGGGGAGGCTGTTCAATAACTAGGCCAGATTCCAAAGCACCTCAGAACAGATAAAAACCCAAGACAACTTTGAATCAAACACCCTTTCAAGCCATCATCAATCATGGTGGAAACTCCCCAGTGTCCTGAAAGAGTCAGAGGCAGGAGAGCAGAGAGGAGGGGGCTCAGCTCACTGAAAACCCCGATCAAAAGACTTCCAAATCAAAAACTGATTAATCTATTAGAGAACAGAAGGATAACCTCTGTCTGGATTGTATTGATAATATTTTTATCATTCAACTCTCCAAACTATTCCTGGATTCTCCTGAGATTCCCTCCCAACAAAAACCATCGTTCACGTCTTCTTCACATTTGTACCTCTGCTGAAACTGCCCTGATTGCAATGATTGCCTGTGTGTGACAACACACAAACACACACACTCACTACTGACAAATGCACACACTCTACACACACACACATAGTGCCCTCCCAAGAGGGAAGGCTCCATTCCAGACTCCCACTTTGACAGCATCATTAGTCTAATTACCCATGATGCCAAGGGCTGCATTAATGTACAGAAAACCTCACAACCTGTTAATCACCAGAAAGACACACAGACACTAATAACTATCACACAACTTGCACAAAGTGGTATTAGGCAGTAGAGGAATAGTTAACACACATGCCTTGCTAAAATAAAACAAACTAAAAAAACACAAAGTCACAATTTCATGTTTCACATCATTAAAACAAGTCGGGTCCTTTTTAAAAAAAAAAAAAATCCAGACTAAATAATCAGTTCACCTCCCTCTGCAGAAGGACTGACAGCTTAGCAGAGAAAGCAACAACAAGCAAAGAAGAAAAAAAAAAAGGTTTTCAGGGGGGAAAAAATTCTCTACGAATTTAAAACCAAAAACTTCACTTGAACCAGCAAACTGTCAAATCCAGCTCTCAAGTCTCCATACTTCCCCCATTTTGTCTGTGGCTGTAACTCGGGGTGAAAAGACGAAAAGTCGTGATATCGCCACCAAAGAATACACAAAGATGTTCGGCAAAGTGAGAGGAACTGATTCGAAAATGAACTCAGTCCTTCAAAGTCATGACTGAACATGTTACGAACTGCAGTGGTTTGGCCGGCTTAATGTTGTTAATATGTTTATGGAGAACTAAACCCTTCAACACAGCAATAAGGCACTTCTGATTCTAGCTCAGGCTACAAGGGGAATATGTGTCAGCGGGATCAGTTCATTGTTTCATTGGATTCTCCCATTTGACAAGCTGATGATAGAGGAACAGACTATCCTTACACTCATTGGTTTATTCTTCTTTTAAGGACACGATTTCATGCTAATAGATGTTAACTAATTAGATTTATATGTGGCTTGTGGGTAGGCTATGCAACAAATTACAGCCATTCTGTGACAGGATAAAAAAAGGACAAAAAGAAACATCACACCTTTGATAAGAGGACACTTCGACCTTGGCAGGTGTGATTCCAAACTGACAGAGGGGGCTAACTAACAGCACCAGCCGCAGACATGTTATTAGCACCAGGATCAAAGACACACAAAATGTTCTGCATACACAAGCGTAATCTCCAACAGTTTCCCCTGAAACAATGGCACAGTCATCCCACCACAATGGAAACCTTGTGTTGTTTTTTTAAACCAACAATACAGCTACAGTAAACTGTCATTACAGGCCGAAAGATCAGAGCCGGAGGGGAAAATACCGCCATGTTCTACTGCACAGTTTAAACTCGCTTTTTTGCAGGTCACCTTGTGCCATCTGTGCAAAAACCACAGTCACATTGTTTCTGCTACCACAGAGAGGGTCTTCGCTGTTTTCAGAGTGAGCCAACATGCAATCCTTTCATTGAGATATTGTGAGCTTTGTGTTAGCAAGCTGACTTCCAAAGAAAATGCATGTTTATGTTCAAGAGATGCATGAAAATAAAAAACAGTCAACCAAGTCACATTCAGTTTTAAATCAGAAAACAAAACAAAGATGTAGATGCAATAATAAGGACAGAGGGGGCAGGTCATGTTTGGACTTACTGGCTAGCAGCAGGCAGGAGAGTGCGATGACGTACAGCTGTTTCACAGCCACATCATAGTGGTCCATGAACAAGTCGAGCAGGTAGACTGCGAGGTGTCGCGCTGTGGGACAGAGCTGGTAGCGGTTACTCAGGATGGCCAACAAGTCAGCAAAGTATCGACGCATGCCAATCTGAGGAGAGTGGGCCCGGTAGACTGGCAGCTTCAGCTCCTGGGGGAGGACAAGAGAAGAAAGATGAGGAGGGGGGGTGATGAGCAGCAGAAGAGTAGGGTGGGCAGGAAGGAGCAGCAGAGAAACAAAGGGGAGGGTGAAGAACATGCATAATAATGGTGAGCCATGCATGTCTCCTGCTGGCAGGGTTTAAATGCTTTCAGGCTGAAATACTCACACGAGGTACAAAACTCAATTTATTTCAAGAAATTTTGATCTCATTTCAATCTCATTTCATTCACCATCACTGCAGAGAACAGAAGCTAATATGGGTCATTGCAGGGGTCTCTGAGCAAAGGGCTGAGGTTGATGAGTGCGTGTAGGTGGTTCGGGGGGGGGCATGGTTCCTTCCATGGAGGTTGAAGAGTAGATAGGATTAGGTTTCACCCCTAGCACATCTCCTATTCATGTTCAATTAGCTGCATGTGTTTCAAAGTGAAGGAAAGATACTGGAGGGCATTAGTATTGAATCAGCCTCTGGTGTCTTCCCAACCAGCCTCAAAACAATGAAAAGCAAAAAAGCTGCAGCTTTAAAATCTTGGAAGGAAAGAAGACACATTTTGAGCTGCACAAACTCAGAACACGTGTTTCCTTTCTATCTAAGCTTCTTACATGAAAAAATGCACATATTTGTTTTTGTGTTTCTTTAGCGAGGCTAAGAAGAAAAAAAGGCGTCCCTGGTTTGGATTTAATAAGAGATTGGGGATTGGTTGATTAATCTTCTTAGTTCCTAACAGTGAGGGGTCCTTTCCAGAGTGTAAAATACGATAAACATCAACATCATGTCAGCACTGTTGTTCAGGAACAATCCTTAACTTTGGCTGTTCCTGATGCCAAAATGCCCTCGATGTGGCTCTAAAGCTCTGGTTCTCAAAATAAACTCAAAGTGGTGCACGATAAGAGTCAGTACTTAAAAAACACAAAGTGCTGTTCAAACAGTGTACGGTTAATCTCAAATGTCGTTTATCTAACTCAAGCGGAACTAAAACAACAATGACGCTGAGACTGACACTTTAAAGGAATCCATAGATAAACAGCCCCCCTACCACCCCTACCAGTGCCACAACCAACCCCACAACCCAATCCCCCAAACTCTCCTCTCCTCCCACTGCTTCAGCCGCTGCCTCTGGTCCATCTGTCTGTCTAGGGGTACAAGGGCAGCAGGCGGATGGGGGTGGATGTGAAGGGTGGGGGAGTCAGGGGGAGCTTCAGGGGAGGGGGGTGATTCTGTGTTGGTAGCAGAGGTGCCTTTGTGGGGGACCCACACCATAATTAAGGATTCCACAGCTGCCTCCGCCTGATTTGCATGTCTGATAATTTGCCACATGCTACACACCAGCGCTATCTCCCACATCAGGGCATTACTGCTGCAGCAAACGTCATTAAGGCTGGATGAGACGGTGGGGGAGCAGGCGCCATGCAGGAAACCTGAACACTGTGTGAAGGCCTTTTTACACACTGCTCTGATACTGACTCCTCATTACATACATTGCTGTGCTTTCAGTGAAACCGCAACTGAAAATACACGCATGCCAGCATCTCAATTTTAAACGCTGCGATGCATTTCAGCCATTTTGAGCACTGCTACAAGAATGTAGAGCAAACTACTCATTTTAGATATCTTTAAATAGTTGTGGGGCGGCGAGCTGTTGGTTGTTGTAAGAAAAACTGTTGTGCCCCTTTAAAGTCCGAGGTGGCTCTTTAGATTGCTTTTGTTGCAGAGCTGTAAAAATCACTCGATTTAAAAACAAAAAAACATTGAATAAAAATCAAACACTGTTACACCAAATTTCAGTTTGGGCAGTCAATGGTCTTTGTGTTTAACCACTGCAGACTAACAACATGTATTTGATTTACAACTTAGTGAAATGCATCACATTTGTATATCATGAAAAAACACACAAATGATAGGAAAAAAAGGACTTGATCATTAATGCCAATTTATGCCATTAATGATTTGTTTATTGGCTAAATCAAGACCTGAAAACTTCCTGAGCTAGGAGGTTTTGTAAATACTTCTGTCTCTGGTTGAATACTAAAACACTGAGTAGCTGTATAGTTAATATGAGCTCACAAGAGATAAAGATCCATCCCTTCCTATTCTGTCTTACAAAAGAAGATAGTAAATAAACTCTCCCAGAAACTTTTAAGCTATAGTTTAATATTTAAAGAGCTTTAATTGATAAATTTACAGAAAAAAATATTCTTCAACTGTTGATACTGAACGATAAATATTTTGTAATTTCTTAACAAAAAGCTAAAAGAAATGTTAACCCTCCGCTGTAGTGAATTAGATCAGGAAATTTCCCATTTTATAACATTTTGCACAAAAATCTTTCAATCTGTGTGTCTATAAAACAAACACCCCAGATATCATCAGAATAAGCTTTGTTTGTGTGTTTTTTTTAAGAGTTAACTGTAAAAAAAAAAAAAAAATCAAGCTGGCCAATTCAGAGTTTAAATAAATAATAAATTAATATATTATTTTGCCTTGTCTAAGAAACTCAATAAAGCATCTTAGTGTCATCTGTTTCCAATTAAGCATCTCTGAATTCACAGCATGTATGGAATGTTTCGTTACACCTCAACAATATAACTACAACAAGAACAGAACATTATACAGTACGGATGCACTGTGGTATTTGAAGCCAAAAAGCTCTCGGTAATTCCGCATTTTTTCTCCACTTCCTGAAAACAAAATTGCGCAGTAGCATTGTACGCATTCAGCAGGAGAGTTGCTGTGATGACGCTTGGCTCAAACAGCGTATCTCCCAGGTGAGCTACGCAATCTTCTTACGCCCATAGGCTGTATCATGTGTCAATCATAGAAAACATGAACCCCCTAATGTATGGAATGTTTCGTTACACCTCAACAATATAACTACAACAAGAACAGAACATTATACAGTACGGATGCACTGTGGTAAGTCAGTTTCTTTAAATTTCACCAGAAATGCTGATATAGGACAATCCAACCTAACATTAGAGCAACCATCCCTCCCTCTCATTATAGTATATGAGAAAAGAGTGGGTGTGCTGTTTAGTTTCCAGCTCTGCGTACAGATTTTTCAGTCTAATTGACAGCTCACTCTGAGTCAGACACTGTCCAGCATGAGCCCACTGAGTGAGACTGTATGTTACAAATGATTCATTATAAAGACACAACTCACTCTACATGTATGAACAATCTCTGGGACGTGATATCGAAAACCTGATCTGTATTTGTCTCTGCCAACAAGAAGCTGGCAGCAGAGGCTCGGCTCTGACACGCAAGTCAGGTGACAGATGTCTCCATTAAAGTGACACATGGGAAGATATATGATCACACTTTGAGGTTAATTAATACATTCTCAATTAATGAGCCTTAAGTCCTCCGAGTAATCTCATTTAGATCATGTTCAAATAGACAATGGGACCATGTCATTATAGTTTCCTCCTACCTTTCAGTATGATGTGCTGTGAATAAAAATACTTGAGGCTGTAGTGTGAGGCATTAACACTGACTTGCTCATTCAGATCATCTCATTGACTCATAGTCACAAGTATTTTTTCACTGTTTTTTGCAGTTCAATCAACCAGCAGACTATAAATAATAATTAAATATTAACAAGCAGACATTCAAGTCTTGATTAAGCAATATATTATTTGGTATGTAAAGAGCTAGATAGATAGATAGATAGATAGATAGATAGATAGATAGATAGATAGATAGATAGATAGATAGATAGATAGATAGAAAAAAAGTGAGATATGAAATAAGTGGGCTATCCACTGGTAATACTAATATACTGATATGAAATGAGTAATAAATATGAAATGTGAAATATACAGATGGGATTATAAATAAACAATTTAAGGTGCTCAGTAATGTGTTATGGTAGGAGTTTTTAAGAATGGACTATACAGCAGACAGATGTGAGTCTCTGTCCGACAGATGTGAGTTATTGAATAGTACTATTGCTTGTGGCAGGAAAGATTTCCTGTATCTGTCCCTTCGACAGCAGAGCTGCAACAGTCTGTTGGAGAAGGAGCTCCGCTGCCTGTCCAGAGTGAGGTGACCTTTTCGAATGCCGTCTTTCTCTTTCCCACACTGCAAAACTAAAGGATGTTTGCCCCTAATGAAAAGTGATATAACTGCTTTTCAGAAAAACACCCTGACTCTCTCAGAGTAAGTTAAACTTAGAGTAGCCCTGAAAAAACTATGAAAACTGGAATTAATTAGATGGGTGGTTTTAAAAAGGCAAAATATTTCTGGTTCAAAGTTACTGGGTGACTAAAAATCTGGAAACCCCTGACTGTACAATTTCATAAATTTGGTACTATTTAGTCCGGTCAGACTCACCTTGATGCGGAGGGATTGATGGATGTCTGCAGCTAGCTGTCCCTTCCACCATTGCAACTCCCTCTCCATCTTTCCCATCCAGAGGAGACTTCCAGAAACAAGTTTTACCTGTTGAGACAAATGGGACCAGGATCAAACAGAGCTCAAACAGAGGTACCCTGAGCAGGAGAGTAGGAGGAAACCATCCCATGCAAAAGAGAGGGACTCAAACTTATTCTTCATCGATATTAATCAAATGGATATGAAGATTAAAGCTGTAGTGAGCTAATGAGGGATCTACAATAAGGCTTTGTCTATTGGGAAATACAGTGGTTTTGATTAAGTTCTAACACCTAGCTAATCCCTCTGAGCTCTTTCCCTGGACAGGCCATTTTCTCTGCTCGGGAATTTAAATGGCTCACATTAACAGCCGCCCGGCCACGCTGTCGTCTGAATGAATTAAAGCACATCTCTTCTTAGATATAGCAGTTTTGGCGTAGTTGCTCCCAACAAATACGAAATGAATAACAAAAATCCCACACTTAAGTTATCTGTGTAAAACGTCCACACCACGAGACGGTGAGGCTACACAAGTTGACTGCCCACCGAGCAAACCAACAGCAGCCTCGTGAAAAACAAAACGAGAAAACAGTACAAAACATAGTGATACGGTTAAACATCGCTAGAAAAATAGACTGTTCGTATATTCAACTACCAGGTGAACTTTTCATCTCGGTGGGTATAACATGTGCCACTCACCGCTCCGACGGGAATGCCCCCCAGACCCCTTTGTCTCAGTCCGACATCCTGAACTCCTCTTCGGCTCAACTTTGAGAAAACACCGCTTTTCTCGGACAACGCGTACCGTTTAAATCCACTGACAAGTTCATAAGATACCCGGCACCGTTAAATTTCAGCAACAGGCGTTTCGTCGTGCCGTTTCCTCCCAACTGTTCACACTTTTCCGTCAGATTAAGCCCGTCCGCTCTCTCTCTCTCTCCCCGGTCGCTCCGCTGTAACAAAGTAATGTCCTCGGCTGCACCAGCTGCTGCTGTTGCGCTGCGAGGCTCGTGCGCTCGACGTTGAAGGTCCCTCCTCCAGCTTGGGAGTTGTAGTCCTTTTGAGGTCAGTGTCAGAACTACTATTCACCCGTTTCATTTTACGTCAGAAGCAGTGAGGAGTACAATTAATTAAAAACTGGTGTGTTTACATTTTAGCTCCATTGCAGACACTACGAATCTAATCTGATGTTTATTGTTTGGTTCGGTAAAACAGGGTTACTTGGAAAAGGAAGATCACATTTCTAAATGTTTCCTGTTTGTACGTTTATTTATGTATCTGTTCACATGTTCGTTAATTTCCTTTTTTTTAACTTTACTCCTTCATTTATATGTAAATTTCCTAAAAATTCTGTGTGGAAATACCACAGACTGTATAAACTATGGACAAATTAGTTCCGTCAGTATACATATTTGAAGCCAAAAAGCTCTCGGTAATTCCGCATTTTTTTCTCCACTTCCTGAAAACAAAATTGCGCAGTAGCATTGTACGCATTCAGCAGGAGAGTTGCTGTGATGATGCTTGGCTCAAACAGCGTATCTCCCAGGTGAGCTACGCAATCTTCTTACGCCCATAGGCTGTATCATGTGTCAATCATAGAAAACATGAACCCCCTAATTACTTTCAAAAACAGAGCTGTACAGAAAAAAGAGGACTTGAGAAACCAGCACAAACCAGTCTTACTGTAACTACATGTCAACATCACAACCATGGGGAGAAACATTTATATTCTGTGTAATAAATTTCTAAAGTTTGTCCACAGCTCCATAGGGATTGCTGGAGGAGGCGGGATTTATGACCTATACTGCAGCCCATCACCGGAGGCTGCTGTTCTCGCAGTTCACCCAGCGAGGAGGCAAATGGCGTACATTCTATATACAGTCTGTGGGAAATACCTACCAAAGACATGCTTTGAATTTGCTATTGAGAATATGAAACTGTAATGAAATTAATTTATAAAAATATGAATTGTTGTATTATTATGAGATTAAATTATTATTAGAATTTAAAAAGTTAAGGACTGTGTTACTCAGTCCCTTCTTTCAGTTACTTTTTTTCAGTGTCATACACTGTGCCCTCCTTTGTCACTTGTGATTAAAAATAGCCTACTGTATTTAATCTGTTCATGAGATAAATGGATCCGAAAACATGTTTTACTCATGGATATGCCACTTGAATGTTCAACCTTCAGTGCGCAGAATGATGAATAATGCTGATTTGACACTATCTATATGGTTTGTAAAATAAAACAGACCCAGTCACCTGGTCAAACTCAGACCTCCTTTTGGGAATGGAAGCATGTTCAGAAGAAGTTATCCATTACCAGTTGTGTTAGTTATTTTATTGCCATATATTTCTTTTCCTACAGTATTTTTTCTTTGCGTTTTCATAAAGAACATCTCATAGAAGATGAATCATAAAATAAAAGATTAAAAAACAGAGGCGTCTCTAAAGCTCCTGTTAGGTAACTGGAGGAAAAAAATAAACTCAAGTAATCCTTTTACTTACTGGTTATACTTTTTGTAAGAACTGTTCATAAAGAGCCCTATAAAAATTGTTCAGCCAAAACAAAAGGCTTCTCAGTGTTCAAGTCTTTGTAAGCCCTCCCAACTCAAGTGACTTCAAGTCTTTCTCCTTTTGCACCCCCTGGTGTCACAACTTGTAATCAACCACATTTCACTGAGGCCTACCCATGTGGGACAGTCTTTCCAAATTGACATTTTTATGTGTTGATCTAACATTAAGTTTAAACAGGATGAGGATATTAACTCCCCCCCTGAGCATTGGCTTTTTTATCAGCCTCATTGAGATAGTCCTGGTCAGGGTAAATCAGAAAACCGGTGAAGGTGCTGTCCGTCCAGAAAGGATCAAAAAACAGTCCATTCTGCTCTGAGTAGAAGATTTGCAGCCACACTTGGTCTGCTTCCTTCAGGTGGAGAACAGTTGAACCAGACGCAACATCATGGTTCCCTGTGTTTGCATCAAAAGTCTTGATCTTGTACTGTCCATTGTGTACAAGCCCGATGGCGAGGTGCTTATTAGCCAAGGTGATGTCATATGTGAAATAATAGACCCCGGGAATGGCACAGACAAACTTCCCATTGCTGGCATTGTAGTGATTTCCCTCGTTCAGCAGGATGCGGCTGAAGCGGATGGGCAGTCGCTCTTTGGGGTAGCTCTTGGTCACTGCCACAGAGAAGGCCACTCGGGCTGCACTGCCACAGTTGCAGCCTCCTGGTTCTCCTTGCCCTCCCACATCTCCCAGGTCTCCTTTTTGTCCTCGTTTTCCAGCGACCCCTGTTGAACCCCGGGGTCCCTTTAGTCCTCGGGGTCCAGCCTTGCCAATGACACCTTCACGCCCTTTTACACCTGGTTTACCCGGATTCCCAGTCCTCCCTGAATCACCTGATAACAGATATAAAATAATCACAGTATGGCAGTGCTTCATTTTGAAGTCTAGCCTAATTTACATAAATAAAAAAAAACTGAATTCTTGTTCAGAGTTTATGTGCATAAATGACACAGGTTGTACTGTACAAAGACCCCACTGCTCAATCTATAAAAATCTTGACAATATTTGATGCAAGCTAAGAGTATGAAATATTTTGTTTGTTATAAATGTTGAAAATTCAAATATTAGTCACATGAGGTATGTATTTTAAAAAACTGAATGGTAATTAGCAAAAAATGAACAATATGAACTGATGTTACCAATTATGTGGGATGAATTACATACAGCAGTTTTATCATGATATGCTAATAAAATTCAATAAAAGTAACTCAACACCTTGGTGGATATAAAGATAGATCAGTGATTTAGGAGACAATAAACATAAATGCCAGTTACTGACTCCCCTACTCTTTCCCACATTTCCTGTCCCTCACAAGTTGTTCTTTCAAACAAATCAGATAAAGAAAACAAGCAAAAGAGTAATTTTCAAAAATGTTAAACAAACTGGGGTTGGCATTAGCAAGAGGAGGGGTTTAGGGATTACAGTCAATCAGTATTTACCTCCATCTCCTTTTTCTCCTTTCTCTCCATCCTTCCCATCTGGACCGTCCCTTCCGGGAGGTCCCATTGGGCCCATGGCTCCTGGTGATCCCACGGCACCTGGGTTTCCTGGTGGCCCTGATGGACCTGGTAGACTACAAACCAGCTGTGAGGAGTGTATGGTATAGTTGCGACCTTTCTTGGGTGTGGAGGATGTTGACTGGGAGAAGACCGCTGACAGCAAACAGAAAATCACACAAGTCTGGAGCATGATGGTCACTGTAGAGTCAACACACAACAAGAGAAAGTGAATCTTTACACCAAAACATTCATTTAAGTCACTGTATCAGACTTTCAATAGGTCCATAAACAGGTAAAAAAAGACGTAGCAGAGTGAATGTGAATCATCTCCAAATGATCTGATGAAGAAACTTTTGAAAGGTTCTCTCAATCGTGTGAAGTCACTTTGCTTACTAAGAAATATGAAGCATCTTTTATGCATAAAGCAGAGAGTAGCGCTCACAGCATGCTTCTGCTGAGGGAATGCAAAAGACATAATGAATGTTAGGGAAATAACTTACCAACTGACAAATTATGCACATGGACATCTTCCCTCTGAATCCAAATCCTTTTTCTGCAAGAGACAACACAAACTTGTCCACGTTGTTTACCAGTGATCCGATGAGATAGCATTCTTCAGGAGAAGTGCTGCAGAGAAATGTGCAGCCCAGAGAATCATAGTCCATGACATCCGCCCTGTAAGAACACTGCCAAAAAATACTTTCACCATGAAGTCACTAAATTCAAGTCAGCGCACTGAAGTTGTGATGCAGAAGCTTGTACAATGTGAAAAAAAGGATGATATAACAGTCATGGAAGAACCTATAGAAAAAAGCTGTCTATTTTTTGGTCATACGATTATGATAAGATACAATTTTGTCTATTTCAGTTTACAAATTTCTTATATAGTAGCACCAAAAAGGATGAGTTTGGTCAGCAGAAGTGTATTCATCATACTGTCTATGAATTTCTCAGAGTATGTTAGTGTTTATCTCTGTGCTGCAGAGCCAAGAGCTGACAGAGCAGTGAAAATGTTCCAGCTGTTGGGAGAGGCGGGGCCTTGTGCTTAGCAATCTACTGTGTTCACCTTTAACTGCAACCATGTGAACAGCTATTACATAACACGAGGGTGTGCTGCAGGTTTCTGGAAGACAATAATACTGAAAGAAAATAAAGTATGTATAATCACAGGAAATGTTACAATTAGTTCTGACCTGCAGGAGCAGATCTGTAGTTTACTTTGTAAAACAAAACACTAGTGGTCCTTAAACACCAAACAATACTCTCTGAGCTGGATAAATGCAGAACAAATGTATATATTGTAGTTTATTCCTTGAAAATTAATGAATTTCTATATTTTATTATTGAATATAATTTTCCTTTGGAGATAAACCGAGTTACTGCAGTGAAAACCCAGAGAGAGCCTGTGGACCTGACAACAAACTTTTTAGTTTATTCTCTCGGTTTAGTTTTATCCATCTCATACTCAACTGCCTTTCTTCATTGCCCATGAAATGCTTGTTGTAACATTCACAACAGCTCATTTATATTTGTTTATCTGCATGTGTATATTCATAAAAAGGGAATTCAAAAACCATCAACAGAGCTTTATCCGTCCAGACAACTTCATGGTTTATTAAAAACAAAGTAATAACATCAGTCAAAGTGTTTTAATGGCGTTACTTTAAAACTGAGAGTCGCCTAAGAGAACCAGTACAGAACAAAATTCTTTTTTTTTTTTTTTGTTCATAAAAAGTTTAAACCGTACAAAATAAAATTAATAAAACACTGTACAAACTTTCCTCTGTCCGTTACTGAACAAGAAGCTCCGGCTCTAAATTTACATGACATTTGAGTTTGATTTGATCTTTTTTCCATCGAGCAGCTGCTCTGGTTGAGTCCTTTGGGAGAGTTCATGGAAGTCAGGGGATATTTTCAAGAGGTCACTGTCCCAGGAAGGAGGCCATGGGATCATCTGGCCTGCAGCGTTTCATTCTGAAAGCCTCCATCTCCTCCTCAGAGGGCGCCTTCACCTCCATCAGGCTGTTGTATGGCCTCTTCCTCTCATCCAGCTGCATTATCGCCTCTACGTGTTTCACCCTCTTGTCCTCAGCTTCTAGTGCCTGAGAGGAGGAAACAAAATAGAGTTCAGCCACAGAGAAATAAGCCAAATAATATCTGTAGAAAGATGCACACAAATGTTAATTTACCTTCTTCAGCTTCTCCCTTTTCTTCTCCTCATCCTCTGAATCACTGTCGTCAGAGTGGTGCTTCTTGTTCTTTTTGCTCTTTTTTTTCTTCTTCTTTTCTTTCATCTTTTCTTGATGCATCTGGGGATTCAAAATATCGACATCAGTTGGATCTACAATTGAAATGAAGATGGATAAACACCATCTGATTGATCTAGTCTTAAATCCTGGCAGTTGTACTCACCTCCAGCAAAGACTTTGGCTCTTCTTCTTCCTGTGGCTCAGTTAGCCCCTCTTCAAACGGGACACAGTCTGTATTGCTCTGCAGATTTTAAGCACAAACAGAACAAGGGTTATAAAAGGTGATGTGCTTTGTGTATAAAACAGAAACTTTGAAACCATTGGTGTATCTACTTACAATTCCAACTCCAACGTCTCCTGTGCAGTAACTCTGTTTAACCATGGAGTGGCAACATTTGTATCCCCACAAGCCGTCCTTCCAGTACGAGCCCCAAATACACTAAAAAGAGAAGACCCAGTTTAACGCATCATAAAATGTAAAAGATTCATCCAACCTTTCAGGGGGCACAGCGTGTTCTCTTATCTTTACCTTGTGGTTGTTGATAAGCACGTCCTCCTCATACTTGGACCGAGCCACGGCCTTCTCCTGCCCCTTCAGCACAGCACCGTGACGAGAATATTCTACATAGTCCTCTGTCTGAGCCAAGAGCAGCTCCCGCGGCGGTGCATCCAAGTGCTCTTGACCTCCATACTGATTATCGCACACAGAGGCACAAACATCATCAGTTAAGCATTCTGCAAGTATACATGCTTAAGCCTGTTAAACAAAACCTAGCTACAGCCCAAGAGAAACAAATTCAATTTCTGTTTTTTGACCCTCCACTCTGGATTCAGAGTACACTTGAATTATTAGTGTAATGTGTTCCAAAATTCATGCTATACGCTAAGATTGTGGCCAACCTGTTTGACAGCCTGCAGCCAAAAGAATACAGCAGCTGTGTACCTTCTCTAGGATGCTGTCCCTCTGCATCTCTTTGAAGTCCTCTTTCTTGACCTTAAAGGACTTGTGCAGCAGCTCCAACTTGGTGGGGTCAGCCTGCAGATGCACTTCAGAGCCTCTCTCATAGGCCTCCCAGGCAAACACTGTCATGTGACGAACCAATGACCATTATTTACAAGAGTTGCGCATACAACATTATACACTAATAGAATAGAATACAACTGAGTCGACATGTAGACATGGTGCAGCTTAAAGCTTTGAATGATGGGATCTAAGGCATCACATCGAATGTATTCAAATGTATTTTGATGATGTGAGCAGGAAGAGGCCGTGCAGCTTTTCCCTAACCTCTAAAATAGTCATGCATTAGCTTTCTCTTCCTATCAGATGTCATTTAAATCATTATTACAGGAATACTTGGCTTTGGCCTGACATCATGTAGTGTATAATTTGTTACTTAACTCTCAAACACTTAGATGAAAAAACAACAACATATTGAAGTAGGAAAGCTGTAAGACAGATAAAAAACTCTTAATGACTTACATTGTGTTTGAGCCATAGTGATTGTGTCCCCAGAATAGCGAGCAAAGTTATCTCCAGCATACCCAACTCTGTCAGGAAAAAGAGTTTGAGAGTTACTTCAATGAAAGACAATCAATTCAATTCAAAGAAGGACAGCAACAGAGACTTACTCGTCAGGGTTCATGCCAGTATTGGAGTACGGGTTCTCTCTCATAGCTCGAGTCTTTGGATCGTAGTACGCCGAGTTTGGATCCAAGTTCCTCAAGTACTGAGAGACAAAGTCATGAAAAGTTTATATGAAAGGCTGAAATCGTAGACTCAAACATTAGACAACAAAGGCAGCCAAACATAGTCATGGAAATACAGGGTAACAGGTTTAGGCTTGTGTTTCTGGATGTCTCTCCTACCTTAGCTGTGTCTTCTCGGATACGCAGATTCCTGACAGTGATTCGTCTCTTTGAGTCAAAGTTCTGTCCCGGCATGTCGATGTCATCTGCATATTTATCTTCATCCTCATCTTCACTGTCATGTTCCCGCTCCTGCAGGGATCAGATCCAAAAAATTCAATGTTAGCTTTCTATGTTAGGGACTTGTCTTTCAGTTTTTTCATTTGCACATGAACAATCAAATATTGGCACAAACTTACAGTTGCATCCAGTTTTCCAGAGGCTAACTCATCCTGAAGCTTCTGTGCTTTAAGTGTCCTTTTGGCCTGAGAGGCAGAAACATGAAAAATCACATTCAGGCGGTGAACAGAAAGGAAATACCGTTGTTTTGATGCCACGCTGCACAGTAAAACCCAGTTATATTAACCAACCAACCAGCCACTTACCAGATCTACTTTGGCGTACTCTTCTACAATTCGCTGATGTTCCTCAGGATCATACCCGTTCCAGCGGTCCCGCTTCCCATCATAGTCCAAGTCAAGCTGTACCTGAGAATGTTCATCTGGAGCTATGCCTGTGCCGGTGAACTTCGCCCCGACTTTTCTTGGTCGCTGACAGAGGGAAAAAAAGAATCAAAAGTTAACACGATTATCAATGCAGCATATGAGATTCTTCAATCACATGATGACAAATGAGCTGGTTTTATTTTTTTACAGGGAGGTTAAAATTTGTTATCAGGATTACCTCCAAGCAGTCCTTTTTCTTGTGGGTCATGGCACCGCAGTTTTCACAAGCTCCCTTTCGATATTTGGTGGTGATTGTATTCTGTAAAAAGGAAAAAAAAGAGTGATTAACTTTCAGGTTGACTTTTAAAGGAGAGATGAAGAAACCCATTGAACTTTCCTAACCTCTTGCACTCCTCTCTTGTACCACTCTCCAATAGCTGTGTATTGTTTTTCGTATTCACTCTGCGGCCTCTGATGCTTTAATGTTGGCCTTTTGGATGGGTCAATGTACCATGGCACTGATGAAATATACTGTGGAATGTGTGGGTTAATGTCCCTAGAAAAGAAAGGGGAAAGCACAAGAGGTTCACATTATTATGACAACACTGGTTTTAATGTAGATAGGAGAGATAGGAAGAGACTCCCAGGCTTTTAAAAATGAGCGTTATTCATTAATGCATTAACCCCAATGCAGGTCATATGTGCAAGACGGCAGACATGGACCAAGCTAGATTTTTGGTCATGATTTCAACTGGAGATGACTGTATAGTGGCAGATGAGGTTGTTTGACAGCAAAAAAATGTATGCAGAAAAATGCCATAAAAATTCATTAAAACTTGGAAACAATTTTTTTGAAAAACTATTTTCTCAAACAATTCAGGGTAACTGCTGTCAGGGTGTTTTTGTAGACATTAACAAGCATGAAAAATATATTGCCAGGCTGAACAAAATTGTAAACCTGCAGAAATTGGATCCAAAAGACTGATGTGAAAAAATACAATGTAAGCAAGTTCAGATAACGGGCTGTGCGTATGAAAGGTCAGCTTTGATGTCGACTTTGACCAAATATTTGGAGATGAAGTAAGCCAGAAAAGCCACAGCTTACTCTTTTGTCTCAGCGCAGCCCTGGCAACGGGTGAAATGTAGCATATGTAATTTTAAAATACATAATAATTAGTAACAATCATTACAACTCCAAAAAATTGGTCGTGTGAGTACTAAGTGTGATCAAAATACTTGAAATTCTAGTTTTGGTCATAATCGTACAGTCCTGCTTCATCTTTTAAAGTTGAGTGTTTGAGTACTTAATTTATAAAGACTTGGACAGAACATGAAAAGACACGGACAATACCATTACCAGGGAGATGTAATCATAGACTGTATATACTATGGACAACTCGGTTCCTCCCTCCTCGAGTATATGCATTTGAGGCCAAAAAGCTCTCTGTAGTTTTTTCTCCACTTCCTGAAACCAACATTGGGCAGGAGCATTGTACGCATTCAGCGGAAGGGTCACTGTGATGACGTTCAGCTCAAAAAGTGTATCCCCCAGGTGAGCTATACAATCTTCGTACGCCCATAGGCTGTATCAAGTGTCAATCATAGAAAACATGAACCCCCTAACAACTTTAAAAAATGGAGCTGTACGGAAAAAAGAGGACTTGAGCACAAACCAGTCTTACTGTAACTACATGTCAACATCAGAACCAGGGAGGAGAAATATTTATATTCTGTGTAATTAATTTATAAAGTTGGTTCACAGCTCCATAGGGATTGCTGGAGGAGGTGGGATTTATGACCTATACTGCAGACCGTCACCAGAGGGTGCTGTTCTCGGAGTGGCTTCACCCAGCGAGGAGACAGACGGCGTCCATACTATCCACAGTCTATGGATGTAACACAAACTGCGACCCTAGATATGCTGATAAACTTAACATAAATCAGCATCACTGTCCTCTGCTGCTTGGACCTTTGAAAATTCCAGCCGATCAGAGCTGTCAGGCATTAACTTACTTTCCCTCCTCGTCCACCTCAGCCGGAGCGTTTCCCAGCTTCCTTTGCTCCTCCAGCTCCTTCTTCTTTCTCCAGTCCTCCCGTGTCATCTTTTTCGGCTCATCCAGGCCCACGATCCCCTCGGAGCTCGCGCTGGTCTGCTCAGTCATGACTAAAGCTGCCACAAGATTGAAAAACAAAACTTTCAATTCAACCGACATTGTAATGAGAAAAATATATCATGATATTAACCCTTACACACGGGCAGCGAGAAGATTCGCGTTTGTTTACGTAGTTTTAACTAAGAACGTGTTCAAATAGAGGCCGTAGCGTGAAAAACGTCTTGGAAAAATTGTGTTCATAAATCATAAATTTACCTTGATACGAGCCCACAGATTAAGAGAAGTTGGTATTTCCTCGATGGAAACTCTTATTTCTTTTTCAAACCGATCGGAGTTGTGCTCGTACGTTGTGTTTTGACTAACGTACGAGGGTCGCCATTTTACATCAAAGCAACGTCACTTCCGTTCTTTTACCACTTCCGGCAGAGCGACTTATAGCGGACGCGAATTTTTTTGTAGGATGGTAGGGGAAGGTCCCGCCCTCCTTCGCCTCTTATTGGCTAAAAGTGCTGGGCTCCGATTGGTTATTCCTTATATCCGTGAAACGACATTGTCTGTCGGGTTAGGGTTGGGAGTAGGGTTAGGGTTTCAGACAGAAATACAGAAGATAGTTTTGCTCTTTGGTACCTTTTGAGCCTTATCTCAGTACAATTAATAGAAAGAAGAAAAAAAAAACACAGAAAATGTAAATATGGATCAATTCCTTGATGAGTGTTTTGCAACATTTATGACTGTAATGTATCTGTAGGGCACCCAAACTACAATCATTATGAACAAACTACAGGAATAAAAAGAAAAATCAACCCACTCACTACAAGTAAAGGAAACCTCAATGATCTTTTATCTCTTATCTCTTTTACCTCTATCTTATTTCAGCTTTACTCTCTTTTTAGCGTTTGTTAAACTTGTACTCTTATCTTAATTAACCTTTTAGGCCTTTTATTGTTTTATCTTTTGCTCATTTCTGTTGCTCTGTTTTGTCATTACTTTTATTTTCAGGATTGGCTGTTATTTTATTATCATTGTTGATATTGCCTTTTATATTTACTATCCTGTTTATGCTTTTGTCCTCCCTTTTAATTGCGTTTTCCTTTTTTCTGAACTATTTTACGTTTTTATTTTGGTCCTCATGGTCTCACTTTATGGTGCATGATTCTTGTATTGTCCTGGTTCCTTATGGCATGAAAATGGCCTTCAGTTCCGTTTTTACTGAGTTTTTTGTTTTTATCGGTCTTTTTCTATGTGCTCTGTGACTACATATCAAAGTACTTTGTAAACTTCAGTTTTTTAAAAGTGCCATACAAAAAAAGTTAGTATAAAAACTAATAAAACTTGAACCACTCTCAAATGTTAAATTGTACAAAAAATATTGAGTAATCTTGAGATTGTCTACTCGAAGTGTTTTATAGAGGCTTTATTTATTGACTAGATGTAACTGGAAGGGACCACAGTACTAGGTGACCAGTGTTGAAGTACCGTGCGTTTATTTCCTCAGTAAGTAAACGGGACAGCTGTGATAGATGCAAAAAAAGGTTATGTCAGTGATGCATTTGGAGTCAGTAGAAACTTGTGTTTTCTGCAATCAGGAGCTTTGACTTTCTGTTGAAGAAAAAGAGATGAATAAATAAAAGAAGCGGCTGTTTTTATAGTGAGAAAGTCTTGATGACTCCAGTGAGTTTTATTTTTGCATTCCTCAAAAGCACACAACATGTTGTGCTGTGCTTAGCTGTAACATAGACCAGTGAGAACACTATTCAATCGTTCGATTTTAGAAAAGTTAAGACGGTAACGATGTCAGGCGGCGTTAAGATGAAAGTTTGGTCAGGTGGAGCTTCTCACCTTTTCTAATATTCCAAACATTAAAAAAGACCCAAAATGTAAACAATGTAGAGAGAACAAACAGAAGAACTGAACAGCACCAGACACAAATAAACATTTAAACAGAAGTATAAAGAGATGGACTGAGAAAGTCCTTGAGCCTTAGCACCATTACACCTCCCCACTGTAAGTCCAGCAGTGTGGGGACGAGAAGGCAACAAAGTACCAAAGTGAAGGCAGTGACGCGTTCAAGTAGGTACCAAAATATCAAACTCTTCTAGTCTGTCACTCACTTTTTCTCCTTTGAATGTCTCTTGAAAGTTTTTTTTAAGGTATGAAGGTGTGGAAGGACTGAGTCACTTATCATCCTCCACTCTCCCCCACTCCTCCGAGTCTTCTCCCTCCACCTCTCCATCATCACCATCTTCATCCACATAATCACCCCAAGTGTCATATACACCCCCCTCTTCATCCTCGTCCTGTTCCTCCAGATGGTCGCCCCCATACAGCTGCTCATCCTCATCCTCCACAACCTCCATCTCCTCCATTTCATCCTCCCCCTCAGCTGCTACTTCTTCTTCATCATCATCATCCTCCTCTTCTTCATCATCATCTTCATCATCATCATCGTCGTCTTCATCATCAGCAGCAGTATCATCATCTTCTTCCACTTCTAACCCACACACCTCCCCCTCCTCCACCTCACCCTCCTCCCTCTCATCTTTGGAGGGTGTGAGAGTGGAGAACCCTTTGCCCTCAGTCCTGTCTGTGAGGTAAGACGTGTTGGAGGGGATGAAGCTGGAGGTAGATGTCTTTGTGTTGATGTAGAGACGTGGAGGAGGACCCGACCTGGCCACAGCAGCCTGACTGCCAGAAGAAGTGATGGGGGCAGAATTGGCTCTTCTGGAGTTCGACACCATAGAGAGAGAGACAGGAACAGCAGTAGTCCCGGGCCTCATGGAGGTCATGTTGGGTATGTATTCACGGATCTCCCCTGGCTCAAGGGGGTCAGGCCCACAGGGGTCATGTTCACTACAAGAGAGTTTGCCGTCCAGTTTGGAGATGAAGAGCATTCCTTCTCGATGTTCTTTGCAGTACGAGCTGGGACACATCTCACAGAACGACGCAGCTTCTTTACCACAGATGTCACACTGGTGCCATGGACACTCCCATCGTCCTGCAAACATAATCAACATCATCAGTACCTCCAGAACTATTTCTTATCTTGGGCTCATGGTTAGAACAGTAACATTACATTTTTGCTCTTTTTGGCTTAGTTGACAGATAGAGGATAGTGGAGGAAGCAGGAAATGAAGAAAGCAGGTTTGACATGCAGGAAAGGGGCTACCAGGTGGAATTAAACCTGGGTCACCTGGTCAACCAAAGAATAGTATAGTTTTCTTACAAAGTAAAGTAGGTTTCTGGTGACACTAGTTTTGAGTTCAAAGATTGAACCGTTTAAACTGGCCTTCGTATTTTCTGCCTGGTGATGTCTGTTCTCTGTTTATCAATATGTGTTTAATATTCAACCTTCCGCTCCTACTTGCCTGCAGGCCTCTTGGCCAGGTTGAGACAGTCAGCATGATAGACCTTCGGACATCCCGGCTTCTTACAGGACACTATCTGACCTCCATCACCACAGCTGAAGCACTCATCCTCCCTCTCCTTTGTCACTTCCTGCTTGGTCTTCTTCTTCATGCCAACTCTCCTCCTCCCTTCCTTCGGTTTTTCAGCTGATGGCTGGTTCTGAGGAGAGAGAAGATAGTCAGGGAATCCTCTGATAGTTGAACTTGTGGTTGTTCAGCACTTAATCTACACCAGTGTAGACTCTTACTTTTGGCCGAACACCCAAGAAACCGCTGCAGTTTGGTGCTCCACATTTACAGGCAGTTTTGCCATTTCCCAGACACTCCAGGTTGTAGTTGAACTTCAACTCCACACCTACAGAACAGGTTGTATTAGATCTCTGCAGTATACAGATTTACAAGACATCAGAATAAGATGTGGGTGGTTGTTCAAACCTTTTGGGATGTCTTGTAGAGCAAACAGCCCCACCCTGGTGTCCCCGTTCACAGTCCACTTCTGAGTCTCACAGTTTGGCTGGCAGCTGTGATTCATGAAGCGAGCGAGGTTTCCTTTGGGCCCAGCATCAATGATCCGGTCCTGAAAAACAAAATAAAAACTGGTTTATAACACCAAACATGAGACCTACATAGTAAATGTAGCATGCTGCTAAGCTGTATCATATAGAGAGTCTGTGTTTATGGTCTTCAGGCTCAGAATCACCTTGTCCAGAGTGAGCATGTAGAAGTTACAGATGTCGTTCTCCTGAGCGTGTTTGATCCGGGCTCGACATTCTTCTTCATCAATCACCTCTCCGACATATTCACTCACAAAGGCTCCCTGAGAAGGAACAATAATTAAGTATGAAGTTGGTTGTAAGGTCATGCATATTTGTTTTTATCTGAATTCTCCTAAAGTACCTTCTTAATGTCTGACACGGCACGTAAACCCCAGCCGCACGACAGTGTCCTGAAGATCTCCACAGATGTGTACTGACGCTTTGTAAAGGTCTGGTTCTGACAGCGCTCCCCTGCTACACACACCTGAGGGTGGCACTCGTACATGAGCATGCGGTTTATGCACTCTGAGTCAATGCCACACGGGTTCTCATCTGATGCCTTGCAGTTGCAGCGTGGGATCTCAGAAAGGTCAGCAGTTATGATCTGCACCTTTCCTACTGGCCGGTTTACCTGAAGGCCGGAGACCAGGGTGAAGGTTTTAATAAACATATATCGCAGTGGATTCCTCTTCAGTAAGGTAAAAAAGGAGTGAGTATAGGATGTTGGCGGTCTAAGGTACCTTGATGTGTTTATATGGTGGAGGTTTCTTATCGTTCTTTCTGTCCTCCTGAAGCTGCCGCATCTCTTTTTCTGCCTGAAGCTCTCTGAACCGTTCAGCTGCTTCAGTCAGAGCTATATAGGAAAAAAACATTTTTACTCAAACAGTCAAACAAACATAAATGTCAAAGGATTCTTCATAGTGAATGCAGTCATCGGAGACAAATATACCCTTTTTGTACACTGCGTCTGCACCCTTTCCCATCTTTTCTATGTTGTGCGTGTCACCCTCCATGTAGGGGAAAACTCTGGCCTGGTACGTCCACACAAAATCTTTAGAGCCAAAGAACTGCACTGGGAACTCCCCCACATCGTGTTTCAGTCTCAAGATGTTATTTGGGACGTCTTTGGCTAGACAGACTTCAGCAGGCCACCACCTGGAGAGTCAGATCAGAGGTCAGAAATGAAAAAAAAAGCAGATTTTTGATGTTGCTCTGAAAGTCTGGGAGTAACGGGAAGGTTCTGCTGAGGCCCTACCTGTAACGTCCCCATTTGACCCAAAGTATGTCCTTAATCCGAGGCCTCTTCCCTGCCTTACAGTCATTGCAGAACCAGCTGCCCTGAGGCATCTCGATGTTCAAACACTCCTGATGGAAAGCAGCGGGACAGGCTTCACAGCACAACAGACTGCCCCCTTCAAACCACAGCAACAGACAGGACACACAGGTGAGCTTCTACACACTTTCGTATCTGTACTTCACATAACCATCACGTTGATTTTTGTGGTTTGGTCTGATTATCAATCTAATAAAAGATTCAGATGAATTTACTACATGTGAATCACGTAGTGCATTTTTAAGCAGACACTTGTACCGAAAACAAGTAGACTTTTTGAAAAGGGTTTATAACAAGACCCACCAAGTTACTGAGCTGCATGTTTATTTTTACAATGTCAAAGTACTAAAACAACTTCAGGTTAAAATTAAAATATTAAAAAAAAACAGGCCTGAGTTACCTTCAGAGCAGACGAAGCACCAGCTGACGTTGATGTGTTCGTGGTTTTTGCAGCCTTTGCGTGCAGTGAAGTGGTTTGGACATAGGAAGCTGTTATTGGCCAGCACCAAACTGCCTGCCGCCATACAGTTATCGTTGGCATGATAGGCAACAGGGCAGCGAACACAACGAGCCAATCGACCTATGTTGAAAACACAAACAAGGAGAGAGAGAGCTGAAACCATGCACATCTGGACATTTGATTAAAGAACAAACACTGATTGATTTTTTTAAAATACACTTTGAAACACCGAACTAACATAAAGGCAAAATAAAACAAGATCTAATTGTGACTATTTTAACCAAAATCCAGTGTAGTGAACATTTCTAAGTCAGGTCATGTCGTCAAATCTTAATTAACAAAAACTTTATGTAATGGAGCATTAGCTGTAAATTTAAGGCTGTTGGATGTGATAAAACAAAGATGCAAAACTGTCAACATAGCTTTGTTTTGTATTGCCTAACTGATATTATTTTAGTTTGTTTTCTCTCTGGTCATAAAATTAAGCGTTAAAGAACAGCTTCAAAGTGACAAACACAGAGTGTCCAGTAACTATTGTAACCCACTCTTACTGACCTGCATGTAAAGAAAGGAGAGAAACACTTATGAGTACCTTAATAAATGTGATTATGACTTTCCTCTGCCACAAGAACTCAACTAATGACTGATGCTGCAAAACAACATGGCTGCGGTCTTTTTTTTTTTTACACACTTTCCCTGTCGAGCTCAATAATATGAATGCATCTTACCTTTTGAGCTGCAGACATTGTTAGGGTTCGTGATGTGGCAAGACAGGCACACGTGTAGAGGGCAGCGAAAGCCTTTGTTATGTTGCTGTGTGGCTGAGTATGCCAGTATACAGTCAGCATGGTAGAACTTCCCGCACAGTGGTATGATACAGCGTTTAACCCCGTTCCCAGAATTCTTGCACACAAAGCAGGAGTGTGCACCTGTAAGCAACAAAGAAGAAGATATGATTAGAGACAGATTTTTTTTTTAAGCCCCGATTCTGACGCTGCTGGTCTTATTCAGTTTCCCCGCTCTGCTACAGACTGAGTTCTGCTTGAAGTCATGGCCACAGCTGAATGGAGTACCATTCATTAAGGTGAATGAATTGTTTACAGGAACAAGCACTGGGATGAACTCTTCTCACAGATAGGAACTCCATGTTACCATGGTTTCATAGGTAAGTTGTCATTCAATCATAATGATCCAGAGGTTTCAAAATAACTTGCCTCCCATATATTTAATTTTTGCAGAGATCTTTTTTGCAAGTTCCCATGAAAACCAGGCTCCTTCATAACAAGATGCACACATGATTAAGACTAAAAAAAGGGTCATTAGACCAAGAAACCTGTTAAGATGCCGAACTCCTCCGTGTGAGGAGACAGAACAATAGTCAAACTAAAATATCTATTTATTTATCACCAAGTGTGACGGGTATTTTTGGATTATTTTGCAACCTACCAGTGTTGCATTCAGGACAGAAGAACTTTCCCTTTGGAGCAGCTGACAGGCTGATACACTGTGGGTGAAAGGCACCATAGCAGTGTCCCTCACACAGCAGCAGATCTCCTGTCTTCTCACACACCTGCACAAACATCCACACAAACAGTAAGTGAGAAAAATCCTGCTAATCTTTCCACAAAAAGCCTCAAAAGGTTGTATTTATCTCACCTGACAGACATTCTCCTTTAAGGTTGTAGCACCGATTTTCCCTTTCACATCCATTTGGGAAGAGAAGCTATCACTCAAACTAACAGATAGCACCTGCAGACAAACACAAAGATGTTAACTGAGGAAACATGTTGCAGATTGTTTTCCTTTCATAGTGAATCAAGCACTTCAGTTGATGGATAAAGCTTGCACACCTCAGGTTTGGGTGTTAGTGTTCCAGTGTATGCGTTTTGTTTCTCATCAGTGCTGCATGCCTCCATCTCTGCCTCCTGCTTGGGGGTCTTTGATCCTCGGGGGCTTGAGGGTCTATTTGGAGTGTGGACCCTGGGGGAATCTTTGACTTCTGAGTTTTGGCAAACAGCAGCAGTTGGGGATGAGGACGTGCTGGGTGCAGGTTTGTCTTTCTTTGAAAATCCAACCTATGTGACATGTCAATCAATGTGTTTAAGATCCCTGAACATACAGTGCCTTGAAGAAGTCTTCACACCCCTTGAACTTTTTCACATTTTGTCACTCTACAACCACAAACTTTAAAGTATCTTATTGAGATTTTTTGTCATAGACCAACACAAAGTAGCACATGATTGTGAAATGGAACGAAAATGATACATGGTTTTCAAAAATTTTAACAAATTAAAATCTGAAAAGTGTGGTATGCATTTGTATTCAGCTCCCCCTGTGTCTTCTTGCCATTCTTCCATAAAGGCCAGATTTGTGGAGTACACGACTAATAGTTGTCCTGTGGACAGATTGTCCCCCCTGAGCTGTGGATTTCTGCAGCTCCTTCAGAGCGACAATGGGCCTCTTGGCTGCTTCTCTCACCAATGCTCTCCTTGCTCGGTCTGTCAGTTTAGGTGGACGGCCATGTCTTGGTAGGTTAGCAGTTATGGCATACTTCTTCCATTTTTGGATGATGGATTGAACAGTGCTCCTTGACATGTTCAAAGCTTTGGACATATATTTTTTATAACCTATCCCTGCTTTAAACTTCTCCACAACTTTTTCCCTGACCTGTCTGGTGAGTTCCTTGGTCTTCATGAATCTCTTTGTTGACTAGTGTTCTCTAACAAAGCACTGAGGCCTTCACAGAACAGTTGTATTTATGCTGATACTAAATTACACACAGGTGGACTCTATTAACTTATTAGGTGACTTCTGAAGGCAATTGATTGCACTGCATCTTATTTAGGGGTATCAGAGTACAGGGGGCTGAATACAAATGCACACCACGCTTTTCAGATTTTTGTTTAAATTTTTGAAAACCATGTCTCATTTTCATTCCACTCTACAATCATGTGCTACTTTGTGTACATATGACAAAAACTCTCGATAAGATACTTTAAAGTTTGTGGTTGTAGAGTGACAAAATGTGAAAAAGTTGAAGGGTATGAATACTTCTTCAAGGTACAGTTTTTACTGCAAGACATCAAGATATCGATTGCAATATTGCATTACCTGAGTTCTCTTGACTGACACCTTCACCTCTGCAGTAACTCCATTGGTTCGCTTTGGCTCCTAAAACACAAAATGTCAGATACCAAGTAAATATTTAATAAAACAAACAAAAAAATATATATTTTTTTGCTACCTTTCTCTCTCACACACACACACACACACACAAACAAAGCTGGCTGTAAACATACCTTCCTCTTTGTAGAACAAACAGACACCTCCTCTATGGTACACTCCAGCACCTTGTGCGACACCTTCCTTGGCCTCTTTCGTTCTTGGAGAACTGATCCCATGTCTGAGAAAGTAACTGCATTACACACATTGCACTCAAGATATTTTATGAAAACAACCTAAAAACATTTCTGAAACACATTTATTTACCAAGTTCTGGAGGTAGATCAGTTTCTTCTGCTGCCTCACTTGTATCAATCTGGAGTTGTGTTGTGAGCGGAGATACTGGGTGTGCTACAGGAGAAAGCTCATCATGAGATGGACTCTGTTCCAGCTCTGATGGAGTCTTAGCGGGCTCCACACAAGACGAGGATGAGGTTGAACTGGAGGTATTTGTTCCTGCTGTGGCACTGACATCGTGGAGTGCTACCATCCCTGTGATATGCTGCGATAACAAGCAAATTTAGCAACGTCACAGTGTACTGAACTTGCACAGCAGTTAAATTACAGACCCTATGCACATAGAATAGAGTCCTTGAGGGAGCAGCCCAAGGTTTGACTCCCGTCTGCAGCCTTATGCCACATCATCACACCTGTGTGTGACTCTACCCACTGTCCTATCTTCCAATAAAGGAATGAAAAGGCTGTTATCATCCAGCAAAATGACACGTTACTCTAAATTTAACACTCAGCCTACTGGGTTAAAAGATGTAAGATGACAGAATAATGTCTTTTAATAAGAGGATATTTTTCTAAGAAGAAACATCCATCTAAGAGCAATACCAACGTAACAAGAAGAAGATACAACAATTATCTATTTCACCCACACTTATCAAAGTACAGGTGTTCAGTTTTAGGTTGTCTTATGTTCCAAAATTACTAGGGTGATCACAGTCACACTAAGGATGCAGAAATTTAAGGTTTTAAGAATAAATATACGATATTATTAGAATAGTATCACAATTCTTTAAAAAAGTTGTTAATTTTCATGGTAAGGTATAAACGTTGTAGTATAATGACAATAGAATTGTATTAAGAGAGCAGTCTTAACTACAAGTCAAAATCATGAGGGGGAAAGAGCAGTGTGTCTGCAGTGATATCAGAATAGTGGACCACCTCAGCTGTCAACACTCGAGGTCAAACCCTTTAGCTCGCCCTTCTTCACAAAATGCCCTGTTTTCATCATCATAGCTCAGGCTAAAGTGATAAAAACATTTAAGACTTCATTCTCTAAACACATTTAGGGATTTAAGTGTCTTCTCTAACACAACTTATTCAAGAACCAAATGTATCTGCATAATTATTATTTCTCTTGTATGGAAAAGAAAAAAAAATAGAACTTACTAATTGGGGAGATTCTGAGTTGTGTTTCCTTGATTTCCTTTTTGTGACAAATATTTGTTCATAGTCCTCAGTTGACTCAAGGAGCCTTTTCGTTGGTTTCCGGAGGCGTTTTTTCTCTGAATGTCCTGTTAAAAAAATAAAGAAATAAAATATATTCAAGAAATATCCAAGTTCAAAGTGATGTAAAATGATGTTCGTAGTTTCAGACGGTGAAGGGTAACTAATACATAAATATACAGAAGCTCTTTCTGACACATTTTAGTATCTTTGTGGACACACAGCAGTGTGTCTTACCGGCCTTGCTGCTTGTCTCTGAGAAGTGTGAGTCATTTTCTGCCTTTCTCTCAACCCCCGGATCAAAACCTGGTGATTCTCTCACTGGGTATGAACTGTTCAGCTCAGTCGGAGACTCACTCATACATTCACCCTGATTCTCAGCAGCCTCATCCAGCAGCTGCCAGCGTTTCTTTGGAGCCACTGCGGGTCCTGAGTTCTTCTCGAGGTAGCTGTCTGAGGGCTCAGCAGACCCAGGATCAGCTAAGTTGGTGCGGCCACTAATAAACTCTCTACCATATGCTAAATCAGCTGTGTCCACAGAAGGGTCTGGTATACTGAGTTTGAGTTTGGCAGGAAGTTTTTGTTTTCGTCGCTGCTTGTCTGAGGCCCCTGTCTTTGAGTGAATGGGAAAGTCTTCAAAGTGGTAGGTGTCGGCTGTCATGATAGCTTTAGTCCTACTCTTGGTTTTCACAGCTTTGTTTTGGGGTGTTCCGGGTTTCACTGAATGACAGCTCTCCATTTTGATCCCTTGAGTAAAATTATCCTGAGAGCCCTTCAGCGAGTCTCCTCCTTTAGACGTAGGGATGACGAGGGGTTCCTCTCTGATCAGGACTGGTGATGGTGGGACAGCGAGGGGTTTGCCTTCTTTTTCTCTAGTATCATGCATGTCTTTCAGGAGCATGAGGAAAGTACTGAATTTGTAGTTGGAATCAGGTCGAAACGCAGCCGATTCAGAGTCACTGCTGTCCTCCTTCACCAGAGATTTAAAGGTTAGTTCCGTGGGATCCTGAAAAGCCTCCATTGGAGACAAGGAGGACGATGGAGAAGAAGGTGCATCTAAGTTTTCGGTCTTAATCTTGACGTGTGACACAAAGGCTGAACTTGAGCCTAAACTCTTGGACTGAATCAGAGAGCCATTTTGAATGTGTTTCTTATCAGGCTTCCTGGCACGCCGTCTTGGGGGGCTGAGGTTTGTAGAGCATGATGCGTTGCTGGGTGACTCCCAGTGAGGAGACGTTTCAGATTTGATGGGTGTATTAGTGGGTGCATGATCAGGACGATCACCAGTGTGGTTATCTGTCGAGTTTTGGCTCATTGCCAGTGCATCTTTAGTATCTGTCTCCTCCTCTGCTCTCAGAGCCTTTGTAATCAGGCGACTGCTGGCTGGAAGAGTCATAGAGTGCTTTCTATTTGAATTGTTTGTCACGTCATTGAAGCTGCCAGAACTCTGATCAGAGTTTGTATCTTTACATGACTTTTTATTTGTTGAACTAGAAGAGGACTCACAGGAATCAGTCAAATGGTTTGCTCTTTCAGTAAGTTTTGTTTTTGCTCTGGTTGAACACTGTTTTGGAGGGACCATTTTGTCTGCATCCGATGTTTGAGGCAATGCTGTACGTTTAGGACGATGAAGCATAGGAACCGAATCCAGGTCTGCATACGGTGAGTCCTTCGGCTCTTCCTTCAGTGCATGAGTTGTAGTACGAAAGTGATCGGTAATGTCCGTGAGGGCAGAAGCCTCCTTTGATCCTCCGACTATGTGGCCAAATATGTCCGACAAACATTTCTTCTTCTTCTTACAGAATTTGCTCGTGTTGGATTGAGATGGGGTGGAGTTTTTCATGAGGTGAAGCTCATTTTCACTGGGGCCTTTAGTGGGTGATGGCATTTGATTTGGATACACAGAGACAGAGGGACACTCCTGAGGCTTTTCAGCAGGGACTGGGCTGGGCACACGTTCCTCTCCGTTGACAGATACGGTAAGACCGCCTTTGTTGTTTCTTTGATGATTTGAGAGGAGATACTCTGCTTCTGCCACACTGACTTTCCACGCTGTCAGTAAACTTTTAGGTATCTGCCAGGAATAGAAAAAAAAGAACATTTAAAATGATATCCACAAGGATCCACAGGATTTTCTGACATTAGACAAGGGTTTTCACAAAATTACAGAATATTTGTAGTCTTTCTCTTTCTGTTTCCCCCTCCGTCTGAGCACAGGGAGCTCTTCAAACTGATGACCTCCTTCAAAAGGGAGAACGGCAGTCCCCGGGACCCAGGCTCTCTCTGTGACCTCCCCTATCGTCTCCAAAAAATACATTCGACAAGGACGAGGACTGGGAACTAAGAACACAATCAGAAGTGGACTTATTATTTTCCCCACATACTGCGAAATCACTTTTCTATGATCAGTGTCAAGGTGTCAAGGAGCGGTGAAGTTGTCAGACATGATCTTAATACAAATCCAGTGAAAACTCACCTTTCATCTTAGTGTGGGTCCCCTGCTTGGGGTCACATGTGACAGAACAGGGCCACCATGGCCGCCTGTTGAATTTAGCCCACACAAAGTCCCCCTCCAAGTATTTCACTGCAGGAAGAATCTTTTTCTTTGGGCTGTTAGACTGAAAGACACAAGGAAAATACTTAAGCACCAATGCAGAAACTGTATTATAACTAAAGTATATTATGTAGTTGGTGGTACATTTAAAACACCGCCATGGCTGACAGGAGATTATAAATCAGCAAAAGAGAAAAGACCACTTAATTAATTATTTAGTTTGCTAGTTTACATCTTAATAACTACATTGTGTGGTCGATATTTAATGCTTAATAACAACCCATAGTGGTGAAACATATCTGAAATATTGATAAAATTATATTAGGGTGGCACAGACATGGGTTCAAGGCCAGAAACATCAGCATCACCTGAGTGCACATGCATTATGTCTGCCTCTCTTTAAGGAACTAAAGCAAACTTCACCTTGGTAAATGAAAAGTGAGAGTCTTGGGTGTTTCACACTTACATTAGAGTTGGTGCCGCATGGTGAATTAAGTCCAGGGTCAACAGGGGAGGCAAGTTCATCATCACTGTCTGAACCCTCACCCAAACTCCACCCTTCTCTCATGCTGATGTCTGGCAGTGCGCTGGGGCTTAGTGTAGGGTTGAGTTCAGATATAGTTTTGGACATCAGATTGAATACAGTGGGTTTGTAAGCCCTTTTATCCCCCACTGAGCTGCATGTATTTCCACTATTAGAAACAGTTCGGTCCTGACTTAACTTTGGGGAGTGGTGAAAAGGCATCAGCTCATCACTACTGCTGCGCCCTTCCTCCTCATCTTCATCTTTAATGTCACTGCTGTCAAACAGCGTGGACTCGAAATGCAGGTAGCCATTCGGGATGGGGGAATAGCGCTCAAAGCTTTCAGGACTGTGAGAGGAGAAGCCATTTCTGCTCACGTCCTGCAGCGTCTCCAAAGACTCCATGTCATCATCGCCGGGAGAGAGAGGCAGCTGGACTGAAGGTGCTTCAAACTCATCATCATCACTGATGGGGCTTGCACAGCGGAAGTGGTTGTTTGGATGGAGGTCCCTCCCCAGGTCGGGCCTGCTGACCACATTGTTCAACTCCTGCAGCCTCTTCAGCGGGTTGTCCAACTGGTTGTACCCCGGTACAGCTGTTTGTTTGAGGCTGGAGGATGGCAGTTGCACAGTTGAGGGTTGGTTGGACCCCCGCTTCAAGATGCCACATTGGTTTCCAAAGGAAGTGCTCACAAGACCATTGTGAGGCCTCAGCTCTGGCTGGCCTGAGCCAAACACTGAACGAGCCCTAACAGGCGGTCTGTATGACTGATTCATGTTGTCACCACTGTATCCTGTCAGAAAAAAAAGAAAGAAAACACAAACAGAGGTGCGTTAGGAGGAGAGATATCAAAGTTGCTCACTCTATCAGTGGATTGTAGTCTTGTGTGTTCACGGTACGACACAAAGCATGCGAGCAAACACGTAAAAATAAAGAAGTACAGGCAGGCAGAAACCAAGACAGAAGCAGACACTCGCTATGGAGTGGACGCACACTCACTCACTCACACACACACACACAAATAAGCCGACATTGCATGGCCTCCAAACTAGAGGCCGCTCAGACACAATCCAGAACACAACCGCTGTCCCGTTTCTCTCACACATTCATTCACAAACTCTCAGAAAATCACCCCGCTTTGTCTGATGACTGGGGGTCATGGCGATCGCTGACTCGTACAGTCTACTGAGAAGAAGCGCTGAGGCTGTAGTAGAGGTAGTGACACTGAGCCATCACAGACACACACACACATACACACACTCACACAAACAAGCTACAGCAACACAGAGGAAGCTATTAACTCACAAAACGAGCTCATCGCCTTTTAAGTTCACAACACGTGGAGAAAGCGAGAAAAACTCACCATTTGGAGGTCGGTCAGCATGAAACCAACAGCAGCTGTGTGAAAATGAAGCACAAAGCGAGTATTTTTCTCGGTTTGTGAGAGCGGTCCTGCACAATCCCAGCCGCAGCAGCACTAGTAGGCCCAGGCACAGCTCTCATTCTCTGCACTTCATCGCCTCATCAGCGGCGGCCCCTGAAAAACTGTCACCTTAGTTACAAAATAGCAAGTAAATGTCCGGTACGCTGCAACATCATACAGCGGCGAGTTCAGTGTGCCATCCCCGGTCCCCTTACTATCCACAGCGGCTTATTTACTACATGCTTTTTGCCTGCTGTCGAAGTGCCCCCGGTTATGTTAAAACAAGCCTAGACTGACTGTGTTGGTGAGCAGCAACCAATCGGCACTGCTACCCAACCCCCCGTCTGCAGAGGGCCGTGACACTCACCCTGCTCGCACTCGCACGCTCGCGCGCACACTCATAAGCACGCACGCACACATGGGTTACCATACGCAAACGCACGCACGTCCAGGTGAAGTTTCTGACATTCGCTGATTTTTACATAAAAACTTCATGATTCAGCAAGCACAAGCGAATGTTTGACCTGTTTTTAAAATTTGCATAATTTCTGCGTCTTCCCCCTTTCACAGTTGATGTTTCACGACTGGTGTAAGCCAGTGTCACAGAGAGATCGAGACCACAAAATAATTGCAATGCGCACACGGCCTCTCCTATCAAACCAGACACCGTGCGCCATATTGTCTCTCCGCGGAGCTCTAACATGAGGAAACAGGCCGCCAGGCGCTCAGGAAAAGAAGAGAAAGACGAAGGCGCTCTGCGTTCATGACAGTTTTTTTTCCCCCCAGAGTCAACCTTCGCTGATCTCTCCACAGTTCGCCCTCATACTACTGTGCGCAATTTCAAACTAAATCCACGTTCACGCCAACTTAGAGCGCACAATAGGCTCGCTGCTGCTGTGGGCCAGTCCTTGAAGATGAAACAAAGAGCAGTCAGGGACATACCGACCTGACAGCACAGGAACTTTCCTCTCTGTGCGGCTTTTTCATAAACATGGTATCATATATCATATTTGTTGACTCAGATCACATGATGTTCATTCCCTTGACGGCTCATATGAATGATCCGGTTAGATTCGACAAATAACGCATATTCACACACTGGCCCATCAGCTGTTTTGGCGTATGTGTCCAAACCTGCCTTTGTGTGTGTAACCAATCCTCCAAATCACACCACATATATGCAAACGCCAAAGTGAGGTTATGAATCACACTGCCGAGTGATTTCATTGAACAAAGGGTAAATAAAGGCTTTATTACATGTTGATTATCGTCTCGGGATGTGAGCCCCCTTGTGTTCGCAGAGGGGAACAACCTGCTTTCTGTTTGGTGGAAAAGACTTTTATTTTGGTTTTACACACAGCACATATTCACTTGTAACATACTGGATTTCACAAACAGTTTTTCTGCTTTGTTAAGTCATTTTCTTCCAATCAACAGCATAACAACATTGTAATATATGATCAAAACTATATTCACAAAGTGCAAAATAACATATACTGTGCTTAAACTAATAGTCTGAAATGCACCTTACTAAAAAAAAAAAAGTATTGTGTCCAAAATGTAACCATGATTCCGGATAATATCACAAAGTAAACACAGACTGAACAGGACAACACAGATAGGTCAATAACACATCCACATATTTCTTATAGATCAAGAAAAAAGCAGAATTGGTTGGCTGTTTGTACTACAATACAGTTTTTTATAGGTATAGAAAAAGCAGGCCATAGAAAATGAAAGCAGAGTGATAGAATAAATCAAAACTTAGAGGAGGAAATGTTGGAGGAGAGTCTGCTTAATACTTTTTTGCCTTTACTGATCATTGTTATCAATAAATATCCATGCATCTCTGCAAAGCTGGGATAACATACTTCTAATTCAGTCATTAGTTATGATAACAGAGACATTTTAAAACACTGTAGTCAGAGCCATTTCCTAGTGACACAAAGTTATCCTCTCCCATGTTTCAGAGAGACGTTTACTGTTTTTGCACATGCACACAGTCATTCACTGGCTTCATCCACTTTATCCGTGGGCTCACAGAGAGGTCTCTTCTCTATCAGGGTGTATGGAAAAGGTGGAACATCACAGCTGGTGAAATCCATTTTCTTGGGAACACTGCATGTGCTAAAGTCCAGTTTCTTGACGCTGTCACAGTCAAACTCCAGCTTCTTGAGCCGGGCAAGACTCTTAATGCTGCCAGGGGGCCTGCCGGGACTGACCTTATACCCTGCTGCTTTGGTAGTACCAAGGGGCCTCCCAGGGCTGGTTTTGAATCCAGCTGCTCTAGTTGTCCCAAGTGGGCGTCCAGTACTTGTGCGGTAACCTGCCAACTTTGTGGTTCCTGATGGCCTCCCTCTCCGCCCGGACTTCACCATCCCTTTCTTCTTCTTGGAGCCATCGGGTCCAGCAGCCTCACTGCCCCTGATCCTCACTGTCTGTGCCTGGAAGTCAGTCTGGTTCTCCTGCATTTGACATGCCATGACCTTGTGTATACCCTGTGGTAATGGGGCTAGACCTGCAAGGGACAGCTGTAGGCCAGGGGCTGTGGCAGAGGGGTAGAATTTGTTGGATTGTGTGCTACATAAGTCGAAGTGGCTGGCTGGATGGCAGTCCTCTGCAAGCCCACTCATGCAATAGTCGCTGTTGCTGCTGGTCACTTGATGCATCATTTTCTGTAGAAGTGCAGAGATGAATGTTAACCAGGTCGGCTGCAAAGTACATTACACACACACATGTGCACCCGGAAAAACACAAAGCCAACGAAGCACTAGAATTGCTCACTTTCGGTGAAGCATTGAGGCCTTTTACCGTTACAACACAAAACACAAGATTTAGCTTTTGCATAACAGAATTATAGTATGCACAGGAGCGGATACAAATGTTTGATCCCCAAAATCCCCAGACATATAAACAAGGCAAAATAAACATTCGTACCTTATTTATCAGTGGATGTCGGACTTGAAAGGGTTAATTTCAGATCGCCTACATTTTCTTTCATGCAGCCATAAAGTCTTTGCGAAGGCGCTGCACATGCTACGCCCTGGCATCCATCACCGGACTTTTATGTATGCGGCCTTAAACATGCTCATTTTATCCTTCTTAGGCAGATGTTTAGATGAGAGGCAGCCATCTTCGCCAGGGAAAAAAGAATTAATAAAACAGGATGCGCAAACCGCGCATGCGCAGGAAGACATGCAGGAAACGCAGGGGCAGATGAAGTTCCTTTGCATCTGAAGACTCGGTCAAAAATCACCACTTTTAATCAGTGTGAGCTGCGAAACCGAGTCTTTAGGATTGGAAACATTTTAATAACCACATTAGAAAGGATATATTGCATGACACTGTTGACTTTTGTCCTCACAATCACTGTCCATGACAAAGAAACAGTAAAGTATAAGTGTAAATTAAAAACAAATGACAACACCAGGCCATCCTCCATTTTTATATTTTATTAATGTTTTTTATTAACATCCATATGAACTGAAGCACAGACACTGGAGCAACTGCAGTGCTAGAGCAGGTAGCAATATACATTTATCAGACTCCCCCCGATGGACGTCTCCAACCTAAACAGATTTAAGTCCACAGGACTTAAGTTTCCTTGATGAGCTTGGTCAGCTTCTGAATCTTTGTTTTGGTGGACATGTCCACATACTTGTCTCCGATACTGACAATCATGCCACCCAGGATAGCGGGATCCGACTGGGAGAGGAATACAACAGTTAGAATGATAGATGACAGAATTACTTTTTCGTAAAATCACTCATACTATCAATTAGACAGTCATAATAACAATCAATTGTGTTTTTAAATGAATATGTCTGGGAACATGCACTGACACTGTACCTTTGTCTCCAGCTTGATAGTTTCACCCTTCTGAAGAAAGCCATCAAGAGCTACTTTCAGCTCAGCAAGATTAGCTGGATCCAAAGGCTGAAATGCACAAATATTTATGTTTGCAGATTAAACAATGAACTTGCAGTCAGATTAAAACATCTAGAACTTGTGACTGATGGATAAAATGAACATGTTTAGTCAATGGGGCTGTCTTTACATGCATTTGATTGAACATGGATGTACAGAAATACACTGAATGTCATACCTGAGCGGTTGTGACAGAGCAGATGACCTCTCCACGGTGTGCACTCATCATTTTACCAAAAGCAGTGATGACATCCCCAGTTAAGGTGAGACGACCGTTGTCAGCCAAAACATCTGTCACACAAAAGCAGGTTGTGTTAGAATGGGAGATTTTTCACTCACTTTCTTTGCCGTTCAAACTGACCGGTTTGAACTGACTGCTGATAACATAACTTGATACATTTAAGTAAATATGTTTTTTTGAGTAGGGCTGCATGATTATGACTTAAATCATAGTCACTGCCATTATTATGAGCATTGAGATCAGGTTATTAATCAACAGCATTTCTTGCAGGGAATTTTTTTTTCACTGTTTATCATGTTTTTCCCATATTACTCATTTCCTTCATTCTGATCATTTTCTATGCTCCAGTTTCTACAATGTTGAACCTAGTAATCAGAGTGATCTAGTCCTCTTTCATGAAATTAAAAAAAAAAAAAAATCACCTATTATCTTTTCACATTTATGATGTGCAACTACAAAAATGGACCTTAATGTGTTTCTGTACTATTGTAACTATGCAGAATTTGTAAAGTTTTAGTCGTATCAGAGTTGCTTAGTTGATGTTAAGTCCGGTATGACATTATTTCATTCTATTTGTAAGAATGGCAAATAACAACATTACATACAAAATGATACAATTCTTTGACACAATAATGCAGCAAAGAAATGACTGCATTTTTAATAGATTAGGACCTTGGTTTTGGTTAATAGGCGCCTTTGGGTTACTCACTGTGAAGTCATGCATTGTTAGCTTATTATGCTGGTTTTTAATGCTCATAAATTCTGCAGACTTGCTATCAGTGCTCACGCTGTCCCTCTGCTACACTTACTTATACTTGATCCTCTTCTTCCCTGCTTTGTCAATAACTGCCATAAGTCATATTTCTTTGATTGTGGGAGGCCCAACATCATGATTGCAATCAAAATACAATTAATTGTGGACCCCTAGTTTGTGAATCCATCCAAACATTTCTGCATCAATTATCCATCAGTAATTGTCTTATTTACAAACACAATCATTCACATTTATTCACTCCCTGGAAAACATCATTACAGCTCTGTTGTGCAGTTGTAATGCTGCTTTTGTAGATGTGCTGTGAAGCTTGAACTTCAGTTACAAAGGCATTACTAGCAACAATATTGGTATGTGAGAACATGTTCCTCAAGAATTCAACTTCTAATAACAAATAAGAAGTCTGCAAGTTTGACAATGTTCATTCTGTCTTGTCTATAATACAAACCGTTTGTATAACACTAGTTTTATCATAGTTCTGACAATCCTTCCCTCATAGGTCCTTTAGAGGTCACAGAAGCCCAAGGACAGACATAAAAAAAATCTATGAAATGAAAGTTATTGGGAATACATTTCATACAGTGAAACTGCAAAACACTATTTTGCCATGTGTGCTCTGAAAGCAAAAAGCTATACAGTGTCAGAAAATACATATGCAACCCCTCAACAGTTTGTCTTTCAGGTTTGTGCAAACCAAATGTCATGCATCTGTGTGAATTACAGGGACCATGCTTTTCGCATTACTTATGATACCGAAGAACATGAGAGAAGCCTCAATATGAGCAGAACTGTAAAATATGTTTCTAAATTTAGGTTTCTATCAGCTGTCTTTGAAAGTAACAGCTTGTTGATTTACTTCTTAAATAAGCATAATCCTTCAGTCTAACTGTTGTAGCGTGTTGGTGATTTATAAGCATTTTATTCTTTTGGTTATCTTCACCGACCTGACAAATCACAATCAATTCCACTTTCGATCTATGATATGTCAGAATACTACATTTACATAGAGCTTACTGAGCTATAATCTGTACATTGCCAACAAAAGCCAAGGGCAATCTTATAGTAGGAAAACAGCCAGTTGGCCAGTGATCACTCACTGATGAGGTTGATGGTGATGGGTGAAAGTTTAGCCTTTGTGAGAGCGTCTCCAAAAGTCTTCTGCTTGAGGCTACGCTTCACATGAGGATTCATAACAATGCTGGAAAGTTTGGGATCCTTAATCAGGGCCTAAGAAACAATAGGATGAAAGTAATGAGTTAATGATTGTACATTACACTTTAGAGAACTGCATTTTTTTTCCTGGTTTGACTTACAGAGACTTTTCCCAGCTCCTGCTCCACTTGGTCCAGCTTGTTCTGCTTACTGGCAGCTGAGAACAGAGCTGTGGCATAGCGGCCCTCCACTCCATATACCTGAATGGGGGGCTAGAAGGTGATAAATACAGGTTAACCCACCTGCAGGGACAAGTTATTTCAGATGCTATCTGCCACCATCATCGTGCACTCTGAAACTACATTACCTTGATCAGTTTTGCTGCAGGTCTAACCACAGACGAGCTGAACTGACGGACCTTAAAATAAAAAACAAAAAAATGCACAATCTCAGCTCAGAAAAATAACAAATCTTTAGCTGGTGAACTTCTGGCACGCCATGTCCCGTTTACATTAAAGACGGTTAGCTTGTGGGCTAACGTTAGCAGTCATTCAAGTGCAATGCCTCGTGTGATCATATTGGAAACTTATTAGGTCCCCCACAGTCTCCAGGAAACATAAAAGAGATTAATACTTGTTCATGAGAAATAAAAAAATTGTGCAAATTCCTTATAAAACGATAAAAAATACGAAAATCATTGAATGTCTTACCTGCTGTCCTAGCATGAGTGCTGCCATTTTCTCCTACAGCTGTCCAGAGTAGAGCGAACAACTGCGCATGTGCTCTTGAGAGGAAGGCGTCTGATTATGGGTAATGTAGTCTTTTGGTCTGGCGAATTCTGGCCATCGATTCAGCCAGGTATGCAGGGATTTAGTGAACAGCCAAACTACAAATGATCTCATTTGATAGTGAGACAGTTTTGCTCACATTGGTTCTACAGCGAGTGTTAGGCATTATGGACCCACAGATTAAGCTCTATGATCATGATGAACCCCTTTCAAAAAAAAAAAAAGGGAAGATTTTTTCAGGTAACACATTTGTTGACTTTTATAACATATAAATATATATATATATATATATATATATATATATATATATATATATATATATATATATATATATATATATATATATATATATATATATATTGTCTTTTTGTTGTGATGTTATTGCAGCAGCTCTTTCTGGCTTTCTGGCTGTTTCTCGTGTGTCCAGTAGAGGGCGCGATAGCGAATAATCAAATAATCTTGTGTCTAGTTTGGAGGTAGTTTGGGGTGGGTTATTTCCCAATCAAGAATCGTGTGACAATATCTCTGAAATATCTGAGCTTCTGATGTAGGTTTCCTAAAACGCTCCGTGGCTGCTGGTTTCCTGTTTCTTTTTTTGTTGTCTTGTTTTGTTTTTTTGTAGCCTAATCTGTCTATATATCTGTCTTTTTTTAACTTTCACTTTCACTGCTGAATGTTTTGCAGCGAGAAATTCCAGACGTGAGTAAACTCGATTAAAAGTTGATATAAAAATATCCTAATGATACAAGTCATGGTAGATTACCTTAACGTTTGTTTTGTATTTATTGTTATGACAGTTGAATCACACAAACTAAATGTGATGTCTGATTATCCTCTACTCTAACGACCAAACCCCAATGAAAAATGCAGGATGATCCGATATCACGTTAACTTTGAAAATCCTCACAGCCCCTCTTTTATTTGGCTGTTCTGAATTAAACTCCTGCTTGTTTCCACTCATTGGTTATTTATTCTGCGATGACGAGAATCAGACAGGACGTAAATCCAGGACGCCATTTTAGATGTCAGGAGAGGCAAAAGTCATCAGCTTAGGTCTGACATGTTCATTTTGGTTAAAAAACGATGTACATGATGTTGATCCAGCTGCATCAAAGAGATTAGACTTATTTTCACCCTATTAAAATAATGGCCTAGGTCAAAAAATGACTTAGGCCATTATTTTAAGCAGGTGGCAATGTAATACTTTTTACAAAAGAACAATAAAAACTTTAAAAAACCAGGTTACGAAGTGCTTTACAAGGGCAGAAAAAAATTTAATAAAAATAGAGCTAAAATCACACAAGGCTAAGATAATGAAATAACCCATGTTTTTGAAGATGTACTATTTATTTCAAAGAATTCTCAAAACGAGTATATAAAACCACATTTTATCATAGAGCGCTTTAGACAAACTATAGTTGATCCAAAGTGCTTTACAGCAAGCACACAGGAAAATAAAGCAAATGACAGAGTAAGTAAAAGGGTTCCTGAGCTTTATAGTGCAGATGAAAAATAAAATACATTCAAATAAAAAATCTAATTCAGCTGGGTTCAGGAAAGGCTCTAAGACAAGAGTGTGTTTTCAGAGAGGAGTTAAGAGTGATCACTGACCCAGCTGATCTGATCTCCTCCAGCAGATCTTCTTTTAGTTTCAGAGCCTTAGAATTTTCTGTCCTCTTTAGATGTTGGTCTGATATTTGAAACAACCAGAAGACACATATTGAGGATCTCAATGTACTTGTCAACTTGTACAACACCAACATGTCTCAAAGGCAACATAGGGCTTTAAAAGTCATCAGTAAAATCCAGAATTCAGTTCTAAAAGGTACAGGTAGCCAGTGTAAAGCTGCTGGCACAGAAGTGACGTGGTCGGGTTTTCTGATCCTGGTTTAAGCCCTGGCAGCTCAGTTCTGAGTTATTTTATGGTGCAGCTTCTTACCAGTAGATGGCAGTAGTTGCTTGGTCATGTGTTGTCAATTACTCACAAACAGGGTTATATGTTTGAAGTAAGCCTGACATTATTTTTTCATGTTATATTTCATCACAACAACAAAAAGATTTTACTCCCTTTTTTCACTTTTCCTCAAACTCTGCTCTTTTGTAGTTGAATTGGTCTGTGGTGTTTCCAGCAGAGAGAGGTCATGGCGGCTGCAGCAGCAGGTGAGTTTTGTCAGTCCTTAAATAATCCAGGTACCCAAACCTAACCCTAACCTTCCTTTCATTTTACATGTCGTAGAGGAAACTGAAGAGCCCCCATCAGTAATTTAATCAGGCCAGTGAGTTCTGGATTTAAGAAACACAAAACTAACCTAGGACACTGGATACTTACGAGTCTGAAATAGCAACTCGGTCCGTGACGCGCATCAACTTCTTTCCAGTTCATTGCTGATAGCGTCCATAGCTACCACCGTAGCAATAACAAAAATGTACTATCGCTACAATTTTATTTAGAAAGTCTGGCACAGTCTGGACTTCGGCCCATAGAGAGCATGTATTCCCGATCAGAAAATAACTGGTCCAATCAGAGACTGTATTTCCACTGTTACTCGGACAACAGGGAAAGGCAGCCCCTGACTCTAACACATGCTGCGGGACTTTTCAAAGCCCTGTTCATTCAGAACGCTGTTAATTCTGCAGTTGACTCTGCAAAGTCGGCAGAAATCGTTTATATACGCAGAAGACGTCGGAACCCAGAGTCAACAGACATGGACTGTATCTACTATGGGCAACTTGGTTCCGCCTTTCGCCAGTACACGAATTTGAAGCCAAAAAGCTCACGGTAATTCCACGTTTTCACTCCATTTCCTGAAACCAACATTGTGCAGTAGCGTTGTATGCACTCCACCACTTGCGCAGTAGGACTGTGTGCGTTCGGTGGGCGAGTCGTCGAGAGTCGCTGTGACTCAGCTCAAACAGCCTATCTTCCGGGTGTGCTACGCAATCTTCGTATGCCCATAGGCTGTATCAAGTGTCAATCATAGAAAACATGAACCCCCTAATAACTTTAAAAACGGAGCTGTACAGGAAAAAGAGGACTTGAGCACAAACCAGTCTGACTGTAACTACATGTCAACATCGCAAGAAGGAGGGAAAAATTATTCTGTGCAATAAATTTCTAAAGTTTGTCGACAGCCCCATTAGCTTTGCTGGAGGAGACACGATTTATATGACCTATACTGCAGCCCGTCACCAGAGGGTGATGTTCTCGGAGTGGCTTCACCCAGTGAAGAGGAAGACAGCGTCCATTCTATGTACAGTCTGTGCACTAGTGATGGGAAGAACAGTTCTTTTGACTGTACTGAATCTTTAGAAAACGTTCATTAAAAGGATTTGTTCAAAAGATTTGTTCACTGAATCATTCAGTGCTTTGGAGCCCCGTCCTGCCGGTGCATTACACAAGTGAGTGACACAGCCGCAAGTTCGTTCATTGAACGAGCCCCTCCCCTCCCCTACTGCTGAAGTCACAGCATCGTTCACTGGGTGACACATGTTGTTCATTCGCCAAGTCCTGAAGGAAGAATCACTCCCCTGCCCTGAAAAACTCACCTCTCTGTGTATCGCTGTCGGCGAAAACAACACAGCCCAGTCGTCGTTCTTTAATACTGCAGAAAAGTGGCGAGATTAAAAATAAATAAACATCACAGCTGTAGTGGGGATTCTGCTACGTTTCAAGATATCAAATAGCGTATTGCTTTAAATCAGCTGAAATTAAATCCTTCTTGCGGAAATTGAGTGTATTAATGTAAAGGCACTATAATGCACTGTTTTATCTTAGCCTCAGTGAATGAACTGGGGTTCAGCAGTAAGTGAACGACACTACAGCCCCTCCCTCCTCTGCCTGAATAAAGTCATTCGGAAGTAGTTCATTCTGTTTCATTCACCATGTCGTTCACTGACTGACTGAATCATTCTGTTCACGTACTGATACATGTACTGACTGACGTTTCGTATACTGACTGTTTTGTTCACTGACTGATACATTTCGTTCATTCGCTGTGAGTGAATCACGAGACTATGCGCGCCTGCTTGCTGGCTGGCTGTGTGTCCTTCGCTGAAGAGTCAGAGGTCGCAGTTCCACTCCTGACTGGCATGCCAGGCTCACCGCTGAGCTCAACTGAACTGAAAAAGGAATGAAGCAGGTCTCGGAGTGATTCGGTTCATGTCGTTCACTCAGCAGTTCCGTTCTTTTGAACGAAATATTCATGAACAACACAACACAACTATGCACAATATCGTCAAAGATTTACATTTTATTACTGAACTGATTTTATTCTGGAAATGCCAAAGAGCTTTTTCTTCAAAATGAATCGAACCCCACTTTTCTCAATGATCAAATATATCATTCATTTCAGATATTTACTGTTACAAAATTTTAAAGAATTGCTTTTTCTCCAGCTGGCTGACAATCGTCTCTGTTTTAGACATTAAAATGTACATTATAAATGATACTGAACATGTTGCAGATGGTCTTGTTGGCTTTTGTAGGTCATTGAGAGGCTTTAGTATTCATGTCAGTGAGTTTCACAATTGGTTCAAAACTCTTCACTGGAGCTTTAATAACTGTAATGATAACAATGAAAAACTTTGATCACCCATATCCATATTTGTCTTTCTGATTTTAGATGGTCCATTCCCTCTGAGAAAAAGCAGCAGCTATGATTTTTTGCCACCCAACAGTGAGTGAAACTTCTATCCCTGAGAATCTGTGATTAAAACCTCTTAGTAGATAATCAAACATTTGAAATGAAATAGGAATAAAGTTATAAGTCAATGCAGGTACAAGTCAATCTTTTCTATATCCTTGTTTCTCACAGTGTCTGAGCTGAGGGTTGTTCTGCTGGGCAACAGCGAGTCTAGGAGGAGCTCAGTGAGGAACTTCATACTGGGAGAGAGTGTGTCCAACAAAGAGGAGTGTGGTGACTGTTTGAAAGAAAAAGGTCGAATAAAGGACAAAGACATAGTTCTCATCAACACTCCAAATCTGATCCATCCCAACATCTCTGCAGACAAACTGACAAAAACTGTGACAGACTGTGTGAGACTCTCTGATCCTGGACCTCATGTGTTCCTGCTGGTTTTACAGCCTGACGACTTCACTGAGGAACACAAACAGAGACTCTGCAGAGTCCTTGAATGCTTGAGTGATCGATCATTTGATCATTCATTGATACTGATATCACCAGCAAGAGAGCAGGGCTCAGGTGTCAGAGGAAAATATCTCCAGTATCCACCCCTCAAAGACATGATCAGAGAGTGTAGGTTCAGGTACTTAGATCAGACAGGCCTTGAACTTCCAGAGCTGTTGACACGTTTGGGTCAAATCATGAAGGAGAACAGAGGAGAGCATGTCAGCTGTGATGTGTTCATTGACACCACTTCTGATTTACCGATCACACAACAAGCAGAAGCAAGACCTGGTGTCATGCAAGGTGTTTCTCCCTCTGGTATGTATAAATTTAAATATATATATAAAAAATTGATAATGATTATAATTAAATTGGTAAAATAATCCCTCACAACTCACTGTTTTTTTGTTACATGTTTCTGTTTTGTTACAGTCCGACTTTTGTTGCTGGGGAATAATGACAAAAAAAAACAACTCAGTAACTTCATCACCCAAAAGAAACAAGACTTGACACACCATCTGACAAAACCTCTAGTAACCAAAGAAATGGTGGAGACTGGAGAGTGGGAAGGACAGGCTTTAACAGTAGTGAAAACTCCAGACATTTTCAGTCTGTCTGTGGAGGTGCTGAAGAACGCTGTGAGTCTCTGTCCTCCAGGACCAAATGTTCTGCTGCTGTTGCTGAAACCTTCTGATTTCACTGAGGAGAACAGACGGACCCTGAAGTTGATCCTTAGTTTGTTTGAGCAAGATGCTTTTAAACATTCAATGGTCATCAGCACACACGAGGAAGGAGAAGCAAGCGCCTCTTTTAGACATCTACTTAAAGACTGCAGAGAAAGACACTACAGCATGGCTGAAAACAACCACAGGTCACTGATGATGAAGATCATGAACATCCTTAGTGAGAACAGAGGAGCCTCCCTCTCTCTGACTGATGAACTGATCACACTGAAGTCCAAAGAGATGAAACCAGCGTTAAACCTGGTCCTGTGTGGGAGGAGAGGAGCAGGGAAGACTTCAGCAGCAGAGGTCATTTTAGGTCAGACAGGTCTTCATTCAGCCTCCAGCTCAAAAGAGTGTGTGAAACATCAGGGGGAGGTGTGTGGACGTTGGGTGTCTCTGGTGGAGCTTCCTGTTTTGTATGAAAACCCTCTGGAGACTGTGATGGAGCAGTCACTCAGAAGTGTCTCCCTCTGTGATCCTGAAGGTGTTCATGCTTTTATCCTGGTCCTACCTGTGGGTCCACTCACTGATGAAGACAAGGGAGAGTTAAAGACCATCCAGGACACATTTGGACCTCCTGTCAATGACTTCACCATGATTCTGTTCACTGTGGAGTCAGATCCTTCAGCTCCAGCTGTTGTTAACTTTATTGACCAAAGCAAGGAAGTTCAGGAGCTCATTCAGAGCTGTGAAAAAAGGTTCTTGGTGCTCGACAATAAGGACAAAACACAAGTGAAACAGCTGCTGGACATGGGGGAAAAGATGCAAAATAAGAAAGACAAACCACAAAGCTACACAACAGACACATTTGGATATGTCCAAATAGAGAAGATCAGCAAACTGCAGGCTGAACTTCAGGATGTGAAAACAAAAAGGATGCCCGATTGTAAGTATTGAAAAAGATGATTATAAATACTTCATATTTATGTGAGTTTAAGGATGTTACACATTAGTGTCTTTACTGTTGCATCTCTCAGCATTTAAAGGTAACTCTTGGCCCTCCTTATTCCACAGGTGATGAAAAGCAGAGCCCAGAGAGTCTCAGGATTGTGCTGATAGGGAAGACTGGCAGTGGAAAGAGCTCTTCAGGAAACACCATCTTAGGAAGAAAAGAGTTTGAGGCTGAACTAAGCCAAAATTCAGTCACCAAATTCTGTAAGAAAGTACATGGTGAAGTGGACGGTCGCTCTGTTGCTGTGGTCGACACTCCTGGTCTGTTTGATGACAGCTTGTCCCATGAAGAGGTTCATGAGGAGATGATCAAATGTGTCAGTCTTCTGGCTCCAGGACCACATGTCTTTTTGTTGGTGTTAAAGATCGACCGATTTACACCTGAGGAGAAGGAGACGATAAAACTGATCAAAGAAGGATTCGGAAAGGATGCAGAAAAATTCATCATCATCCTTCTAACTGGAGGAGATTCACTAGAACAAGACAACATGTCAGCTGAGGAATATATTGATTACATTCGTGACGATTCCTTTAAGAAACTGATCGCTGACTGTGGAGGAAGATACCACGTGTTCAACAACCGTGAGAAACAAAACAGAGAGCAGGTCAGTGAGCTGATAGCAAAGATTGACACAATGGTGAAGACAAACAGAGGCAGCTGCTTCACCAACGAGATGCTGCAAGGAGCTGAAACTGCTATAAAGAAAGAAATGGAGAGGACCCTTAAAGAGAAGGAGGAAGAGATGAAGAAAGAGAAGGAGGAACTTCAAAGACAACATGAGCAGGAAATAAAAGAAATGGAAAAAAAGATGGAAAAACAAAGAAAAGAAACAGAAGAAGCAAGAAGACTGAGAGAAAAAGAACTGCAAGAAAAAGAGGAAATCATCAAGAAGGAACAAGAGAGCAGATGTGAAGAAAGGAAAATGAGGGAAGAAGAAGAGAGGAAGAGGAGAGAACAGGAAGAATCTCAACGACAGGAGTGGGAACAGAAACTTCAAGCTCTGGAGAAAAAGATAAAGTCAGAAACTAAAGAAAAAGAAAACATGAACAGACAGCTGGAGGAGACCAGAGAAAGGATGAATAAAGAAAGAGAGAGGTTGAAGAAACAACAGACAGAATGGTGGGAAAAACGAAATCAGGAAGAGGAACAGAGACGACAAAAAGAACAAATAAGACTGCAAGAACTAAAAGAAGAGATAAAAAAAGAAAGAGAAAAATATGACAGGGAAAGAAAAGAAGAACATTTGAAAAGACAGGAACAAGAAGAAAAGCAAAAGAGACAACAGAGAGTAGAAATCGAAAAGGAAAGAAGACTGAGAGAAAAAGAACTGCAAGAAAAGGAGGAAATCATTAAGAAGGAACAAGAGAGTAGATTTAAAGAAAGGAAAATGAGAGAAGAAGAAGACAGGAAGAGGAGAGAACAGGAAGAATCTCAACGACAGGAGTGGGAACAGAAACTTCAAACTCTAGAGAAAAAGATAAAGTCAGAATCAGAAGAAAAAGAAAACATGAACAGAGAGCTGGAGGAGACCAGAGAAAGGATGAGAAATGAGAGAGAGAGGTTTGAGAAACAACAGACAGAATGGTGGGAAAAACGAAATCAAGAGGAACAGAGACGACAAAAAGAACAAACAAGACTACAAGAACTTCAAAAAGAATATGAAGAGGAGAGAGAAAAATATGAAAAGGAAAGAAAAGAAGATTTAAAAAGGCAAGAGCGAGAAGAAAAGCAAAAGAGACAACAGAGATAAGAAATTGAAAAGGAAAGAAGACTGAGAGAAAAATAACTGCAAGAAAAAGAGGAAATCATCAAGAAGGAACAAGAGAGCAGACAAATTGAGTGGCAAAAGAGAGAAGAAGAAGAGAGAGCGAGAAAAGAGCAGGAAAAGCTTCAACGACAGGAGTGGGAACAGAAACTTCAAGATCTGGAGAAAAAGATAAAGTCAGAAACTAAAGAAAAAGAAAACACTGACAGACAGCTGGAGGAGACCAGAGAAAGGATGAGAAATGAGGGAGAGAGGTTTGAGAAACAACAGACAGAATGGTGGGAAAAACTAAATCAAGAAGAGGAACAGAGACGACAAAAAGAAGAAATAAGACTCCAAAAACAAAAAGAATATGAACAGGAGAGAGAAAACTTTGAAAAGGAAAAGAAGGAGGAGGACAGGATCAGAAGAGAACAAGAAAGACAAGAAAAAAAGGCCATCGAGGAGAAATATAATAAAGAAATTGAGAATCTGAAGAAGACATTCATTGATGAAGCCAGAGAGGAAGCTGAAGAGATCAATGACTTCATAGACAAACACAGAAGAGAACATGAAGCTCTGAGGGAAGAGTATGAGAAACAGATTCAACACAAAGATGAGCAGTATGACCTCTTAAAAGCACTTTCAGCCCACAATGAAGAACAAAGAAGGAAAAAACACCTGGACCAAATCTGTGACATACTGAAAAATGTGGCCAATCAGAACAGCCTGAAAGAAATCAGTGACTTACTGAGAAGACAGGAAGAAGAAACGAAAGAGCAGAAAAATGAGGAGGAAAAAGAAAATCTGGACTACAAGCATGAAATAGAAATAGACCTGCTGTTAAAGAAACTTTTGAGTCAAGCTGATGAAACATGGTGGACATACATCAAAAACTTTTTTGGGTTTCAATAACTTAAATGTGAAAAATCTGTACAAGTCCTTGCATTATTGTACGGATATATTCACAGATATTCCCATGCACACATTTGTTTATGGCTGTAATGAAATTTCATCTGAAGCCTAGTCAATGTGTTACCATAGAAACAGTAGTGATGCTCCATTGTAAGTTATGTCACCAACAAAACTAAAGCAAAGTGATTGCCTTAACTGCTGCACAAACTGGCCGTAAACATAAACCATAAAAAGTACTTTATCAAAGTTAAACATGGAAAAACAGTAAAATGACTGAAGTTGGTCAAATATGAACGGAGGACATTGTACAGTGTTTATTTCCTAAAGAGAGGCACACACTTGGGTTCGATTTCCTCCTTGCAGTGAAAGTCATCAAAAGATTGATCATGGAATGGTTCTAAGTGATATCTTTCCAGATTATCCTGTGGTGTGAGGTGTGTAAAAAGTGACTTTTCTTCTCTCCCAAGATAATCAGAGCCTCCCTGATTCAGAATTGCTAATTCTAAACATGTTCAATATATTTGACCTGAGATCTTTACATGCTGGGGGATCCCTGAGGATGGCCAAACACTGTTAGTAAAACAGTGGAGCAACTCGATAGCCAAACAGGAAGCCAGCTGACCAAAGCAGAAATCAGACGAGATAAAATCATGGCAAAGATAGTAAATGTGAAGCAAAAACAGAGACAGATGTTCTAAATACAAAATCCACTCATAGATGCATGATGACAATATAAGTGTTTATACAACATGTTTGAAGGTGAAGGGGCTGAAAAGGAACTGCTAGTTTAGTGGAAGTACCAGGAAGCTTAGCAGCTAGCAGTAGTAAGCTTTCCTAGTCTGCCTTGTTTCCTTCTCCAAAATGATGTTCTACTGCAAGAGACTTAATGAGATTTTCAGTTATGAGAGTCGGGACTCCAGCTGCAGGTGAAAAAAGCCATCATCTGTGGTATACTGTGTTTTTTACATTGTTGCACTAAACGAACAGAACTATCAGATCTGTCATTATTTATCATCATAGACATTTCTAAACTAGTTCAGATTTTACTTGACTTTTAGTGTAAAAACAGCAAACATATATATTTTTTCTATTTTGAACCATGAATATAGTTATATCAATGAGCGAATAATGTACAATAAAATAATGTAATAAAATTAAAAAAAATCTGTAGAGTCTTGTTTTTTCTTGAATCATACAAAACATGATTTATTTTACTTCCATGATTTTTTTTTTATATATCTTAAATATGTTAAAAACTGTACACCAGTTGACAGCTACTGATTTGGTAAACATGTTTTTAATGTTTCTAAAATCTTAATGCTATTTGTTCATTATCACAAGTTTTGCAGATGTCTTTTTCTTTTCTCTATTTTTGGAATAAAGAGATGAAATATTTAAACAACTTGTTGCTGTCTTTCTTGTTTAAGGTCCAGTTTTGATCTTTTGTCTGCAGCAAAATGACAGATACTAAACAAAGAACATATATAAAAGAAAAATAATCACACATTCTTACGTGCTGACATATCTGTTATTTACTGTTCAAGTTTTCCATACTACTGCTTCTTCTGTATTTTTTGATAACTACATGTTTTATGACTTGATTTAAATGAAGTCAGTTTTTGCATTAAATACTACTACTACGAAAATTATAACAATGGTATTTATAAAATTACATAAAACAGTTACAAAGTGATGTGACAAGCAAGCAAAAATAACCAACCAAAACAGAAAAATCAAATAAAAGAAAAGCACAGAAGATAAAAGCTGAAAACTGAATCAGTAAATAAACCCAACTGCAGGAGATCCAAAATACCATAATCAATTTCAAATTCAATCATTACAACTCATTGACTGAAGGACAGGATTCAGGCAGCACATGAACTCAATGTCAAACTCCAGAGAGCTTCCAGTGGTGCTCCCCTGCTGTGACAAAGACTCCTGCTGCTTTTAGAGTTTAATGTTTTTCATCATTCCTGTCACTTTTATTTTCTGTTAGAGTGCATGTGTGGGTAAACAGCATCATGGCTTTGACCAGTCCTTTTGTTCAGTCTAAATGTTAAGACCATAGACTGTATGTAGAATGTACTGTATGTAGAATATAGTCTGCCTCCTCACCGGATGAAGCCACCCCAAGAACAGCACACTCAGAAATACACTTTTCTCACCCCTGATTGCGATGTTGACATGTAGTTATTATTAGACTGGTTTATGTTCAGGTCTTTTTCTCTCTCTGCAGCTCCATTTTAAAGTTACTAGGAGTCATAAAAACAGGAAATTGCGTCATTCTCTACACTTTGCACTTGCCGCTTGTGCGTCACTCTTTTTCGTTCATCGTCAAGACCGATCGGGTTTGCTAGCGTTTTCTTGATTTTTCTCTTTTGTTGCATTGGAAAAATGAGTTGTTCTGCAGTAAACTGTGTTAACCGACATGTGACATGACCGCTGACACATTTTACATTATATTAGGAGAAGTAGAACTTACTTATTCTTGGTCGCGACGAGCGGGGAAGCTATTAGCGTTACGAATGAAAGGCTGGAAGGACATCCGGGGGCGGAGGCACTTTTTGAGCGGAGCGTTATCGAGCCGATTCTCCCGCCCAGCCAAAAACGTCTGCGTATAACGCTACGGCACAGCTCTGGTTTCAAGGAAGTGTAGAAAACCCCGGAATTACCGAGGGCTTTTTGGCTTTAAATCCGTACAGGCGGAAGGCGGAACCAGGCTGTCCATGCTATATACAGTCTATGATATTTCCCGATCAAGAATTGTCCTTGAGTGACAGCCAATCAAACTAATATCTGAGCAGGACTGCTGTGAGTGACAGAGTTCTGAGCCAATAAAAAAAAGGTTATAATTGTTACTTTTTTTTTTAAAGTGACCTAACCTGTCCGAATCCCTTATCTGATTTTTTACTTTTACTTTGACTGCTGATTGTGTCGCAGCAAGAAATTCCAGAGGTGAGTAAACTCGATTAAACGTTGATTTAAAAATATCCAAATGATACAAGTCATTGTAGATTACCTTTACGTTTATTTTGTATTAATTGTTTTGCCAATTGAATTATACAAACTACATGTGATGTCTGACTATCCTCTACTCTAACTACCAAACCCCAATGAAAAATTCAGGATGCTCCAATTTCACATTAACTTTGAAAATCCTCACAGCCCCTCGTTTACTGGGCTGTTCTGAACTAAACTCCTGCTTGTTTCCACTAGTTGGTTATTTATTCAGATTTTTAGACATGAGTTGACTTGCTGAGAACTCTGTGATGACGAGCATCAGACAGGACGTAAATTCCGGACGCCATTTTAGATGTCAGAGGGGGCAAAAGTCATCAGCTGTGGTCTGACATGTTCGTTTTGGTTAAAAAACGATTTACATGATTTTGATCCAGCTGCATCAAAGAGAATAGACATATTTTCACCCTATTAAAATAATGGCCTAGGTTTAAAAAAAAATACTTATGCCATTATTTTAAGCAGGTGGCAATGTAATATTTTCACAACAACAGCAACAATAAAAACTTTCAAAAACCAGGTTACAAAGTGCTTTACAAGGGCAGAAAAAAATATTGAATAAAAATAGAGCTAAAATCACACAAGGCCAAGTTCAAGAAATAACCCACGTTTAAAAGATGTTTAAAACATTTAAAAAGATGTACTATTCGTTTCAAAGAATTCTCAAAACAAGTATATAAAACCACATTTTATCATAGAGCGCTTTAGACAAACTATAGTTGATCCAAGGTGCTTTACAGCAAGCACACAGGGAAATAAAGCAAATGAAAGAGTAAGTAAAAGGGTTCCTGAGCTTTATAGTGTGGATAAAAAATAAAATAAACTCAAATAAAAAATCAAATTCAGCTGGGTTCAGGAAAGGCTCTAAGACAAGAGTGTGTTTTCAGAGAGGAGTTAAGAGTGATCACTGACCCAGCTGATCTGATCTCCTCCAGCAGATCTTCTTATAGTTTTGGAGCCTTAGATTTTTCTGTCCTCTTTAGATGTTGGTCTGATATCTGAAATAACCAGAAGACTCATATTGAGGATCTTAATGTGTGTCAACTTGTACAACACTAACATGTCTCAAAGGCAACATAGGGCTTTAAAAGTCATCAGTAAAATCCAGAATTCAGTTCTAAAAGGTACAGGTAGCCAGTGTAAAGATGCTGGCACAGAAGTGATGTGGTCATGTTTTCTGATCCTGGTTTAAACCCTGGCAGCTCAGTTCTGAACACAGTTGTTATATGGTGCAGCTTCTTACCAGTAGATGGCAGTAGTTGTTTGGTCATGTGTTGTGGACTATTAAAATGATCTGTTTTGCTTGAAATCAGAGATACTTCTCTGTAGTAAGTGAAGCCCACAGACCTGAACATCTGATCAGTGTGCTGCAGTCAAAGGAACACATATGTGTTCTCCAGGTTTTAAAACAACACCAATAATGCAATCTGTCAGGGGACTCTAAATGTGTGATCTATACTCCAGTGTTAGAAGACTAGTCAATTTAAGCGCAACAAGGAAAGCTCTAACATGAATTTGGAACCAGAAACTTCCAGGAACCCATGAGAAGATCTCTGCCAGAGCTCAAACCCAGAACCTGCTCAGTATGAGGCATTAGTGCTAATCATTACTATAAAGTGCTGTTTTGCAGGGCTTATTCCTTCAGTTTTATCTGCTCTCTACAACTTTGTGACGATTTAAGGAGTGTCATGCCTGCAGCAGTAAAGCATGAAAATTCTAGCACCGCAAAGAAGGCCCTCTACCAGGATTTTGAACCCAATACCATCCATCCGACTATGTTCAAAAGCCAATGACTGCAACACTACAGCACTGAAAGAAGCTGGGGACACTTAATAAAAAATAATAATAATAATTTGCCAAACAGCAAGTGTGATCAAGAACATATTTCACAAAACACTTTTTCTTTTCAGAAACCACCACTCAGAGGTGACACCTGATGACTGAGTGACCTTTTTTTCATACCTCAGTTTTCAAAAAGGCCTCTTTGTCTTTTCTTTTTTTCTTTCTTCAATTATTCATTTATTTTTAAGTGTAAAACTTTGTGTTTGCTTGGACTGGATAGGAGGCAGACAGTGCAAGTTATCTGCAACCACGAAGTGTATATCAACATGTTTGGCATTTTGTGCCTGGATCACGTCAGCTTAAATGGATTTTAGTATCAGTGGTGTCATTTACATTTACATTTATGTTTGTGTGTGTTTGCGTGCGTGTGTGTGTGTGTGTGTGCGTGCGTGCATGAGTGTGTGGTATAAAGGATTCAAGTATGAAGGATGTCAAAGAAAAGAAAACGGGACATAAGAGACTTTTTTAGGAGTCCAAATGTAAGTAACTTAAAGGGTATAGCCTACTGTAGAGGCTCAGCAATACAGATATTGAATAAAAGACTAAATTTAATGCCGAAGAGATGCCCTTTTTAAAGTTATTTTTGATTAGTTATTATTTCATGTATTCGTGTGGAAGAAAAAAGAAAATTTTGGGGGAAAATACATTAAAAACTCAATTTCTAGATAAGATGCTCATGTGATTTTATACATCCATATTTTGGGGGGAATAAATTATGCGTAATAATTGTGTGAAAGTAAAAGCCTCAGGCATTGACTTTACCATCAAACTACATGATTATAAACATCTTAAACATGACAATTTTCTGACTATGATTGTTTGCTTGTCTGATCAGCTCTACATGACGCAAAATTATGATTGCAAATACAAAAAACATAAACCTTCAGCAAATGCATTGGATCATAAAGTCTCATTTAGCTGTTATATCTGTTGTTGCAGCTTGTGTAGAAAATGTCTAGTTTGGACTTACTTATAGTGTGTGTGTGTGTGTGTGTGTGTGTGTGTGTGTGTGTGTGTGTGTGTGTGTGTGTGTGTGTGTGTGTGTGTGTGTGTGTGTGAGGGTAGGGTGGGGTGGGTGGGGTTGGGCTCTGAGATGGGGTGGGTTATTTTCCAATCAAGAATCGTCCTTGTGTGACAGCCAATCAAACTAATATCTGAGCAGGACTGCTGTGAGTGACAGAGTTCTGAGCCAATAAAAAAAGGTTATAAGTGTTACATTTTTTTTTTTGTTTTAGTGACCTAACCTGTCCGAATCCCTTATCTGATTTTTTACTTTTACTTCCACTGCTGATTGTGTCACAGCGAGAAATTCCAGAGGTGAGTAAACTCGATTAAAAGTTGATTTAAAAAGATCCAAATGATACAAGTCATGGTAGATTACCTTTACGTTTGTTTTGTATTAATTGTTATGCCAACTGAATTATACAAACTAAATGTGATGTCTGATTATCCTCTACTCTAACGAACAAACCCCAATGAAAAATGCAGGATGATCCGATTTCACATTAACTTTGAAAATCCTCACAGCCCCTCTTTTATTTGGCTGTTCTGAATTAAACTCCTGCTTGTTTCCACTCATTGGTTATTTATTCAGATTTTTAGACATGAGTTGACTTGCTGAGAAGTCTGTGATGACGAGCCTTAGACAGGACGTAAATTCCGGACGCCATTTTAGATGTCAGGAGCAGCACAAGTCATCAGCTTTGGTCTGACATGTTCATTTTGGTTAAAAAATGATGTAGATGATGTTGATCCAGCTGCATCAAAGAGAATAGACATTTTCTCACCTTATTAAAATAATGGCATGAGTAAAAAAATACTTATACCATTATTTTAAGCAGGTGGCAATGCAATATTTTCACAACAACAGCAACAATAATAACTTTCAAAAACCAGGTTACATATCGCTTTACAAGGGCAGGAAAAAATATTGAATAAAAATAGAGCTAAAATCACACAAGGCCAAGATCAAGAAATAACCCACATTTAAAAGATGTACTATTCATTTCAAAGAATTCTCAAAAGAAGTATATAAAACCACATTTTATCATAGAGCGCTTTAGACAAACTATAGTTGATCCAAAGTGCTTTACAGCAAGCACACAGGGAAATAAAGCAAATGAAAGAAACAAACACAGCTAGAGGAATGAAGAGGACAAAAATCTGAGTGGTGACAAAGCAACGAAATAGAGTTTGTGGAAAGAATGACAGTATTCACCAACATAACCATTGTAATCATAAAACAGCTCAGGAAAAACACCTGAGGATCTCAATGTATTGGTCAACTTGTACAACACTAACATGTTTCAAAGGCAACGTAGGGCTTTAAAAGTCATCAGTAAAATCCAGACTTCAGTTCTAAAAGGTACAGGTAGCAAGTGTAAAGCTGCTGGCACAGAAGTGACATGGTCGTGTTTTCTGATCCTGGTTTAAACTCTGGCAGCTCAGTTCTGAACAGACAGTTATTTTATGGTGCAGCTTCTTACCAGTAGATGACAGTAGTTGCTTGGTCCTGTGTTGTGAACTATTAAAATGATCTGTTTTGCTCGAAATAGAAATAAATGCTCATTTTGTGAAAGTAAAATAATGTCCAATTCTTGCTTGTCAGGATTTTAGCCAATCAAAGGTTCAGGGTCTCCTTTGCTGTTTTTGGTTCATCATATGAAATGTTCCAGATAAATGATTGTCAGGACTGCAGTCAGACCAGTTTCTCAGCAAGACTCTTCTACGACAGAGCCATGCTGTTATAATCTCTGTTGTCAGAATGTGGTTTGTCAAGGTCTTGCTGAAATATGAAGGCCTATCCTGAAAAAAGTCTTTGTTTAGATGGCAGCAGATGTTAGATTGTACTCCTTTTTTTCAAACCCTCAAACTCTGCTCTTTTGTAGTTGAATTGGTCTGTGGTGTTTCCAGCAGAGAGAGGTCATGGCGGCTGCAGCAGCAGGTGAGTTTTGTCAGCCTTTGAATAATCCAGGTACCCAAACCTAACCCTAACCCTCCTTTCATTTTACATGTCATAGAGGAAACTGAAGAGCCCCCATCAGTAATTTAATCAGGCCAGTGAGTTCTGGATTTAAGAAACACAAAACTAACCTGGGACACTGGATGCTCTTGAGTCTGAAATGGCTGAAATTCACAGTACATACTACTCTTAGGCCTTATATGTGTCTTAAATTTGGTGTATGCAGCCCAAGTCAAAATATTAGAACCTGGATTTGATCTTCATCAATACTGCTCACAAAGGCTGTAAGAATGCATAATTCACAGACCCTGATTTTCTCCAGTTTCACAGGGGGGTAGATTTTTTTCCTTTTAACCTAGGATGATGAAATTTTACTATGTTGTTCTGCCCGCCCTGAGGATCACATCTGTGGTGGTTTGACTTCCCTAAATGCTTTCAACTGCCCATGAAAGGCGTGGCAATATCCAATTAAGACTGTACATTAAGCATCAGAAAGCGGTCAAATTTGCTCCAAACAAGATGAAATTTCCAGGATGTACTCAGACCTCTTAGGCTGTATTGGGACAGAGGAACAAGTGCCTAGAAAGTGAATTTCGTTCCACTTTAGTGGGGCAACATAAACTGTGATTCATAAAATAGCTCTATTGATAGTAAGTACTAAAAAATATATCTACTGCCATCCAGTCGATTTTTAGTAATCAGTGTTTCGGTGTCGAACTATTACCTTTCTGCGGCGTAATGATACTTGCACACGCGCAATCGAATATGCAAAGGGGTGAAGCGATTTTTGTCACGTGGACCAATAGGAGCCGAGTCTCGTTGCCATAGTATCAGAAAAACACAAACATGGTGACGACCGCATCTCGCAGCAAGACAAGCGTAGAGGAAGAAAAGAAAAGGAAAAAAGAAAACAGCCTTCAAAAGTGCATAAAAAGGAGCGAAACGATGCTATATGCATCTATCATCTGTCCAGAGTGAAGACGTTCTCGACTTTACAAGGACACGTTGGGAAACTTGCAAATGACAATAACTGTAGATTTGGAGTCATTCAACTGCAGAAAATGTTCAGGGCATAATGTGAGACACAGCTGTGGTGCCAGGTTTTAACAGGGCATAGGGCTATAGTGCTGAGTATCATCTGCACAGCAGTGAAAGTTTACACCATGCCCCAGGGGAGCATGATTACAGTGAATAAAAGGGAAACTGGGAAAGACCCCTGAGAGGCTCCACATGAGAGAGGAGCACAACAAAAGGAGGTGTTACTGAGTGGTATAGAAAAAGATCTGTTTGAGAGAAATGTGTCTTAAAACTAAGGTTTGAATCAAACATATCAATTCATGTTATATTCAATGTACAAGAGGTCAATTTATGTTAAAACTTATGTGAGCCATGTTTGGTCTGTGTCAAGTTTTTCAACCCCAGCGGTCAAAGATTTACATTTTATTACTGAACTGATTTTATTCTGGAAATGCCAAAGAGCTTTTTCTTCAAAATGAATCTAACCCCACTTTTCTCAGTAATCAAATATGTCATTCATTACTGATATTTACTGTTACAAAGTTTTAAAGAAATGCTTTTTCTACAGCTGGCTGACAATCTTCTCTGTTTTAGACATTAAAATGTACATTATAAATGATAGTGAACATGTTGCAGATGGTCTTGTTGGCTTCTGTAGGTCATTGAGAGGCTTTAGTATTCATTTCAGTGAGTTTCACAATTGGTTCAAAACTCTTCACTGGAGCTTTAATAACTGTAATGATAACAATGAAAAACTTTGATCACCCATATCCATATTTGTCTTTCTGATTTTAGGTGGTCCATTCCCTCTGAGGAAAAGCAGAAGCTTTAAATTTTTACCACCTGACAGTGAGTGAAACTTCTATCCCTGAGAATCTGTGATTAAAACCTCTGAGTAGATAATCAAACATTTGAAATGAGCTAGGAATAAAGTTATAAGTCAATGCAGGTACAAGTCAATCTTTTCTATATCCTTGTTTCTCACAGTGTCTGAGCTGAGGGTTGTTCTGCTGGGCAACAGCGAGTCTAGGAGGAGCTCAGTGAGGAACTTCATACTGGGAGAGAGTGTGTTCGACAAAGAGGAGTGTGGTGACTGTTTGAAAGAAAAAGGTCGAATAAAGGACAAAGACATAGTTCTCATCAACACTCCAGATCTGATCCATCCCAACATCTCTGAAGAAAAACTGACAAAAACTGTGACAGACTGTGTGAGACTCTCTGATCCTGGACCTCATGTGTTCCTGCTGGTTTTACAGCCTGAGGACTTCACTGAGGAACACAAACAGAGACTCTGCAGAGTCCTTGAACGTTTCAGTGATCGATCATTTGATCATTCATTGATACTGATATCATCACCAAGAGAGCAGAGCTCAGATGTCAGAGGAAAATATCTGCAGTATCCACCCCTCAAAGACATGATCGAAGAGTGTAGGTATGGGTACTTAGATCAGACAGGCCTTGAACTTCCAGAGCTGTTGACACGTTTGGGTCAAATCATGAAGGAGAACAGAGGAGAGCATGTCAGCTGTGATGTGTTCATTGACACCACTTCTGATTTACCGATCACACGACAAGCAGAAGCAAGACCTGGTATCATGCAAGGTGTTTCTCCCCCTGGTATGTATACATTTAAATATATTTAAAAAATTTATAAGGATTATAATTAAATTGGTAAGATAATCCCTCACAACTCACTGTTTCTTTGTTACATGTTTCTGTTTTGTTATAGTCCGACTTTTGTTGCTGGGGAATAACGATGACAGAAAAACAAAACTTTGTAACTTCATCACCCAAAAGAAACAACACTGGACTCAACAGTGGACACCAATCTGGACACAACACTGGAAACACAATCTGACAAAACCTTTTGTAACCAAACAAATGGTGGAGACTGGAGAGTGGGAAGGACAGGCTTTAACACTAGTGAAAACTCCAGACATTTTCAGTCTGTCTGTGGAAGTGCTGAAGAACGCTGTGAGTCTCTGTCCTCCAGGACCAAATGTTCTGCTGCTGTTGCTGAAACCTTCTGATTTCACTGAGGAGAACAGACAAACCCTGAAGATGATCCTTAGTTTGTTTGAGCAAGATGCTTTTAAACATTCAGTGGTCATCAGCACACATGAGGAAGGAGAAGCAAGCGCCTCTTTTAGACATCTACTTAACGACTGCAGAGAAAGACACTACAGCATGGCTGAAAACAACCACAGGTCACTGATGATGAAGATCATGAACATCCTTAGAGAGAACAGAGGAGCCTCCCTCACTCTGACTGATGAACTGATCACACTGAAGTCCAAAGAGATGAAACCAGCATTAAACCTGGTCCTGTGTGGGAGGAGAGGAGCAGGGAAGACTTCAGCAGCAGAGGTCATTTTAGGTCAGACAGGTCTTCATTCAGCCTCCAGCTCATCAGAGTGTGTGAAACATCAGGGGGAGGTGTGTGGACGTTGGGTGTCTCTGGTGGAGCTTCCTGTTTTGTATCAAAACCCTCTGGAGACTGTGATGGAGCAGTCACTCAGAAGTGTCTCCCTCTGTGATCCTGAAGGTGTTCATGCCTTTATCCTGGTCCTACCTGTGGGTCCACTCAGTGATGAAGACAAGGGAGAGTTAAAGACCATCCAGGACACATTTGGACCTCCAGTCAATGACTTCACCATGATTCTGTTCACTGTGGAGTCAGATCCTTCCGCTCCAGCTGTTATTAACTTTGTAGACCAAAGCAAGGAAGTTCAGGAGCTCATTCAGAGCTGTGAAAAAAGGTTCTTGGTGCTCGACAATAAGGACAAAACGCAAGTCAAACAGCTGTTGGATATGGGGGAAAAGATGCAAAATAATGAAGACAAACCACAAAGCTACACAACAGAGACATTTGCATATGTCCAAATAGAGAAGATCAGCAAACTGCAGGCTGAACTTCAGGATGTGAAAACAAAAAGGATGCCTGATTGTAAGTATTGAAAAAGATGATTATAAATACTTCATATGTGAGTTCAAGGATGTGACACATTAGTGTCTTAACTGTTGCATCTGTCAGCATTTAAAGGTAACTCTTGGCCCTCCTTATTCCACAGGTGATGAAAAGCAGAGCCCAGAGAGTCTCAGGATTGTGCTGATAGGGAAGACTGGCAGTGGAAAGAGCTCTTCAGGAAACACCATCTTAGGAAGAAAAGAGTTTAAGGCTGAACTAAGCCAAACTTCAGTCACCAAATTCTGTAAGAAAGTACATGGTGAAGTGGACGGTCGCTCTGTAGCTGTGGTCGACACTCCTGGTCTGTTTGATGACAGCTTGTCCCATGAAGAGGTTCATGAGGAGATGATCAAATGTGTCAGTCTTCTGGCTCCAGGACCACATGTCTTTTTGTTGGTGTTAAAGATCGACCGATTTACACCTGAGGAGAAGGAGACGATAAAACTGATCAAAGAAGGATTCGGAAAGGATGCAGAAAAATTCATCATCATCCTTCTAACTGGAGGAGATTCACTAGAACATGACAACATGTCGGCTGAGGAATTTATTGATAAGAAATGTGATGATTCCTTTAAGAAACTGATTGCTGACTGTGGAGGAAGATACCACGTGTTCAACAACCGTGAGAAACAAAACAGAGAGCAGGTCAGTGAGCTGATAGCAAAGATTGACACAATGGTGAAGACAAACGGAGGCAGCTGCTTCACCAACGAGATGCTGCAAGAAGCTGAAACTGCTATAAAGAAAAAAATGGAGAGGACCCTTAGAGAGAAGGAAGAAGAGATGAAGAAAGAGAAGGAGGAACTTCAAAGAAAACATGAGCAGGAAATAAAAGAAATGGAAAAAAATATGGAAAAACAAAGAGAAGAAACAGAAGAAGAAAGAAGACTGAGAGAAAAAGAGCTGCAAGAAAAAGAGGAAATCATCAGGAAGGAGCAAGAGAGCAGATGTGAAGAAAGGAAAATGAGAGAAGAAGAAAACAGGAAGAGGAGAGAACAGGAAGAATCTCAACGACAGGAGTGGGAACAGAAACTTCAAGCTCTGGAGAAAAAGATAAAGTCAGAATCAGAAGAAAAAGAAAACATAAACAGACAGCTGGAGGAGAGCAGAGAAAGGATGAATAAAGAAAGAGAGAGGTTGGAGAAACAACAGACAGAATGGTGGGAAAAACGAAATCAGGATGAGGAAGAGAGACGACAAAGTGAACAAACAAGACTACAAGAACTTCAAAAAGAATATGAACAGGAGAGAGAAAAATATGAAAATGAAAGAAAAGAAGAAGATTTAAAAAGACAGGAACAAGAAGAAAAGCAAAAGAGACAACAGAGAGAAGAAATCGAAAAGGAAAGAAGACTGAGAGAAAAAGAACTGCAAGAAAAAGAGGAAATCATCAAGAAGGAACAAGAGAGCAGATGTAAAGAAAGGAAAATGAGAGAAGAAGAAGAGAGGAAGAGGAGAAAACAGGAAGAATCTCAACGACAGGAGTGGGAACAGAAAATTCAAACTCTGGAGAAAAAGATTAAGTCAGAAACTAAGGAAAAAGAAAGCAGTGACAGACAGCTGGAGGAGACCAGAGAAAGGATGAGAAATGAGAGAGAGAGGTTTGAGAAACAACAGACAGAATGGTGGGAAAAACGAAATCGTGAAGAGGAACAGAGACGACAGAGTGAACAAACAAGACTACAAGAACTAAAAGAAGAGATAGAAAAAGAAAGAGAAAAATATGACAAGGAAAGAAAAGAAGAAGATTTAAAAAGGCAGGAACAAGAAGAAAAACAAAAGAAACAACAGAGAGAAGAAATTGAAAAGGAAAGAAGACTGAGAGAAAAAGAACTGCAAGAAAAAGAGGAAATCATCAAGAAGGAACAAGAGAGCAGACAAATTGAGTGGCAAAAGAGAGAAGAAGAAGAGAGGAAGAGGAGAGAACAGGAAGAATCTCAACGACAGGAGTGGGAACAGAAACTTCAAGCTCTGGAGAAAAAGATAAAGTCAGAATCAGAAGAAAAAGAAAACATAAACAGACAGCTGGAGGAGACCAGAGAAAGGATGAATAAAGAAAGAGCGACGTTGGAGAAACAACAAACAGAACAGTGGGAAAAACGAAATCAAAAAGAGGAAGAGAGACGACAAAAAGAACAAACAAGACTACAAGAACTGAAAAAAGAATATGAACAGGAGAGAGAAAAATATGAAAAGGAAAAGAAGGAAGAGGACAGGATCAGAAGAGAACAAGAAAGACAAGAAAAAGAGGCTATTGAGGAGAAATATAAAAACGAAATTGAGAATCTGAAGAAGACATTCATTGATGAAGCCAGAGAGAAAGCTGAAGAGATCAATGAATTCAAAGACAAACACAGAAGGGAACATGCAGCTCTGAGGGAAGAGTTTGAGAAACAGATTCAACACAAAGATGAGCAGTATGACCTCTTAAAAGCACTTTCAGCCCACAATGAAGAACAAAGAAGGAAAAAACACCTGGACCAAATCTGTGACATACTGAAAATCGTGGCCAATAAGAAAAGCCTGAAAGAAATCAGTGAGTTACTGAGAAGACAGGAAGAAGAAATGAAAGAGCAGAAAAATGAAGAGGAAAAAGAAAATCTGGACAACAAGCATGAAAAAGAAATAGACCAGCTGTTAAAGAAACTTTTGACTCAAGCTCATGAAACATGGTGGACACGCATCAAAAACTTTTTTGGGTTTCAATAACTTAAATGTGAAAAATCTGTACAAGTCCTTGCATTATTGTACGGATATATTCACAGATATTCCCATGCAAACATTTGTTTATGGCTGTAATGAAATTTCATCTGAAGCCTAGTCAATGTGTTACCATAGAAACAGTAGTGATGCTCCATTGTAAGTTATGTCACCAACAAAACTAAAGCTAAGTGATTGCCTTAACTGCTGCACAAACTGGCCGTAAACATAAACCATAAAAAGTGCTTTATCAAAGTTAAACATGGAAAAACAGTAAAATAACTGAAGTTGGTCAAATATGAACAGAAGACATTGTACAGTGTTTATTTCCTAAAGAGAGGCACACACTTGGGTTCGAATTCCTCCTTGCAGTGAAAGTCATCAAAAGATTGATCATGGAATGGTTCTAAGTGATATCTTTCCAGATTATCCTGTGGTGTGAGGTGTGTAAAAAGTGACTTTTCTTCTCTCCCAAGATAATCAGAGCCTCCCTGATTTAGAATTGTTAATTCTAAACATGTTAAATATATTCGACCTGAGATCTTTACATGCTGGGGGATCCCTGAGGATGGCCAAACACTGTTGGTAAAACAGTGGAACAACTCGATAGCCAAACAGGAAGCCAGCTGACCAAAGCAGAAATCAGAAGAAATGAAATCATGGCAAAGATAGTAAATGTGAAGCAAAAAACAGAGACAGATGTTCTAAATACAAAATCCACTCATAGATGCATGATGACAATATAAGTGTTTACACAACATGTTTGAAGGTGAAGGGGCTGAAAAGGAGCTGCTACTGTAGTGGAAGTGCTAGGAAGCTAAGCAGCTAGCAGTAGTAAGCTTTTCTAGTCTGCCTTGTTTCCTTCTCCAAAATGAGACTTAATGAGATTTCCAGTTATGAGAGTCGGGACTCCAGCTGCAGGTGAAAAAAGTCATCATCTGTGGTATACTGTGTTTTTCACATTGTTGAACTGAACTAACAGAACTATCAGATGTGTCATTATTTATCATTATAGACATTTCTAAACTAGTTCAGGTTTTAATTGTCTTGTAGTGTAAACAGCAAGCATATTTTTTTTTCTATTCTGAACCATAAATATAGTTATATCAATGAGTGAATAATGCACAATCAAACAATTTTGTATCACATCTTCAAGGATACTTAAGGTCCACTGTAGAGTCTTGTTTTTTCTTGAATCATACAACATGATTTATTTCACTTTCAGGATTTTTTTAATATATCTTAAATATGGTAAAAACTGAACACCAGTTGACACACTGAGCTACTGATTTGGTCAACATGTTTTTAATGTTTCTAAAATCTTAATGCTATTTGTTCATTATCACAAGTTTTGCAGATGTCTTTTGCCTTTTTCTTTTCTCTTTTTTTGGAATAAAGAGATGAAATATTTGAACAACTTGTTGCTGTCTTTCTTGTTTAAGATCCAGTTTTGATCTTTTGTCTGCATCAAAATGACAGATACTAAACAAAGAACATATATAAAAGAAAAATAATCACACATTTTTACGTGCTGACATATCTGTTATTTACTGTTCAAGTTTTCTATACTACTGCTTCTTCTGTATTTTTTGATAACTACATGTTTTATGACTTGATTTAAATGAAGTCAGTTTTTGCATTAAATACTACTACTACTATGAAAATTATAACAATGGTATTTATAAAATTACATAAAACAGTTACAAAGTGATCTGACAAGCAAGCAAAAATAACCAACCAAAACAGAAAAATCAAATAAAAGAAAAGCAGAGAAGATAAAAGCTGAAAACAGAAAACTGAATCAGTAAATAAACCCAACTGCAGGAGATCCAAAATACCATAATCAATTTCAAATTCAATCATTACAACTCATTGACTGAAGGACAGGATTCAGGCAGCACATGAACTCAATGTCAAACTCCAGAGAGCTTCCAGTGGTGCTCCCCTGCTGTGACAAAGACTCCTGCTGCTTTTAGAGTTTAATGTTTTTCATCATTCCTGTCACTTTTATTTTCTGTTAGAGTGCATGTGTGGGTAAACAGCATCATGGCTTTGACCAGTCCTTTTGTTCAGTCTAAATGTTAAGACCATAGACTGTATGTAGAATGTACTGTATGTAGAATATAGTCTGCCTCCTCACCGGATGAAGCAACCCCAAGAACAGCACACTCAGAAATACACTTTTCTCACCCCTGATTGCGATGTTGACATGTAGTTATTATTAGACTGGTTTATGTTCAGGTCTTTTTCTCTCTCTGCAGCTCCATTTTAAAGTTACTAGGAGTCATAAAAACAGGAAATTGCGTCATTCTCTACACTTTGCACTTGCCGCTTGTGCGTCACTCTTTTTCGTTCATCGTCAAGACCGATCGGGTTTGCTAGCGGAGAAGAGGATTAAGTTTTTCCATCGTTTTTCTCTTTTGTTGCATTGGAAAAATGAGTTGTTCTGCAGTAAACTGTGTTAACCGACATGTGACATGACCGCTGACACATTTTACATTATATTAGGAGAAGTAGAACTTACTTATTCTTGGTCGCGACGAGCGGGGAAGCTATTAGCGTTACGAATGAAAGGCTGGAAGGACATCCGGGGGCGGAGGCACTTTTTGAGCGGAGCGTTATCGAGCCGATTCTCCCGCCCAGCCAAAAACGTCTGCGTATAACGCTACGGCACAGCTCTGGTTTCAAGGAAGTGTAGAAAACCCCGGAATTACCGAGGGCTTTTTGGCTTTAAATCCGTACAGGCGGAAGGCGGAACCAGGCTGTCCATGCTATATACAGTCTATGATATTTCCCGATCAAGAATTGTCCTTGAGTGACAGCCAATCAAACTAATATCTGAGCAGGACTGCTGTGAGTGACAGAGTTCTGAGCCAATAAACAAAAGGTTATAATTGTTGCTTTTTTTTTTTAAAGTGACCTAACCTGTCCGAATCCCTTATCTGATTTTTTACTCTTACTTTGACTGCTGATTGTGTCGCAGCAAGAAATTCCAGAGGTGAGTAAACTCGATTAAACGTTGATTTAAAAATATCCAAATGATACAAGTCATTGTAGATTACCTTTACGTTTATTTTGTATTAATTGTTTTGCCAATTGAATTATACAAACTACATGTGATGTCTGACTATCCTCTACTCTAACGACCAAACCCCAATGAAAAATTCAGGATGCTCCAATTTCACATTAACTTTGAAAATCCTCACAGCCCCTCGTTTACTGGGCTGTTCTGAACTAAACTCCTGCTTGTTTCCACTAGTTGGTGATTTATTCAGATTTTTAGACATGAGTTGACTTGCTGAGAAGTCTGTGATGACGAGCATCAGACAGGACGTAAATTCCGGACGCCATTTTAGATGTCAGGAGAGGCAAAAGTCATCAGCTGTGGTCTGACATGTTCGTTTTGGTTAAAAAACGATTTACATGATTTTGATCCAGCTGCATCAAAGAGAATAGACATATTTTCACCCTATTAAAATAATGGCCTAGGTTTAAATAAAAAATACTTAGGCCATTATTTTAAGCAGGTGGCAATGTAATATTTTCACAACAACAGCAACAATAAAAACTTTCAAAAACCAGGTTACAAAGTGCTTTACAAGGGCAGAAAAAAATATTGAATAAAAATAGAGCTAAAATCACACAAGGCCAAGTTCAAGAAATAACCCACGTTTAAAAGATGTTTAAAACATTTAAAAAGATGTACTATTCGTTTCAAAGAATTCTCAAAACAAGTATATAAAACCACATTTTATCATAGAGCGCTTTAGACAAACTATAGTTGATCCAAGGTGCTTTACAGCAAGCACACAGGGAAATAAAGCAAATGAAAGAGTAAGTAAAAGGGTTCCTGAGCTTTATAGTGTGGATAAAAAATAAAATAAATTCAAATAAAAAAATCAAATTCAGCTGGGTTCAGGAAAGGCTCTAAGACAAGAGTGTGTTTTCAGAGAGGAGTTAAGAGTGATCACTGACCCAGCTGAGCTGATCTCCTCCAGCAGATCTTCTTATAGTTTTGGAGCCTTAGATTTTTCTGTCCTTATCTGATTTGATTTACTTTTACTTTGACTGCTGTATGTGTCGCAGCGAGAAATTCCAGAGGTGAGTAAACTCGATTAAAAGTTGATTTAAAAGTATCCAAATGATACAAGTCATTGTGGATTACCTTTATGTTTGTTTTGTATTAATTGTTATGCCAACTGAATTATACAAACTAAATGTGATGTCTGATTATCCTCTACTCTAACGACCAAACCCCAATGAAAAATTCAGGATGCTCCAATTTCACATTAACTTTGAAAATCCTCACAGCCCCTCGTTTACTGGGCTGTTCTGAACTAAACTCCTGCTTGTTTCCACTCATTGGTTATTTATTCAGATTGTTAGACATGAGTTGACTTGCTGAGAAGTCTGTAAAGATGACCTTTAGACAGGACGTAAATCCAGGACACCATTTTAGATGTCAGGAGAAGCAAAAGTCATCAGCTTTGGTCTGACATGTTCATTTTGGTTAAAAATGATTTACATGATGTTGATCCAGCTGCATCAAAGAGAATAGACATATTTTCACCCTATTAAAATAATGGCCTAGGTTTAAAAAAAATTACTCAGGGCATTATTTTAATAGGGTGACAATGTAATATTTTCACAACAACAGCAACAATAATAACTTTCAAAAACCAGGTTTCAAAGTGCTTTACAAGGGAAAAAAAATATTGAATAAAAATAGAGCTAAAATCACACAAGGCCAAGTTCAAGAAATAACCCACGTTTAAAAGATGTACTATTTATTTCAAAGAATTCTCAAAACAAGTATATAAAACCACATTTTATCATAGAGCGCTTTAGACAAACAATAGTTGATCCAAAGTGCTTTACAGCAAGCACACAGGGAAATAAAGCAAATGAAAGAGTAAGTAAAAAGTTCCTGAGCTTTATAGTGCAGATAAAAAATAAAATACATTCAAATAAAAAATCTAATTCAGCTGGGTTCAGGAAAGGCTCTAAGACAAGAGTGTGTTTTCAGAGAGGAGTTAAGAGTGATCACTGACCCAGCTGATCTGATCTCCTCCAGCAGATCTTCTTATAGTTTTGGAGCCTTAGATTTTTCTGTCCTCTTTAGATGTTGGTCTGATATCTGAAATAACCAGAAGACTCATATTGAGGATCTTCATGTGTGTCAACTTGTACAACACTAACATGTCTCAAAGGCAACGTAGGGCTTTAAAAGTCATCAGCAAAATCCAGAATTCAGTTCTAAAAGGTACAGGTAGCCAGTGTAAAGATGCTGGCACAGAAGTGATGTGGTCATGTTTTCTGATCCTGGTTTAAACCCTGGCAGCTCAGTTCTGAACAGACAGTTGTTATATGGTGCAGCTTCTTACCAGTAGATGGCAGTAGTTGTTTGGTCATGTGTTGTGGACTATTAAAATGATCTGTTTTGCTTGAAATCAGAGATACTTCTCTGTAGTAAGTGAAGCTCACAGACCTGAACATCTGATCAGTTAGGAACACATATGTGTTCTCCAGGTTTTAAAACAACACCAATAATGCAATCTGT